TACTCTACTTTTTAGATTAATTGAGTGGGTATCCTTTTCATCCTTTTCACTCATTCAGGAACATTTCTTCTTCATTCCTGACAACATTCAGATTCTTTCATTTCACCTTTTTGTTCATCTTCACTATTATCTCAATCATTATAATTTACTTATTGGTTTACTTATTTTTACGTTAATTGTATGATTGAGTTAATTTTTTGACTGCACAAAAGTCAAACTGATTACTAACGGCTGACAAAAATTGCCTTTTTGTCCCTTTTATCCTAATCATGTATTTATCTTATTCACAGTCGAAAGAGTTTTTCATTTATCAACATTTCGAGTCATTTCATTATTGGTTCCATCTAGGATCAGCCTTTATTTGCATCATTTTTTACCTTCTTTTACCTCGTTTGTTGCTTTGTTTTTTCAATCGTTTTTACCGTTTGATTGTTTTTAACTGTTGTGTGTGCATCTGAACGGCTGTCTTAGCACATAGCGTCATTGCAATTGCGTGCTAAGAGCTGAAACACGCGTCATGAAGCAAAAAACTCACCTCATTAGTTGCTGTTTATATTTGCTTGCTGCTCAAAAAGTTGAAGCAACTATTGGATTCTGTATAATACTTTCAATATTTTTGGTTAAAAAGTCAAAGGAAAAAGCAATTGACTGTTACTTTTTTGTTTCATCAAAAAGCCACAATTTCAGCTATAATCAGACCTACTTTAAGTTTGCATGTTTAATCATGATTCAGTTTCAAGGTTGAAACTATTTTTTACTAATTGTTGATTTGATGATGAAACTTAAAGTTTAATTTTGGCTTGGATTTTGATTGATTTTCTTATATCCTTATCCTTAATCTCATGGTTATTTTTATTCTTGAGCTCAGACCAAAATTATTTCAATTTGATCTTCAATATACAAAATTTAGATTATTTTTGATTTTCTTTCAATCCTAAAATGATTTTTTAATTCAACTCAAATCTCGGATTTTTCATTGAAAATTGATTTCCTTTAAAACGTATCTTTTGCTTATAAATATATTTTATCAATCAGATTTGGTAAAATAACGTTTTTTTCATCTTCATTGTGTTTGTTTGATTTGTTCATAATTTTATTGTATCAAAAATCTTGAAATTTTAGTTCAGCTGTAAAAAGCTTGTTCACACCCATTTGTATTCAATGTAACATGATTACTACCATTGACCAAGTACAATCAACGTGAACAATCAACATCAACATGTTGCTATTAAAAAGTTATATAATATAAATTGGGTAAGCCAATGTCAAGAATCATCCGAGCGATGAGAATGATGAAAAGATGAATGAGTAATGATGAAGATGAGAGAGTCTGGGAGAAAGTGGTAATACTAGTTGAAGTTCAATTGTTTGTCTGATAAAAGGAAAAAAATTCTGACCTTGCAACTGAATCTATTGATAACTTAAACTGTAATCAGACTCCAATTATTTAATTCACTTGTTTGCTCACCATCAACAACTTTTAAAACGACCTTTCTTCCTAAATGATCAACACAGTTCTCATGTTTGATGGCCATTGAAATATCAAATACAGTGAATCCTAGTAAAACTGATGACTTTTTTTCGAAAACATTTTTCTGAATTTCTCCTTCCTTTATGGTTTCTTGTTCATGCTTATGATTCATCACTGAATCTCTGAGATTCCATGATTTCCTCTTTCATTGTACCAGGTATTGTCAATTGACCTTGTTTGAAACTGCAAGTCGATATGAAACAATACTAGAAACAAAGTTTTGCTTATTTATGTGTTCTGTTTTCATGATATTTTTAAGAAATATATTTTCAATAGAAACCTCAAGACGGTTAACAATGTTATTGTTTATCTTTAGGAACAAGATTCAGCTGCATGATAAAGCTGGAATATCAAATTTGATTGATTGAGAAGGTCACATTAATATCACCTTGACATGAATGAATAAACTGAAAGTGAATTAAAATTAAAACTGCATCACTTGATTGTTATTATTATTCTCCTTGTCACATCAACTGTTTTCATCTAACCTACGTTGATTTACTTTGCTTTTATGGGATTGTGTCCAAAGTAAATAGCAAAATTCTTTACCCTTTTCTTCAAACAAAATTCAACAACCGAAATGTTTTATCATGTAAATTGCTCTGTTTTATACCATTTATAGCTTGATCACTTGAACAGTTAACACTGTTGACACATTAACCTTACAATGAATACTATTTTGGTACACTTGATTCTCACCATCTCTGTCTAATTGTTGAAAATTTGTTAGTCACAGTCACTAGATTACAACTTTGTTGATGAACACTTCCATGGTTAAATTAATTCTTCATCATGACATTTGGAAAACTTGATATTCTCATGATTTAATCTGATAACGTCTAAAATTTTACATTTCCCTTTGCAACATCAATGCGACTCTTCGCATTGTTGTACACTTTTCAATCGCACTTTCTGACATTTATTCATTCACTTTGTTATTTTGTTACCTTTGCTTTTATTGCTTTCTCATCTACTGTATCAAGCAGCAAAAATAACCTAAGCTCAACTAAACATAAGAAAGCAAATGTATTATTTATGCAATCTTAATTGCATCTATTATATATTCATGTTCATTGTTTGAATTGTACTTTTTTGCAATATCACCACCGTTGTTGGTCATATTAGCTGATTTAATTTGAAAATGTTTTGTCGTTTCATTTCAACTGATACCTTTTTTCAACTGTTTGTGTTGACTTTGTCGAGTTGAATACGATTTTGAATGCACTCTTTCGATCTAAATACCAATCGTTGAACATTGCTTTATATATTCCAGCTACTGTTTGTATTTATTTAAATTCAACCTTTTATCATTATTTGATTGTTAATTTGATCTGTCAACTGCTTTTGATTTAATTCACTAACAGTTACTATTACAATCCTTTCCATCTACTTAACTCCAATCATTGCTACGATCTATTATCAATTTTCAAATTAATTGAATGCAAAACTTTTCAAATGACAAAGTTTATCATAAGACGCATTTTCAGTCCAGGTTATTGATACTTGAATGGACTAAAAATTTGGTCTTTCATCAAACGTAGTATCAAACATTTCTTTTCCGGGTCTTTCTAGACTTAATTTGCTTTTTTCTGTTCTCTCTCATCATTTTTTATTCGATGACTAGACCTGTTTAAACTCTCTTGAAACAATCATCATTATCATCATTCAATCTCAACCAGCATGATAAATTCATTTTTGAATAGGATCTTCCTGTTACTCTTGTCACTGTTATTGTTTGCCGTGAAAGTGTTCATAACTGGTTGTTTTGGTCAAGCATAGCTTAAAGTTTGAAGAAAGGTGAAAAAGACAAAGAAATCGATTCTCCGTCAAATTAGAAGTTTCTTTCAGAAAAAAAACTCTTTTTTTGGAAACAAATAAAACTGTTTAAGCTCGAGAATTGGCTGTAACTCTCATAAAAGTACCTATTGAGCTCAGGTAATTCAACCTTGATGAAATGTTTCATCTTTTCAATCATAAATAAATCAAGGTTACTTTAGGTGAAATACCTTTTTTCACTCACTTTTGTTATGTTTAGTCACAATGTTTAAGCTTTCAATACTTATCCTAATCAAATGACCCAACTTCAATCCATTCATTGGTAATTTGTTCATCTTGTTTTCAAATGAAGTGCCGATTTTTCATCAATTTCATCTCCTATTTTCAGCTAATTGTTTGTTTTGCCAAATACTTTCATTGGTGGTGAAATTTGTTCATTTTTTCTCAATCATTTTCCGTTGATTTATAATTTAAGGGAATTTACTGAATCAATGAAAAACAGGAAATTTGATCCGGTTTGAGTATTCCTGACTTTTCAATTACTTGTAATCAAATTAACTCTTTCATCAATCACATGCACTCATTTGATTTACTGTATTTTAATCCCTAACTATTACAGTTGTCCTTTTAATCAACATTAAATGGGTATTTCTCTGTTTCTATGCTCAACTCAGGTTTTAAGAATCTCGTTTCTTCATTGCTCATTTACATTGTTGACAGTTTCATTATCTTTGCTGTTCTTATACTTATCATCCTTTTTTACCGTTAATTTCATTATTCTCATTTCAGGCTATTCCAACTGATTCATCTACCGTAAACTTTGATGAAGAATGATCTTTTATTTGTAGATCAGTATTTGTTTGATTGTGATTTTGATCTACCGTTTGACTTGCTTCTACTCCATCTGACCTTAATTTATTGCTAGCATGTCAATTGACCTGTCAACTTGGCACTCCTTCAGCTATTAGCTATTAATACTTCCTAACTCTTCATCTTCTGTTCAAAGTCATCTGCCTTCCCCTCGATTACTTATTTATCACCTTAAATCTGCACTTACAGCTGATTTTAAGCCTTTTTTGGCTTCTCGTGTCCAACAATTCAACCAGAAATCAATCCAAGTTATTATTTGATTTAAATAGTCAATGCTCTCAGTTTCACACCAATTCAACCATTAGTCTTTGCAAGTTAAACCATTGAAGCATGGGCTGTCAACCTGAATTTCCTCTTAGATTTTCATTCACATGAATTATATGAGAATTAATAACTATGTTAATCCATGTTTTTGCATGGTGATTAAAAGAAGTCAATTTTGATCTGATGTAGGCCTCAATATGGTTCAAGTCTTTGATCAAACGAATTGATGATTTCTACAAAGTTTTCCGAGTCTAATTCAATATCTAATGATTTCGATTTATTGATGACCCATTTTGTTTCTCTAATTAAAGAATTGTTTCTCTCGCTCTAACGCTTTCATCACCTTTTAATTACAACTCAGTATCTCAAGTTTTTCACATCATGGCATTTACACTTCAAACAACGGCTATATTTTGTTTCCTCAACTTGTTTTTTCTTAAAATTTTAAAAAAAAAGAGTCCAAATATATGGAGACCAATGAGTTACAGTATAAATGTGATTTTTATTGAAGAAACTATTTTGTCAAATTATATTAATCTCTATTATAATTGAATTACAGGAAGAACAAATTCATCAAACCCAATAGCTTTAGGAGCACTGGTAGTGGTATTGAGAAAAGTATCAAAAGCTTACAAACGTTGAAATTAATAGTTGGTAAAACAAATTATCTACCTCCATTGGGACGAACAGGTCGTAAACAAACACCCACTGTGACTGCACAATTTCAGCAATCGTTGAATCAATTGATGGAAACATTGAACCAAGCTAATCCTTTTTTTGTACGATGTATCAAATCAAATGCGGATAAAATACCCTATCATTTTGATGATATGCTGGTTTTGGTACAATTACGTTACACTGGGATGCTGGAGACGGTCACAATCCGTCAATCAGGATATTCTGTTCGTTTAAGTTTCGATGAATTTATCCAACATTATCGTATTTTATTGCCTAAAGGTCTATTAAGCTCACAAGCTGATGTACGACATTTTCTCGAACGAATGAATCTCAACCGTGATAATTATCAAATAGGAAAGACTAAAATTTTTATGCGAGAAAGTGAAAAATTGGCTTTAGATGATATGCTTCATCAAGAAATATTAAGACGCATTATTACCTTACAACGCTGGGTTCGAACCTGGATAACAAGAAAACGTTTCCAACAAATGAGACAAGCTGTTGTTGTATTACAAACTCACATAAGACGTTGGTTAGCTCAGCAAAGGTTGAATCAACTTAAATGGATTGCTCATCTAGAATATCTTGCTGCTACTATCATTCAACGGAATTGGCGATGTTATTATGCACGTCAATGTTTTTTAAGACTTCGACGAGCAACAGTTATGTTCCAAAGTTATGCTCGAGGCTTTATTGTCCGTAGGAAATTTAATCAAGACTATTTGGACCAAAAATCAAAGAACCATCATCAAGTGATGTCCAGTTTATATGGATCAGGACAAGACAGTCATTCATCACATTCTGATGAAGCATTTCTCTCAAAAGGTTCAAGTCAAGAGGAACTTGAAGCTGATCGAACCTTATCCAACGTTCAACATCCCCATCGACATGCAGTTAAAAGTGTTGCTCGAAAGCAACATTCAAAAGATTCTGAAGACAGTTCAGGTGTCCATGAAGATTCTGAGCCGGAAAGTTTTCATGTCCATGAAAACAACTATCTGACCTCACAAACAAGCGATGAACCTCCTCCACCTCTTCCACCTAGAAGACAACCTCCACCACCGTTAATTATTCCAGCGTCTACAGAGCGAAATTCTTACTCTGAAAGACCGCACCATTTCTCATGTTATTCAAACACTCCAACATCAAATCAACCTTCTTCACTTCCACCAGCACCAACTTCAATGAATTCACTTTCACACACTTCACCTCTTCTCTCTGGTTCATCACCTCAATCTCTTCAACCGATATCATCATCTTCATCACAACAACCTCTTAAATCATTGCAACCACATCAAATACCCTTACCAGCCGATAAATACAGTTTACCCTCACCCACAGAAGATGATGATAAACCTCGCCTTGACAGACGACGAACACGACCTTTCCGTAAAGTTTCATTGAAAAGATCAAAATCAAATAAAGGTCCTGTCAGTTCAGTTTTCTCAGAAAGTCTTGGAGGCCATGAAAAAGTTGCCAAATCACCTTCCGAGGCAGATATAGTAATTGTCAAAAAACCTATTAAAGAAATGGTCTCAGAACCGTGTATTCCTTCATCACCTTCCAAAATTAATCCACCGGACTCATTTTTATCCTCTGAAGGTGGCCGTGATCAAAAGGGAGCATTCCAAAAGGCAAAGAAACACATTCGAACCTTTATCACTGGAAGTAGCAGTAATAAAACAGAGAAGAAATCTAAAGCTGAAGGTGAAAATCATCAATGGGAGACTGAAAATCATTCAATTTATTCAACAGAAGAGAGCCATAATAATCAAACCATTTCTAGTCAATCTAAATCCAAGAAGTCAAAACCTTCGCCACTTTATTCATCTCTGTTGCCAACCAATAACTCGTCTTCAACCACGACACCATCGCCGACAAGCAATACACCGACCCCAAACACAACAAGTACTACACCATCGGGTGAACCCTTATCACATTATAACTCACTCACTCGACATAGCCTGAAAAGTGTCATCTCTTTTCAAAAAAGTGATATTTGTGCTCTCTGTGAACAAGTTATGTATCAAAATTCATCAACCCTGGTTAATAGTGGTTTCCGTTGTGCTGAATGCTCTCTTCTTTTTCACACAACTTGCCTTTCAAATGCCAATTCAGTACCTTGCATTGACAAAAGCAAATTAGCACTCTTTTCTTCTTCCAAAATGAACTCTCCTCACAATCCTTCGCGTCCACCACGAAACAAAACACGAGGGAAAAGCTCTAAAAACTATTCGAGTGGAGGAAACAATTTATCATCTAAACATGATACAATGGTTTCAACTGGTTCATCACTTAGTGGAAGTAGCCAAGCAAATGGAAGCTCAAATTCATCATCATCCTGGAATGTTACTCGGACTACTGAATTCATTGATCCAAAAGACATTCTCATTACTGATGTTACTGAACTTCACTATATGGAAATATTCATCAATAACAAAATCATGGCAATGGAAGAGTCAAAGAAAAGTCATGCTAAGGAATCAATGGTCGATGTTGTATTTAAGATTGCTCTTAAAGAGTTTAAATCTAACCTGTTATCAACTTATTCAGTAGCGGTCGCTCAAGATGGCCAACTTCACATTGCCTATAAAAATTTGATTGATCATTTTGGCCAAGTAATTATGAATGTTTGCCAAAAGGAGAATACATGGAAATCGTTTCCAGTCATAATGGGTGTTAACGCATTCAGAGGGTTTCTCGACGAATTTCGTAACCTTGGCTCTAAAGTACCACCCGAAGATACCAAGGCTAAATCAAAGAGACGTAAAAGAGGTGGAGGAACTAGTGGTAACAATTCAAGTGGTAGTGGTAAAAAGAAGGAATCTCGTGAAGAGTTTATACTCAAATGTGATCACAAATTTACTTCAATGATGGCAAATATACCCACCGTTTGTGAAGTATGTTCAACCCTGATGTGGTTGACGGAAAAAATTTGGGTCTGTCAGGGATGTAAATTTACATGTCACAAAAAGTGTACCTCTAAGGTTACCGTTTCATGTAGAGATAAAACTCTTTTGCAACAAGGTAAAAAGCTATTTGGTGCTCCGTTGGAAAGATTGGTATCGGATGAGATTAAAATGCCGACCGTTTTAGAGAATCTAATTACTGCCATTGAATTGCGAGGTCTTTACACCGAAGGAATTTACCGTAAATCGGGAACAACTTCTAAAATAAACGAGCTTAAGGCTAAATTAGAGGATAACATTGAAACCGTTGACCTAGATTCATATTCTGTCCATGTGTTGACGGCTGTACTGAAATCATTTTTCAGAGAAATGCCTAACCCTTTAATGACCTACCAATTGTATGATGATTTTCTTTGGACAACGGCCATTTCTGATCCGTCTGAACGAGTTCAAGCAATCTATTCTCATATAGCCAAGCTACCTCGTGCCAATTATGATGTACTTGAAAGGTTAATCTTTCATTTAGCCCGAGTGGCTCAACAAGAAGCTGCTAATCGTATGAATGCAAACAGTTTGGCAATTGTTTTTGCTCCCTGTATTTTAAGAACTGATAAATTAATGCAAATGCAGGATAAACTTAGTGACATTAGTAAACAAACAAAGTAAGTTTGCGTTGTATTCATCGTTTTATAATTTTTATTTAATCATTTTATTTATCTCTTTTTCTCAGATGCATTGAAACAATAATTAACGATCGATTAAAACAAGTTAAGGATACATTGGCAGATATTGAGATGTTGGATAGTGTTTATCACACAACATCTTCAAGACTAAGCTCTCTCAAAATGTCAAAGGTATTTTAATTTCAAAATATTGTTATTGGAATTTTTTTCTAAAATATTCTTTTTATCTTCATATTACAGTCTCAACCAATTCGTGATAATGCTGGTCAAACTAGTCGAAACTCTCAGCAAGACGAAGAAGAGGTTTTAACTCAACAAATCGATATTCTGCGTCATGAAAAGTATGTCTTTACAATCAATCCTTTTATCAACGAATCAATCTAATTCATATTTTCCAATTATTTTTGCAGAGCTCATCTGACTAACATTTTGCCCACATTTAATCTGGTATCCGCCGGATCTGATGATGACTTACTTAGCACAGGAACGGAACTTGAAAGTTCTTTAGGAACAAGTTTGGATGAAGTTAGTCTTTACTCAAACACTAAAATACCCGTCAGTGTAAGAAATACAAATCTTGATTTTCCATGTAAGTATTTCCAAATTGAATCAATTTTGTTACTCATGAATTATTCATTAATATCAAATTTTCCTCTCTACTTGCAGCACTCCCTTCCCAACCACTCAACCTTAATCATTTGACAAAAAGTCGTGTTTCTCAGGTTCCACTTAATAGACGATTACCATCTAGATTTTCAAAGCCTGTTCGTGGAGGGCCTTCACCTAGAATTGGTCGATCACCAGTTCGACGGAGAAAGGATCAAGTTAAAGACTCTCAGCGTGAAGGGATGAGAGTTTATCGTAACGATGATAACTCTGTTCGAGTTTAAAATGCTTTTTACTCTACACTTTCTAAAACTCGCCCTTGTTGATCTACTAGCGCTTCTATCCTAAAAGTCCAACTCAATCTGTTGTCAACTCATAATCTAGGAATCTACATATTAATTAAGAAAGCATCTCCTCCATATTTTCTTATAAGCAAACTAAACAAAATCACCTAATTCCTTCCATAGAAAAACCATCCATCCATCGAAATTAAAGCCTCTTATATCCTTGTTGCTCTATTTAACTATTAATTACCCAAACACAATCAGACAAACAAATGAAACAACCGTTGTAATTTTATTCTCCTAACTCATTTGATCATCGCTCATTCACTTCTGATTGAAATCGGACGGAAAACAGGACCAAATTATCATTTCGGGAACAACTTTAAAGCATTTTTTCATCCACATAAACTTTCATTTCACAATTGTTCACCAGTAAATTTTAATTGTTTCATCTTTTCTCAAACTTCTGACTTTTCTATCTTTATTTTCTATTTGCTATTAAAATTAAATGCAATAAATTAAACTCTTATTTTAATTTAATTATTGGTATCAAACCTCTTCATATTCATCTCTTTATTTCACATCAGCTTTACTCGGGATCAGAGCAGTTTAATTTATTCGGAGCAAGGCGGCTTTTAAGACACCGCCGTTATTACAAATGAAACTTATAAAGTAGAGATTGATTTAAAGGGAGGAAAAATTAAAATAATCAAAGATAAAAATAGTTAATTTTGCAATTTTAGGAGATATTTTGTTCAGATGCTGAAATTGAGCATTATTTAGTGTCGCCATCTAATGAATTTTTATTGATTGGAGCAGAAATGACATTAAGAGAAATAACTGTAATTGTTTCTCTGATTGTCAATTATTTTTTCATAAGTTCTGTGAATCGGTTAAATGGTGACTCTGAAAAAGTGATTACCTAAACTGGATGCTGGAATGTAACTCCATTTGTTTAATTCATCAACATTGAAAGGCCCGCGAAACATTACCTTATTGCTCACTCTTATCAATTCTACAAAATTGTTTACAATCCTGTTATTGCTTCAGCTAATGTTGACAATCAAATCTGATCAGCATTGGGCTTACCAGTGTCCATTTGAATTCAATTGATTATTGATCTATTTATTAACTTAACCTTTTACTATAAATATCTTTTCCTCCCTATGAACAGCTAAACTCTAACAACAGAAACATAAAACATAAACTACGTTATACCAATATGTGTTTTATCCTGAGTGAATCAACAATTGCTATTTAATCACCGTGAAATAAATTCCTTTTGATATCATCTTACAGATAAAACAAATTGTGTCGATTAACAGATATAATTAATGTAAAAAATCCTAACAGCTCAAAGCTATGTGCAACCAATATATTTGATATTCTGATTTGGTTTATTATCTTTCATCAAACTGACGTGCAATCAATTGCATATTATTTGCTTGGACGTTTAATTTGTTTGACAATCTAGATACGTTACCAAGCAAACGTTATTACACCAAGGAGTTATTTTGTGGCGTTTGATAAACCTTGAAATCCAAAGCCTACTCACATTATAATGTCAACATTGACTCACTAACCTACAAAAACAATGCTAAACTTCACCAGGATGGAAAAGAACTCATTCTTTAATTTCTATTGATTACGTGAATATATTTTGTTACCAATTTTTAAATTATATTTAGTTATACATTTAAATTCGTCAAAGAGTTATTATAAATTAGATTCATGTTTCATCGCCAAGAAATCATTGAAAAGATCTCACTCTACTCTACTCGAACTCATACTTGGACCAACATTTCAATATTGAGTAAATTGTAATTTTATTCAACTTCTCTTTTAATATTTTTTTGTAATTTAGTATTCGTTCAAAAAACCGAGGTAAGTTCAAATTTTCATCAATAATCCATGAGAACTTTGTCATGCTGGAGGAAATCTATGAGGCTATGTTGTACCTGATAGTCTCATGTTATCTAAGATATTGTCTTGCTTCTGAATGTTTCAGGTTTCTCTTTTCTGTAAGACGTGAACCATTCTTTAAGATGAGCTCTGATAGCCAATTACCCACACAAACTGAACAAATTGTTAATAAATTTGTAAATGATGGATCTTTTTTGGAGATATTTAAACAAATGCAAAATAAGCAGCAATGCAAAGTACAGTCAACATATAATCAATGTTTTAATCAACCAGAATCTACATCAACAAAATCACCTGAAACTACAACTGGCCTTAAAGAGGAAAGCAAACCTTTACAGTTGTCCAAAGATACCAGTGAAGCTTCAAGTGATGCACCTAAAGTTAACTCTGTCAAAGTAATCTCTAACAAGATAATTCTGGTAAACAATTATTTTTCTTTAACCTGAATCAAGATCAACATTGGCTTCAATTTACAAAATTAATATCCACAAATTAGTCCGGGACTCGAATTTCTTGTTATCAAAACCATTTATCACAATATTGAAATATTTTCTTTAGGGTAAACGCCGCAACCAAAAACTGAAGGTTGGCATAATCAAGCGCAATCGGAAAGAGTCAGAAACTGAGTCCGAGGATGGTTTGGATGCTTGGACTAAATACATGAGAGAAGTGAGACAATACAAGGAAAAGTATGGTGACGATTCCGACAAGAAGCGACCATTAGTCAAATGATTTGGAACAAGTAATTTTAAACATTTCAATGGATTATTACAATATAATGACAATTTTTCATCCATTGACTTTAGTTAATCAAACTCAATGTACATATAGTTTGCCGCAATCATGATTCTATGCACATTTCAAAGGAATAATACAATTCAACATTATTTCCACGACTTGTAAAAGAGCAATCGTATGGTATTGTTCAATCGACAATCAATATATCATAACAGCCAACTTATTCGAGCTTGTAAATTGGGTCACAGATGAATAACCGAAATCACAAAAATTATTGAGACGAGTAAAAATGAAACTCTGTGATTAATTCAATATCCCACATAGATATAACTTTTTTTAATCCTCTCCTTTCAAGTAAATAATTACTATTAAATTATACAACCAAAGACACCTTGTCTTGATTTATTCCCATATTGAAGATCAATCGGAGTTGCAAAATTGCAGTAACTAATCATGAAATAGCTATTTATTTCAGTAATTACAATTGAAAGGCAAGAAAATCGATGTTAATAAACATAAAGATCAATAAAGGAAAGAACCTTTTCATTAAATCGATTAAATTTTAGCAATCAATGGATTCTTATATGAAAATAAAGGCTTTTCAATGTTTAGGTCGATAGTAATTTATAAATACAATGTTTTTTGAGAATCGTTTCATGAGAATTGGTTAATCACCCTTTTAAACGCAATCATTTTTGACTAACTTAAACTCAACAATCAGTAGACTTGACGACAGAAATATTTCTAATAATAACTGAGTAACTCACAGGATTAGAAGGCTTAAAATACATTAACAGGATCATGTTGGTAAAAAGTGCAGATGCAAAGGATTAACTCAAATCTTTTAAATCTTGTTTATTTTTCAGGCCCTTAACTCAGTCCATCAGGTTAAGAAGTTGCACTTGTTGCTGACAATTTGCCATGTAGCATGGAGGAAAAAACGGTTGTAATACGATAGAAGTGGGTTTGGTTCCGTTGAATTTGAATCTTTCAAGTTACTGTACTGACCACGCTCTTGTAAAGCTTTAAGGTTCTCGATTGGTTAAAAGTTCGTGACTATGTAAATGAGTAGCAGCTAGAACTAAACTTGAGTTTTCAAATCTGGTCAGTTTCATTCTTCCAAATACTCACTCACATTGTCAGTTTCTCGACTTTTTTTTAGCATTTTGATTTCGAATGAAATAAAACATGAAATTCTTATTCACTTTTAGTTCCTTTCTTTTATTCACTTTGATTATTGCTAATCAATTTGATGAATCAACATCTCGTTATTGTCATCCAGCTAAATGTCCACCATCAACATGCTTCTGTCCAACAACAGAGTCTGTTTTACCTTCGCTTGGCCAAGTGCCTCAATTTGTTATGTTAACTTTTGATGATGGTGTTAATGGTATCAACTATGAAACATATCGATCAGTATTTAATCGTAGACATCAAGACACTGGTTGTCCAGTTCAATCCACTTATTTCGTCACCCATGAATACACAGATTACCATCTTGTTCATAACTTGTGGAGACGCGGTAATGAGATAGCAGTCCATTCAATAACGTAAGTTTCACTCATTTTCATGCAAACAATAAAATCTTATTTATTTGTCTTTTTCAATGTAATCTCAACAATTTACCAGCCATAATCGGGATCTAAAATCATGGCTCACCGCACCAGTTTCTCTCTGGCGAGCAGAAATGGGTGGCATGAAGAAATTGATTTCTTATTTTGCTGATATTCCAGAATCTGAGATCAAAGGAATCAGAGTTCCATTTTTACAGTCTGCTGGTGATCACACATGGCAGGTTTGTTTTTTGTTAATTGCGTATCACTAGTCCAAACTAATAACTTATTTGATTTCTTGAACAGGCAATGACTGAAGATGGTTTCCTTTATGATTCCTCGGTTCCTGTCCGTAACTTTGTCAATCCTCCATTGTACCCTTACACACTGGACATGGGTCTTGTTGATGATTGTCAAATTGAACCTTGTCCAAATGGTCGCTATCCCGGTCTTTGGGAAGTACCAATGGTTAATTGGAAAATGTATGACATTAACTTGGATGAAGACGGTAAGTTTCAGATCACCTAAGCTAAATGTTTCTTATTACTGCAATTATTATCAATTGAATATTCAATATAATTGTTAACTAAAATTTAATTTAATGATAGGTAAACCATTGGAAGTGATCTGCGCTATGGTTGATGCTTGTGTTCCTAATCCTAACACTACTGAATGGGCATATCGATATTTAATGGATAACTTTATGCGCCATTATCGAAGCAATAGAGCTCCTTTACCAGTTTTCATGCATGAATTCTGGCTTCTCAATCCTCACCGAAAAGAAGCATATTTCCGTTTCATCGATACTCTTCTTAAAATGCCCGATGTTTACTTTACTACCATTAGCGAGGTATTAGATTATCTCAGGAATCCCGTTTCTAATGATGAGTATAAGAGACGAATCAATGAAACATGCATTAGAGAACCAAGATACACGAGTTGTGGTGAAAAGTATGGTTCAATAAACTGTGAATATAATGGATTACCAATGTTCAAAGGTTGGCCACGATATATGAGAGTTTGTGGTCATGATTGTCCACCAAACTATCCTTGGCTCAACAATCCTTTAGGTAATTGAGTAGTTCCATTGTAAACAGAGCATTAAAACTTTTAAGAATCCAAATAAAATGAAGATTACATGATTTTCCTGTACTTTTCAAAACTTAAATTTTTTATAATTGCAATTCAAATTGAATTGAAAATTTTTGCCAATTTTTAGACCAGAAATATAACAACTGCCAAAATAGACATTAAATTTGTATTCTGGATTATCATTATTCATTAAAGACTGAAAATTTGCAAAGAACCATATTTGCGTTTGACCTTCCAAATTTAAGTTACAATCACAAGATTCCTATTGACTAGTTCATATCTCTTGTTCACATAATGAAATGCAATTGAAAAGAGTTTTTTTGCAAAGTGTTTTTGTTTAAATAATGACATACTTTTCAATAGATACTACTTGCATAATAACAATTAATTAAGAGCATTTTTCTGACCAGTTAAGAGGATTGTTTACTCAATCCAAAATGGTAAAGTCCAAAGGTTGATATTGGATAATAATGTGTTGATTGTGGCGAAGGTACATCCGCTAGGTCCATCAATCTAAATAAAACTAGCTCCAGGAGCATAATAAATAAATCAAGACATACCTTTGGACCTAAGAGACCTAACTAGATTGTTTTTTGCTATTTCTTGGCCATCGAATCATAGAGTTTATCTAGAGACGATTCTAAAGCTTTGTTGGTCAATAATGTATATTATGACCGAATTAGAAATAGAAATGACACAACAAGATCTAGATATCGAGCACATGTCTTGTAATACCTGCAAATCAATTTCATCTTTTGGTAATAATTGGGAAATTACGACTTTCTAAACTATAAACTGTTAAACAATACTGCATATTCATCTATTTTAATAGATAATGCGACTAATGCAAACCTGGTGAACAACGCAAGGTGCAATTGCTCAACTGTATATTTTTTAAAATCTACTTTTTCTAAAACAACTGGATAAGTTGCTGAAATCTTTCATTCGTGTAATCGTTCATCAAGTTAATGAAAAGTATTGTAGTAAAAATCAATTCAAACATGAGATATATGATTAGTCTTAGTTCATGGATGAAATTTGTTGAAATAAGGAGTAATAAATAGTATTTTGTTTAAAAATGTAATGTATTTACACTGGATGAACAGCAATTTACATTCAGAAATGATATCTAAATTTTACAAAATGGCACATGTCCGAGAAAAAATTCGATGAGAAATAATTTGTCACAAAATAGAAAAAGTTGATCACTTGTGGTCAATATATTGCGAAGATGAATTGCTGGAGAGACGATTTGATGGATAAACAAGAGATTGCAGGATTACGCTTCATGAAAAGATCACAATTTGATGAAAAAATGGAGATTAACTTTTTTCCATCGGATGTCCATAGCCTTGAGGTGGGAAACTCGTATGTCTCCAGATGATATAAGCAACAGCAATTAAAATGAGAACGATTCCGACGAAGATGAATGCAATTAAAATAGAATTGCCGACAACAATTGTCTTTGTCACTTGTGATTTGAATTTGTTTGCTGAGAATTCATCAACTGTTGCTGACTGAAATATATAAAAATCGTAATTAGTAAATTAGTTTGAAAGTTGAATTTACATTAGTTAATGTAAATGCACGATATACTAACCTCTTGGAGCCATAAAACTGGTAAAACAACCTCTTTGACATTCCTCAAGAGCCTATGACAAATAAATAAAAACATTATTAACATGCAAACAACAAGTGAATCAAAATAAAATCTTACCCGATTCCAGTATGAGGTCGAATTACTACATTAATCTGTAAACGTTGAGTCGCATCAAAGACAAGACCTGTATTCTGTGTATAGTTAAACAGTGAATGAGAAAAAAATAAAAAAATATTAGAAATGAAACAGACACGATTAATAAAAAAATGTTAAAGAATCTCTCTGTTTGATTTAGTTTGACTAGTTATCACAGTTAAGTGGTTGATACTCAAAAATATTTGTTTATCTTCCAAAAGTTCATCTTTAAAGACCGTAGTCCATTAACGGGAGTGTATTTTCCGACTTTGAATTATCTTGATATCAAACAGATTGTTTTTATCAAAATAATTACTAAGCATATGAATATGATTTAGATAAGCTGTCCTTATTACTTTCACTACAAACAAGATGATTCAAATATTTTAAAGGAAATAAGAGTTAAGACTGCATACCGGTTCTATGTTGAGATAAGTTTCATGTTTCTTTTTATCAGGATTGAGTCCTTTTACACCATTGAGCAATCTTTTATCGCCGTTATAAAAATGAGGAGAAGACAGAACAATTGGAGCTCCTTTTTTGCATGGAGAGGCATCCATTATACCATCATATCCACAAAGAGGTTCGTTCTTGTCCAAACAAAAACACCCATTTTCCGGGTTGCGATCAGGTGAAAGGAATAACCGTTTGGGTAGAATGAATTTTAATGTGTTGATTCCCCTGATTTCCGTGTCTTTCTCGTACTCAATATAAATTGATCTGTGAGTTATAAAAGGAAGAAATAGTGACAACTTGTAACATCAAATAGTTTAAGTCTCAGGCTTGATTATGGATATTATACTGACCGGCAGAGTTCACTTGAGAAAATATAAAGTACATCTGTTCTCTTCACTCCAGGATTAAACTGTGAGCCATCAGTACCATTGATATCATTGCAGAAAGAGTTAGGTTCCCAAAAATTAACTTTGCTGTAAGTGCAGATGAAAAAAATGGAATATTGTGAGAACTTGAGTTAAGAACAAAAATTAAGTCAATGTCAATTGCCAACCTTTTATCACTCCACTTTTCTATCTTTGTGAAACGATTGATATCCAATAAACCATTGTGTACAGTATATTCACCATCATGTGTTCCATTTTTCTATGAAATAAAAATAACAATTGAAAAAATGATTAAATGGCAAATAACAATTGAATCAAGAGTGTCACGATAGATTAAGCATCTAGATGAGAAGTGAAGACATGCACTTCTGAAAAGATACTAGGAACTTAAAAATTGAAATCATGGAATAGATAATTCATTTATATGAATCTATTGCATCTACCAATAATTTCAATTATAAAACAAAAAGTTTCAATACTCACATTCAGGAAAAACCCAAAAGTATCTTGCAGCTGGATTGAAACTCCAAAAGTTTTCAATTGCTGAATAAGTTGATGAACGAAAGAGATCTGATATCCATCAAAGAGTATCTCTCTAACTTTTTTCTTAATGAAAAGCTGTTGATTGCTAATAACCATAAGATTGTCTAGAATAGGCATTATCAATTGTTTTATCGTGGCTGTTGTTTTTTTCTTGGCAATCAACGTGGATAAAACCTGGAAATAAAATGAAAAGTCAGTGTAAGTAGCGAGATCATAGTCAATAATCAATTCATCGAGTAAAAGCTCCAAGTCAACTTACAATTGCTGGTACATTAGGAATACTATACTCATCATCCAATGATCCAATAGATTTGTTTCGATTAAAAATATACGTTTTGAATTGATTGTAGGAAATTGAACCAGATTCCTCATCTGAACCAGTTACAATTTTATGGCGCGATTCGTCGAAAACATAAGGTCCCCGTTCGACAACAATTGGTTGCGCTGAACCTGAGGCCACTTCTGTAGGATTTGTGACCTCAAAAATTGTAAAACTCATAGTGATGGGAACCTTAACCTTCAACCATCTATCCATTGATTCGGATCCATGAACCAAAGGAACTTTCTAAATGGGGATTCAGCGGCGACAGTCAAAGATGAGTGACCAGAAATCAAGCAATAAAGTAAAGTAAACAAAAAACAAAACAAAAATTTAGTAAAAGCAGTCAGGGCAAAAGGAAGAGAAAAAAGCTAACAAAAAAAAGAAATAGCAATTGGGAAGAAAGCAAATAGTATTGGGCAAAGGGAAAAAGGAAAACATGTTGAGGTGAAAGGTGAATATTTGAAACTGGTTGTATTTAATCAACACTTACCTCTTTGATTTTCTTGGAAATTATATCTGGAAAGTATAAAAGAGCGATGGTAGAAAGAATCGCTAAAATGAAGCCGATGAAACCAGCAAATGCGAGACATGGTTTTTTAAAGGCCATGGTTAACTAGAGGTTCAAGTGTTGAAGGTAAACAAAGAAAATAAGAACAAAGAGCGAATTTTCACTCTTAAAAACTTGATGAGCAAATGGTTAAAAGTTGATAAAATACTGAAGTTGATGAGTGACACAAATGGTTGAATCTTGGTTAACGGTAAAGATGTCTTCCTAAATAATAAAGACACAAAAAAGAGAAAATTCAAATTTAGCTTAACATGCTAACCGGACGGAGGGAATGCGTTCCTACTAGAAAAGATGAAAAATAAAGTTTGAGAGGCACAGAGGCGAGAGGGAGAGAGAAAAGAGAGAGAGAGAGTGAGAAAAAAAGATGAAAGATTTGGAAGATAAGAGGGAAGAAGAGATTGAGAAGAGAAAAGAGCATTAGTGTGTGAACAAGTGAGAAGAAGAATCAGTTGAAAGACGAAAAATTTACCCGCGTTAAAAACAAAAAAAAAGGTGAAGACCTAAAAAGGCAGACCCAAAAGGGAACAATAATTCACAAGGTTGGACTGGTTAGTCAGAGAAGGGAAAGCTTAAAGGCTTAATCCATGGGTTTTAAAAGGATGAGAGTTGAACTGTGATGATAAGTAAAATGTTATCTTAAGCAATCAACATAGCAAAATGAGTGATCAATGTGATTGCTGGTTTATTGTTGATGTTAACATGATGACAACAAGACATGTTATGATGATGGTTGTTTAGACGATGATTCAAACTAAATATAAAACATTTCAACTTCAACGATTAAACCAATCACAATTAAGACTTTGATTTTTTAAAAATTAAGATCTGTTTGCTTGATTGAAAGTTGATGTTGGTACCCAACAAGTCAATATGAAAAGGAAACACTTTTTTTTTCTCTGCCTTTGAGGCTTATCATTCAATTTGCTGGTTATAATTTGCTTAAGGCTATTAAACTATGATTTTATAGTTAGCAGAGAACGATGACGATGATGAGAAGATGATAATGATAATGATGATGACGATTAAGAGTGGGTTAAACGTATATAAGGTTGAAATGATTATAAATGTGAAGATGATCCAGTTTTGATTAAAATAACAAGAAACTGAATTTTACTTTTAATATTTAATACTATTGATTACGGGCGTTTATTTTTCCTGCTTATTGGTCATCTTTTTTGTTCATATCAACGTCATCATGATCACCATAACAAACAACATGAATTTAATTTGATTTTAATAACTATTTCAATTTACATGTTCGGTACTTTTTGGGTTGTGAACCCAAATTTTTAGCCTCTACTTAAAGGTCCGATTAAAATCTCGTGTTAATCTGTATTATTGGGTTTAATAGCTTTTGATTGCTTCTTCTCTAGGTTAACATTGTGATCATCAATTAATAAGTAACTACTTTTGATTAACTTATCTTTCATCATCAGAAGTAGGAAACAGGTTTGATTGATACCAATGAATAGGACAAAATAAGTTGTGTGTGTGTTGATCATTGTAACTGTTACAATGGCAAAACCATCAACAGTAGTAATACAAGGATAATGATCATCAAGTCAATGATAATAGTTGATAATGAAGGTTCTAATTAATCATAATTGGTGTTAAACAAAATACAAATCAACAATGATTGTCATAATGGTTGACATTTTGGATGAAACAATTGAAAAAAAAACAAATTTCCAAGTCAACAGAACACACAAAAACAGTTGAAATACAGATTGAAACCAAGAGCTATTTTTGATTGAAGCCATTCAATGAAACATTTAAAATTACAATTATCATTAAGGTTATCAATTGGTAAATCAGATTTCAAAAATTTACAAGGAAATTGAACAATTTAAAGATTGTAAACTAATATGAAAAGGCATCGAGTAATGGAAAGGCAACAATCTAAATCCATTCAGAAAGCATCCAATTGCAAGTGTAAATTGCAACTTACCAAATCAATCGAAGAGTAGTTGAATTTATTCCGTTGATTATCCAATAATCAGTCTAATTGTAAATCCAATTGTTGTCTAAATAAACTGATTCCATAGTAAAAATCACAAACAATTAGTTAATGTTGGAAGCCACTCAGAGAGTAAATTAAACTTGTAAATAATGAAAGATGATTGAGATGTTGCTTGTTCTGGTTAAGTTGGTTTAGATAATGATTTAGGTGATGAGTGTTGAGGACGATGAGACTGGTGCTGAAGGAAATAAATAAATTGTAAAAGAAGGCAAATGCCGAGTGAAAGGACAAGATGAAAATGAGTGTTTCAATGTTGAAGATGCAATGAAAGTGAGTGAGCTGAAATTACATTAAAAGATGGTGTTCGTGTTCATCTTCACAGGTATCCTTAAATGTGTATTCAAGATGATAACCTTGATTTACTTGGTTAATGTGAGCCGCTCCTTGATCAACTTGATCAAGGGAAGCTATTACAATGTTTAACTTTCATTTATAAAAGATATATATAAATATGGTTACAATCAATTTCCTTTGATTCAATTGTAACTTATTACCAAGCACAGTCAACAATCAAAATCATATTACATTAAGGCTTAAAACTAAACTAAAAAAAGGTTGAAAGTCAATGGAAATAAGAAACTGGCTTTTTATTTCTGGTATTGCTGGTAACCAGAAAAATCTGGGAACACACAAGAGATATTTATTTTTTTAGGAAAATTTCATCTAAACAAGAATTTTTATTGTTCATTGAAACATAAATTAGTGACTCAGTCAATGATTGTTTCATATTTCAACGATTAAAATCAATGTATTCAGTGATTTGTAAATGTTCATCTTCCTTGTGTTGCTTGTTGGCTTTTAAAGGTTGCTTCAAATGTAGACGAATGGTCGGATAATTTTCAGACAACCACTATTATGGTTTAATGCTGTTGTTGGCAATGATTTACAAATATAAAGTGATCTACATCATCAATACAGGTTATCTCATCTTTATTTCAAGTTTTCATGGTTTACAAATTACATGGTTTCAAGTACAATGTATACACACACACACAAGACATGGAACCAGAAAGTGAAAGTTAAAAGAGATTCAAGTTTGAATGAAAAGGCTAACAAAAACTTGATTTTTATCATAATTATTATCATGATGATGATGAAGGCTGAAACTAGACTAGCCTTTGAAAATCCAGCTTTGGGTTAGGTTAGGTGAACATACACTGAATTCATTATAAAGAATTGTTGTTGAGATCATTTCAAGCCATTGGAGTTTATTTACCTTAATTGTGATCTGTACAACAATTTTCATTTTAAAAGGTGATCAACAAGGTTTGATTAACAATCCAACCTCTCAACCTCTTAACCATTAAATTTATCCTTATTACCATAATTCACTTGGATAAATTGATAGTTACAATGAGAATCAACTTTACAATTTCAATGCTGATGCCCTCAACTTACCCTGGTAACCAAATTAGCGTCCAACATGGCTTTGATCAAGCATATTACTGACAACCTTTACACTCGTTAGTTTGATTGTTTTGAAAAGAAACAAAAAAATGTAAAACCATTTCTAATGATTAACAATGATCTGAATCAATTTCATGTAATGTTGATTGCTAAATGAAGTCCAGAAATGATGGTTCTTGAGACAGCGATCCTCGTTATTTACCAATTACAATATGATTGAGTCCAACCTTTCGACTAAAGTTTAACAATCCGTTTGAAACAGTTGAGTTATGAGTTGTTGGCTTGGTTGAAACAGAAAGGAAAAAAATTCCATTGGAAATTAAATGTTGATTAAAATTACTATTTTGATTGAAAACCTTTCAAACTGATCAATGATCGGTTTAATTTAAGCCTGAATTGGAATCTCATTCTGAATAATAGTTGAGTTTAACCGGGCTAGACTTTTGTTCACCCGTGTTTACTTGAATCCAATAAACAGATCACTTCTTTGAAACAAAAATTTTGCTTTATTAGTTTATACAAATGATATTATCCAATATTTTACTCTCTTTTACCTTCCTTTTTATTTCAAATCCTTTTCAAACAAATATTGTACTTTACTGAAGTAAACAACAACAAATGATGCCTTTTGATGTGTATGAATTTTACCTTAACTATTATTAATATTACGTGATGAATTTTAATTTTGTGAATCTATTTTCATATCTTGGATTTATTTTTTGCTGTTTCCATTTAATAACATGGATGTAACTTTTATGCCTGATCAGGATGATAATTGTTGTGTTCAGTGAGCAGCAAAACAATGAAGGTCAAGCTTGAAAGAAATGCCTTTAAATTGTTGTGTAAATCAATTGACCGAATCACACTAATCAACTAAAATAATGAAATGTTGGCGTAACCACGAATGTAATTTCATTATTTCATCTATTCAACCGCTATTATTACAGTGAAGACAATGTTTATCATAAGATAGTTTTTTAAGCTGACACTTTTTCCTTGTTTACTTTCTGGTTATTTCTGTCATCTCATCAATTGAAACATTCAACTGCTAATCAAATGAATCATTCTAATAGTATTGTCGATTTACTGCTAGAAAATATATAAATATGTTCCGTGTATGAGTTTGGTCTTTTGCACCAAGGGGCATTCAGGGTGTGATAATGTCACGGTGCTTTTATAATAGTAATCCAGCGGTCAATACGTTATGGCTTTTGATCTGTTAAAGTTCATTTCAACTATTACTACTATTGATAATAGAGAAAATTTCGAATTAAGCATAAAAGATCAAGAGAAAATTCTTGTTGAATGTATATAATCGTGCAATTTACATGAGTAAGCGCATTTTGGAGCACTAGTCAACTCACGGGTACAATAAAAAAATTACGATTTCATCTCATTTTAGCAGTTAAATTTACATCAGAATATATTAGTTGCAATCGCCATGCATTTTAATTTTATTGCCTTCACTATGGTGAAAATTGTATACTGTCTTAAAATCTGAAAATGAACGCATATTTCGCTAATAAATAGCAATAGTTAGCAATAGTTTCACATCACTTCGTTTTGTAAACACTGTTATAACTACTATGAAATCACCGAAATGTTGATTTGAGGAAAAATTTTTTTGAATTAGAATGGAGTTACAATAAATATTATTCAATGTTGAACAATAGTTGGGTTAGTGAAAGTAGTGAAACTCATCACACGACAGTAACGCTTGATTAAATTCTGTAATTAAATTAAACACAACGAACTATTTTGATGATTTTTATTTGATTTCGCTCATTAGCACTTGAATTCCTAAATAACTTACAATAAAACATTGCCGTATTAATGCTAAACTAAATACGTATTTGAAATAAAAAATAAAGCAGACTTGCAGCGAGAGCAATATGGTGGATCCATCTAGTGATAACTTTCGTTGATGTATACATGAATAAGTGAATCCAAACATAATTGATTCAGCATTCAACTCTTAAATTTTGTCTATTAATGCGAGATCCGATTGTTCATATTCCCACTAGAAACCATTCTCATTCAGATAGATTCTGCACCGAAGTAATTTTAGGGACATCTAATTATTAAAATAAAATTCGAAGAAAATCAATAGAAATAAGCAAATAGCAATTTTAGCAACAAGAATTTTCAATAATTAGAAATATTTAATACCTAATTTGAACAAAGATTGTATTGCTAACGAAATCTTTTTTTCTTTATTATTTTCATTGTTTTAATTCTAATATTTATTAAAGCTGCTAATCGAAAATGATCAACTATCATTTAGTGATAGTAAGCCTACAATCACGGTCTTACAGTCTGAATACTATAAACGAAAATTAAAATAAGAAATTCTAACAAAAATGATTGAATGCAAACAATAATTACAAATTAAATAAATAGCTAGTTTAATTCGACATCGTAAAAGGCAAAAAAAGAGCTAGAAAAAAATAGAGAAATATATTTAAATGATTGTTCTATTATTTAGCATTCGATTTTCGATTTATTTTTCTAGTGATAATGTCCTTTTCTTTCCACTTGGTACAACTCTTATTTGCGAGTCCGGATTTTAGCTATTTATTTAACAATTTTTTTTGTACGCAGCAAACAAATCTTTTCTAATCTAGTGATTGATGCCTTTCAATTCTTCTTGTGATCGAATCGATGAATGCTTTGCAATTATGATCCATAACAAAAAACTACGAGCTTTGGTATTATTTTGGTTAAACAAAGTCCTCTTTACTTTTGGATCTATTTTGAATACTAAAATTAAGAAAAAAAATATAAAAGTTATAGATAAATTATAAACGTATAATGAAATTTATATAGATAGATTGGTTTAGGAAAATTATAAAAAATCTCAGACCAGTTTATAATTAATTTATATCAAATTTTTATTGTAAAAAACGGACGAATTGTTTTTATTAAAACGATTCTTATTATAAATGTTATTACTCATTGTTCAGCTTTGACGTTAACTATCACTTCTATTAAAATTCTGTTAAATAACATGTAACAACTAATATAATAAATATGGGAAAAGGAATAAAATATAGAAAAATAAAATTACAAAAAAATGTATCGCTTTTTCATAATAGTAAGAAATAAACTAGCAAACTTGAGATATTGGGACCTACAAAATTTATTTGAGATTACGAACCTTTTCAAATTTGAAACGATAAATTAAACGTTGGCATAAACGTGCCCTATTTTCTATTCTAAGATTTAAGATTTAGTACTTCATTTACTGAGATCTGACATATTATAAAATCCCTTTTTAATATATTTAAGATAAGTTTGGAGTAAATAAACTTCTTTTATAGTTTTCTTTCATACATTTCTCGCTCTATGTCGCAAAAATTTTACCTTTATTTTACTTTTCGCAGAATTAACAAAGAAAGCTTAAAATAAAATAAAAACGATTGAGCTAAACTTAGAAAATATATATCAAATGTGTTATTTTACAGTTGACTGTTACTTTACTGTAAAATACTTAAGAAATTCTGTATTTTGAAAACAAAAATGGCAATAATTCTGTAATTGGTTTTAATAATATCTGCAAGATTTTCTAATAATGCAGAAATAATTGTTCTGATAATTGAGCAACCAGATTGTTTAATCAGATTTTGCATTTTCAAGTTTTGAATTTAAAAAAGATGACAGTAAAATGAAAGCAACTTATGACGCATAATAGCTTCAAGCAATCATCTAATAAATATTATGATCAATTAACAATATTGAATATTGAAGTTTGATAAAATAACTCTAATTACATCCAGTTGCCTACTGTTTCTAATTATACGAAATGTCAAAATCTCGTTAATATTGAAAAAGCTTACGAACCGAAAATTGTCTATATTTGGTTATCAAAATGAGTAATAAATTAAGCTACCAAGTTCCCGAATGAATGTAAATAAGTAAAAATTTCAAATTCAAGTTTCTTGAAAATTTTGAAGCTTGTTTTGCAAAACCTTGAACATTTTCACGATGTTAAGAAATACGCGAGATATTTGATAAACCAAAAAACTCCGAAATCAAATGATTAAAATCCAATTGCAAACAGTAATTTTTTCAAATATCATCTCAAAACAAAAATTTAACGTTTTAAATCATCTAAATTGATAGTATAAGCATGTTTTTATAATAAATCCATCGAAAATTTTGACTTTTCCGAAGATGGTTTCACTTATTTGAAATGTTTGTTGAGACATATTTGTAGAGATGTATTCGAGAACAGTGTTGCTTAAAATGATAGTAAATAGCGTTAAAAAAGCTCTAAACACAAACATTGATCAATTAATTGAAGCAAAACACAATCATAAATAATAAAATTCTAACATTTTTTATAAAGGAAAGAGTTATTGCAACATAGCACAAGACCAAGTTTCAATATATGTAATTTTTTAGAATATAATATAATAGGTCGTATAGAATGGATGTTTCCAGGATAAGTTGATCCGACTTTCCACAAATGTTATACCAATTAGGAGTTTACATAATGATATATGGTAATAGAAATAAATAAATCATTTAGAAATAACGAAATGGTTTGCTTGATATTCGCTATTCGTATAATATCATCGCCTCCAAACTGAGATGTCAGTTATCACGGGAGAAACCGGATTCTTGAGAGTTCGGCCAAGTCGAAAATCATACACCTTACGACAGAAAAAAACTCGATCAGGAAAAACTTTTCTCATCGGAATTCTGCCTCGTCTTTTATAATCTTTTCCGGTGGGTACAACAGTTTCCGTCAATGAATGAGAAAGATTCTCCGATTCCATCTTCTGTATCTTCCGAAAGCGACAGTATTCATTAAATGTTAAAACATAACATTTATCATCAATACAAGCAACACTATTGACGTCTTGATGTTTGGATGCAAATATTTCATCCAGTTGATCATGAGGCTTTCGTCCAGGTTCAGTGTGTTCAGGTCTATAATACCAAAGTAGACTCATCATCATTTCACCTGAAATAGTTTAAAAAATAAAAAGTGTTAAAAGTATAAAATATATTATTAACAAAAAATAACAATGAGTTTGATTACTAACCAGTTTCAGGTGCTTCCCAAAGAGCACAGATTTTCGCAACAAAATGTAAATCAGTTTTTCGAGGACCACCTCGAAGTAAAACACTGTCGCGGACTTTAATTACATCGCCTTGGATATGGCAAATAGCAGGATAACAGTCTCTTAACTTGGGAGGCTCATCAGGCTAAAAAGAGTGAAGAAAAGGATTAGTGAATTGGTTAACTAAAAAGTAAACTATAAATTAGGTTAAATTTACCTTAATGAATACAGGTTTCTTGGAAGGATTGCCTCTCCATGACCAACCATGGAATAGCTTCTTTTTTCCTGCTTTACGAGCGAGTCCTACTTCAATAGAGGAAACTATAGTAGTGGTTGGACTTTCATTCACTGAATTACTATCAATCAAACTCTTATTTGATTTAGTTGGACGTTTTTTGGTGGAGTTTAACTGGCCATTGGCATGGCTATTAGAAGCCGATCTGTCACTACTGGTCACAATCTGGTCTGGTGAAGTAGAACTGGAGCTTGTTCCTGTTGTTGATTTCAATAATGTAGGTTCATTAAAATTTGAAGGAGAAGTAGATGTTGCAGTTGATTTCGTGAGTGGTGTAGTAGTTGAAATGGTTCCTGAAGATTTAGATGAAGGAGGTGATGGTTTAGCCTGCGGATATCTAACTCTACTTGATTGGGATTTATGTTTGTTGAACACAGAAGCATTATTAATTTCTGTTTGTTTTCGATGTAGTTTCCTAGTCATGTTTGTTGTTGACGAGTCAGAGTAAGATGAATTGACAGAAGCATCTTTTAACGAGTTATTCTGATGTGATGATGTAACAAGTCTCTGCTTATTTGATCCATTCAAATTTTCTGCATTGGTATTGTTAGCAGTGTGCGTGAAAGCAGAAGTGTTGCTAACGCTATTAACACTGGGATGATTATTCGTGGAACTGGTTACATTAACAGGAGTAATGATGATATTGGATTGACTAGTTGATGATACAGATGATTGCTGATGACATGATCGTTTAGACTCAGGGTTAGTATTAGTAGAGCATTGGACGCTTTTACTAAAACGGTTTGTACTCGATGTTAACAAAGGACTTATTTTTGCAACATTTGATTGGTGATTAACATTTGGTGACTCATAAGATGGCGACCGAGTGTGATTATTGTTTGAAGTTGATGGTAAACCAACTTGTGTCGATATTGCATTGCTGTTAAAGGAAGCCATTTCTTTGACCAAATTTGATGGTGAAGCAGATGATAGAGTGGTCAGATTATCCACTGAAACTGGTGTTGCTATAGCGACAGGGGCAGGTCCAGGAACAGGGGATATTCCTTGAGGTAGTTCGGGGTTAATAATTGAGTTAGCTGCTGATGAAGATGATGATGCTAGAGTTTGAAACATACTGGGTGTAAGATGACCAGGCAAGATTGAAGTCGAACCGAGGAAAGCGATTGAAGGTCCACCTGTGGATCCATTGGATGATGAAAATGATGATGTTGATGGTACTGAAATCGGTTGAATTGAAGACAGGTTTCTTTGATTGGATTGAACAGCCTGAGTAGTCGCCATTGAATCTCGACCCATGAACGAGGCTGGATTGTTAACAGCAATATTCACCGAAAGATGTTGAGAATCGTGGTGTGGTGATTGGTGGATAGTGATCTGATCGTTTGTAGAGGATAAATTGTGATACATATTATTGGCCCGTAGAGAACAAGAAATATCATTATTCGGATATTGGAGGATGTAATAGCTGGGCTGTTCGTATGAGATAGCCTTAGATGAGAAGGAATTAGTCTCAAACCGACTGGTCCCGGGAACTGATTGCTGAGATTGTGGTGGTAGCTGCTGCGGTTGCGACGATGGTTGGTGTGGGGAAGTAAGAGGAGAGTTTGACATTGGTGATAAAGGATTATGGGAAGACATTGATGGTAGAGGAGGGTGCTGAGGTTTCTGCATTGAAGACTGGAGTGGATGAGGTGGTGGTGGATTAGGGAAAGTGTGAGAGGGGTGGGAATGAGGAGTAGACGTGTACTGTTGAGGATGTTGAGGTTGTTGCGTATAACTTGATCTCTTCTGGTAATAGACGAAAAAGTAAAGACAATCGGAAAAAGAGAGTGGGACGAAAATGACAGAGAGTGATGAACACAGAGAAGTGTTAGTTAAACCTTAGTTTTGCATGTTAATAAGAGGAAACAAATAATGACCAACACAAACGTGAACCGGAAGCTATCGCTCGGGTCAATATATTAAAAAAAGAGTAGCGCTTAATTTGATTAGCTTAAGACCTGGTTTGTGAGTATGCAATAATCATAAATGGCTAAATTGATATGCAGAAATTTCTGAAACATTTCTTAAAAGTTTTCAAGCTAACGAACTAGTAATCTTTAAATTGTCAAATACAAAAACGAACTGAATAAATATTATCTAATAATACATATAATATATACAAAATTAACTTAATAACAAAGTGCATTTTCCATTGCATAAAATCACAAAAAAGGTCTGCCAAAATCAAAAAATGGTCGCGTGTTCAAGCGAAGCGGAATGGGACACACAACTGCAGCACTTACAATTGGATTGAATTCCCTGTAAGTCTGGTCGGAATGGTGAGCCATTTGAGAAGCATGATAAGGAACAGGCTTGTGCAAAGAATAAGCCCGAATATATGGATCATGGATTGGTTGGATAATCGGACCGCTATGTTGGTAGAAACCTGAAAGAAGGAAAAATAAACAGTTAGAGTTGATAATTCAAATTGAGCCGATTTTGAAAATAAAATGTTACTGTATCATTCTAATAAAAAATATAATATAAGGCATTTTATAAGCTTATTAGGCATGATTATTTTACGTTATTATCATCTTTAATCATGATGATTCATAATCTCTGGTTTTGCATGTGAAAAGGATCAGATATGAAATTTGCTTTCTCTTGTGATTCATTAATAAAGAAATATGAATCTAAAGAATTATATCTAAATTAATGTGTGAAAGGGAGTAATTAATTTGCTATTGAACTAAAAACCCTGATAAATGCAATTAGATTATAAAAGTTTATGAGAGAAAATGACTTCCTTAAGATTTTCCATCAATCTTTAAATACACAGTTTAACTTTCTCACCCCATTTCTCAAGTTCATCAAAAAATACTCATTTCTTTTTAAACAACAATCAACTATTATTTCAAGATAAATTCAAAATCCCATCCAACAGTATAGCAAAATAAAAATTTGAATATTTTTTTCTGTCTTTATAAAATATCTTGTTTACTATGAAGCAATCAGATATTGAATTTCGATGGATAAATTCAAAAAAATCTGTAACTTTCTGCTCACTCAATTAATTAAATGGTTCAGATTTTATCAATACTAAACTTTCACAATTTTCATAATCTTTTTAAATAATCAGGATTGGAATGCTGCAATTTTGTTCACTATAAAATTGATTCAGACCATGATCATTATGATTGAATCAGCTAAAGTCTGACCAAAAACTGTAAAGATACATTTGTTAAAATTTTTCTGATTCCTTACCATATGATTCAGTTGGGTAGTTGATGGAAGCCGCATGGTTAGAATGATTAGGCACTGAAAAGGCACTCGCATAATGTGATGGATATTGTGGCCCAATATTGAGAACTGGTATCGGATTAATCTGATTAATGGAGCTATTTGACGATGTTAAGGCTCTGTAAGGCTGATTACAAGCTACATGGACAATTGAGGGTTGATTAGGATAGCTGAAACAAGCAGCAGCGGCAGCAGCAGCGGCTGCGGCTGCAGCATTATGATTAAGACCTTGATTTGTTGCGGTTAGAAGAGGATTGTTCTGTAAAATATTGGCACCATTGGCAAGGTGTAAATCACCAACTGTTGGACCATTTGAAGATGGATACAAAGGTAGGCAAGGGACAGTATGAACAGCATTGGATGATGTAATAAAGTTAGCTGATGGATTAGGAGAAGGATGAAATGATGATGTTTCCATTTGCACACGATAACTTTGGCTTGACGCTTTTGTTTGGTGATGAATATGATATTTTTGAACGATAGCATCTTCATTGAGAATTGTCTCAATTTGATGAGCCGTTTTCTCCCGTTCATTTGATAAATCGGTCGCTTCACTTGTGTTTATCTGAACTTTCGTTACTTGATATTCTGTAGTTCGTCTCAATCCAGTCGTTGCTTCTCTAGTTGTTGTAGTACTTTGTATCGATCGACGACATTTCTTGACACTTTTAGCAGTTACCTCTCCCAGACCTGATTTAATGAATTTACGACCATTTTCAATTGCAGTCTGTTTCAACTCTTTGCCCACCATATTATATTCCCTTTCCATCATTTCAATAGCTAATAATCTTTCACGAATTTTACCACTGGATCGTCGAACTTTCTTGACTAATTCTATGGTCTGAGCTGATTCAACCACAACCTGATCGGCTGTACAAGAATGAATTGCATTACCACCATTTTGTGGTACTTGCAATCGCGATTTACGACTTGAACTGATCTTTGTTTCGTGAATCTCTACAGTTGATCCGGTTGATCTAGTGGACTCAATTGACCGACTTCTTTTGAAAACTTTTCTTTCTGAAAGTGCAGAGGCTGCCAACATTGCGGATGCATTGAGACTGGCCATACGTTTACATGATCTCGTGTCAATAAATTCAATATCTTCATCGACCAATTTTCGCTTTCTTCTGACAGCGACTTGTTTATTCTTTGAATCATGAAGCACTAAGTCTTTTACTTTGGATGCTGGTTCTTTCTTTGTCGTCTTTTTTGCAGCATTTACTTTCTTGACATTTTTCTTTTTAGAATCACTTTTCTTTTTCTTGTCGTCTTTTGAAATTTGTGATTTTTTCGCGTTTTTAGCTGGTGTCATTTTGCTGTAGCTTTTAGCTACTTTGACAGTCGGTGTAGGTGATGGTGGTGGAGTCGGTGAAACAACAGAATTTGAAGATACTATTGGCATATCACGCTCTGATTCAAATAATAAATGAACTTTACATATTGCATTCAAACTGGCCATTCGTTGACCTCGTCGTCTGATTTGATTGCAACTTTCATCGTCAGTTTCTTTTGTATTTGTAGGCTCTTTCTTGATACGAGCATTGCACTTTACCTTTTTGACCTTTCTTTGATCAATTTTCTTGTTAGATTGCTTTGGTGTGATTAATGAAGCTTTCTTAGCAGAATTAGGTTTCTTTTTGTTGATTCTTTTTCCTTTAGGTTTCTTTGTTGCGTTTCTATTTGGTTTAGATGGGGATTCATTTTTGGAGGACGAAGAAATATTTGTAGATTTAATAGATTGTATAGATGTGGTGGTATTACAAGATGAATTCTTAGCACTAGTTTTACACCGATTTATATTAGAGGACTTTTTTGAATTTTGACTAGTATTTGGCTTTATTGGAGAAAGAGGTGTGATTTGATTTACGGCGGGCTGAGTTTCTGGTGAAGATAGTAGAGAGATATTTTCGGATGATAAGCGAGATGAACCATTTACAATAGTTTTACCCGAATCGCCATGAGGTTTTGTTTGACTTGCAGAGTTTGTAGAGATCCCATGACTTTCATTTGTCAACATAGGTGAGGAATTTGATATAGTGGCTGCTCGTGTAACTGAGTGTGATGATGAAGATGAAGATAGTCTACCACGATTTTTTCTGGAAGAAGGCAAAACAGATGTGGACATAGCTTTGTTTCGATGATCACAACTGGATTTAGAATTGGATGAGTTCATCTTCGACGTAGCAGAAAAGGAGAATGATGATGATTTAGGTGATTGGGCAACTGAATTATCCAAAAAGAAACTGGAATTTGGAACATTGGTAGATATAATGGTCCGAGACCTTAAGCTTTTTTCACTGATGTAATTTTTATCTTGCTTATGTTGTTCACGATAATCATCACTGTAATTAGGAGTAACACCAGATTCTTGTTTCACTTTAGGGCCAAGGTCTTTCAACGGTTTATTTGTTGTTGATATCTGGTTAATTAAAATATCTTTGCTTTTGCTTTTACCAATCTTGTTGGCAGTTTTACTAATCCCGTTGAATGATGAACTAGTATTACTTCTATTACCGGCCAATGACCTCATTCTACTATTACTATTGATAAGAGTGATGTTTAAGCCACTAACGTCAGATTCATTGATAGCAGAGTTAATGCTGGTAAAAGAACTGGTGTTGGTTTTGTGAAGGCTGTTGATATAACCTGTCTCAGGTGACTCCTTTTTTCTCAATCGCTTATTAGTCTTGGTATCTAGACGAGAACCGTTTTTGTTACGTCGCTCTAACTCTCCAACATTGTTCCTCCCTGAACCATTCTTCCGCATCATCATTGGGTAAACTCTTTACTCTCTGTTTTCTTGTTTTCCCTCCTAAATTTGAGTGGAACGGTAATAGAATGTGATAGATTTATAACTGGATTGCTATATATTGGAATTTATTTCACTATTAACTATAGTAGTTATCCTTTGCATACTAATTTCACATGCAACTTCGTAGATACATATAGCACGGTTGATAAAAATTGAGTATTACTAACGGTAAGTGATACACTACGATGAACAAAATTAGTCAAGTTCCTTTTTCCAATACACAGGTTAACGATGTGTCACAATAGTTGTATTAAAAAGCAATAGGAGTTATTGTGATAAAAGTGATCGATGCTGGATAATTAGTATCACCAGTTAAGAGATAAGTATTTGTCGATGATATTGGAATTGATAGATGACGATTGAAGGTAGAAAATATTGCTAAATATATACATACAGGTTTGTTGTTACACTGTTATTGATGATGCTCAAGATGGTAGTATAGTGAATTTAGATTTTCAATTTTTATTTACCTGTTTACCGAGATCATATCGAGTATCAACCATGATGATGGATAGAAGCAAAAATGGAGTTTTCAGGAAAATATATGTATATACACGGTATATAAACAAAGATTGAGGATTGAGATCCGAATGTTGTTTAATCAAATTCTGATGATTAGATGAAAGCTGTTGAAAAATTTGAACAACTTACTCATAACAAATAAAAAATCTTGGTCAGTTAGCTTGATATCTTTGAATGCTGTTCAATACTCAATATTATTTGTAGGCAGAAATTCCTAATTCTATACTCTTTTACTCAAAATGGAGGATTGATGAAAGAGAGACAGGAGGAAGTTTACGATAGCGCATGCACCATGAGCCATTCAAGCTCAAGCCTTGATTTGGATGAGTGATTTGATGGTCACCCCTGCTTTACTGTACTAAGCTTGGCCAGCTGAAGTTTAAAGGTTTAGCAAAATCAAGAGTCTTACGGTTAGAGTCAAATCTATGGCATATTTTAGGCATTTAACCACCAGGAAGCTACAGAAAACATTCTGAACACAACAACATGGAAGTTATATGAATAACGGATTTTCAATTCCAAAGATTTATTTAATACATTTTATCCCTGTGCCCTTTCGCCCTCTATGCGTTAGTTGAAGACGCTAAAGTAGCGACAAAAAGTCTAATGTGATGCTTTAAATTCGCACAAGCCGTTTCTAAGCAATAAATACCGTATAAGGTATTACGTGGAGTTTTAATATGGATACGTGTTTAATTTATGATCCATTACCGGATCATGACAGATTGCGTTCTTTGAATGGAACAAGTAATTAGCTTATCATTGATGGATTTGACTTACAATTGTTAAATCAATTGTTCATAATGAACTTGTTATTTAATTATTTAAGGGAATGATATGTAGTGATATTTATAATTTGTATGATAGAAAAGATGTGAAATGCGGAAAGAAAACGACAGAGATGAGCCTCGATTCAAGAAACATTAAATTCACTGTGGATGCTAGATTTTGTTGTGAATCGTTAATCTGTGATTAGATTCACTCGCATCTTACGTATCTTGACTCGCAAAGTGTTGACTGAAAAAAATGCACAGTCGAAAGGGTTTGAAGAATCCGCATCAAGATTTGAATAATAGGCTTGGGCGATGTAAGTGAGGCTTTTCTAGCAATACAAATGTATAATAAATGGCGTTTATATCAGAATACAACTCTATTTAAGTTTTAAAACTCGATCCACCGTTACGATTACGGGCGTTGTGCTTTAGCGCTTTAATCTCTTCATTCATGAAAGTAGAGACTTGAATGTTACCCTAACTCTTAAGTTCCTAATGCAATGGTCTGAGATTGAAGAAGTTTTACGAACATTTGGAGGCGGCGCAGGTTAATCGAGTCTCTAAAGAGTTCTAGTTGATGGCAATCTCAGAGTAATGACTACCTGGATAAGATTTAGACTTCAAGGCTCAAAGATGGACAAGATCATGTTTTATGAGACACCAAGCATTAAAATAAGCCATTAGCCATTAAATAATCAGATTAACTTGAAAAGCGTTTTAATTCATTGACGTTTTCGGATATTTTTTGTCTTTTTCGTGACATTAAACTGAAAAATATGTTTAAATATCTTCAATTAGGATATTGTATCACTTCAATTTTATTATAATTATGGTAGATGATGCACATGAAGCATTAATTAGCTCCTCATTTTAGTCAGTTTGTTTCATTAATATGCTAAAACATTTTCTTTATCAAATTCTCACCTTTAAAATCAGATGTTTATTGTTTGTAAATGATTTAAGCTAATATGCCAATTTAATTCCTAATGGCAAAGCACAATAATCAGCTGAAATTATTAACATAAAAAATCCTATTATTAATACAATTTTGCAAGCAATAAAAACCTTAAATATTCAAAGATACTTAAGCATAAATAAAGAATTGATAATTACTCAAATAGCTGTGTCTGACTTCGGCGCTGAAATTTCGAAGTTGATTGGAGTCAAATTTGTTCGAAAAGATTGTAAAAGAAAAACGAAATCGAAACGTTGAATATATGCACAGATTACATTAAATTCAAAAACAATGAAAATCCCATTTCTTAAACTATTTAAAAAATCAAACAGATGATTTAATACTGTAAACTGTTCAATAAATTAATCTTATATTTGGTTTGTTCATTTGCTGAGGATTATTAAATAAATAAATCAATTAATAAAATGATTATTCAAATTAACAGTTTTATTATTCAATTTTTTCAATAAAATGTTTTTATAAAACCTAGTTAAATGTGGCGCTCTGTGAAAATGTGTTGATATTGTTTCGTCATTCTTCTATTTCTGTGGTGATAGATTAATAAATGATTAAACATAGTGGATTAGCTACCCATGAGATTATCAAATAATAGTTGTCATTTTTATTTTTCAGTCTTACATGAGACACAGTTTACTCAACAAGTTGCCAATATTTACCACTGTTTTCACTCATTTAACATGTAGAACACTCTCTATTTTCAGTGTTGCTTCTCCAAGCTGTTTTAATAAAAATCCTTTCACTTCTGTGTCCAATTGCCCGATTGACGTTCGGTGCAATCGTATAAATCGAGCATATTTTTCTAGTATGCCACCCGTCGAAACGTCTGGCTCTGATATTTCATCTCAAATTGATGAACTGATAAAAAAACAAAAGGCTCTCATCTTCTCCAAATCATGGTGTCCATTTTGTAAGAAGGTAAGTTTACAATGGCTTTTTGATTTTCTTTGCTTACTCAATGATTTTCATGAATCTTCTTCTTATCAGGCGAAAAATTTTTTCGATTCTATCAACGTTCCCTGGTTTGCCATCGAATTGGATGAAAGAGAAGATGGACCTCTGTGGCAGGAAACTCTTCTCACGAAGACAGGGAAGAAAACTGTTCCTCAAATTTTTGTTGATGAACAATTTATTGGTGGATGTGATGATCTTCTCAAAGCTGGCTCTGATGGTAAATTGAGCTTGATTCTCTCACCGAAAGTGCATGACTATGATCTTGTTGTTATTGGTGGAGGATCTGGAGGATTAGCTTGTGTTAAGGTTGGTTGCTTTGTTTCCTTTGTAATTCTCAGATTTCTCTGAGTTACATTTACTGCTTATTAAGTGCATGTACTTGCTAGTGCTAAAGTTTCAAAAATCTATTAATTACACTCTATTTTTATTACTCCCATATAATAATAATTTGTGATGTAACCTTTTATGCCATATTGTGATAAAAATGGAAGGTTATGAAGCTTTCGTTTCACTTTTAACTTAATCACCACAATTATGAATGATTAGTAGATTTAAAATTTACTCTTATTGCCTCTTGTAGGAAGCTGGCCGTTTGGGCAGGAAAGTAGCCTTGATCAATTATGTTTCTCCATCGCCTCGTGGATCACGTTGGGGCTTAGGTGGAACCTGTGTTAATGTCGGTTGTATTCCAAAAAAACTTTTTCATACTGCAGCACTCGTTGGTCAATCAATTAGAGATTCAAGTTCATTTGGCTGGATGACAAATGATAATGATACATTGGACATCCAGAAAAGTATATGACCTGTAAATTTATTTAATATTTCATTGGAACTCATCAGAATAATCTCTTAACTTGTAGATGTTCATATGGACTGGAAAAAACTCGTCAAGAATGTCCAAACGCATATAAAGAGTTTGAATTTTGGTTACAAAGTGTCTCTGCGAAAGAAAAATGTCGAACATATAAACGCAATTGGTACTCTTGAAGATGCACATACAATTAAGGTAAGTTCATTTGCTATTTGTTTCAAATATCAAATTAATTTTTACTTTTAATTTTTTTAGCTATCTTATGATAATCAAGAAGTTAAATATATAACAGCAGACTCAATCTTAATCGCTGTTGGTACTCGGCCAAATTATCCAAATATCCCTGGTGCAATGGAATACGGGATAACTAGTGACGATTTATTCAGTATGCCTTATCCGCCTGGTAAAACTTTGGTTGTTGGAGCCTCTTATGTTGCTTTAGAATGCGCGTCATTTCTTCAGGCTTTTGGTTTCGATACAACTGTTATGGTTCGATCCATATTACTCAGAGGATTTGATCAAGAATGTGCGAATCGAGTAGGAGAAATTATGGAGCATGAAGGAATTAAATTTATCCGAGACTGTGTGCCAGAATCAATTGAACAAATAACTCCAGGCGAACCTGGTCTTTTAAGAGTCAGAGCAAAACTCACCAATGGTGAATCTATTGTAGATGAATTTAACACCGTTGTCTTTGCTATTGGTCGATCAACTCGATTTGATGGATTTGGAATCGATAAACTTGGAATTCAATGTACCAAAAGTGGCAAAATTTTGATAAAAAATGAACAAACAAATATTCCTAATATCTTCGCCGTTGGTGATTGTACTGATATTAAGTTTGAATTGGCTCCTCTCGCCATCGAAGCTGGGTTCCTATTAGCTCGGCGTCTTTATGCTTGTACAAATGTTCAAACAGATTACGACAATATACCTACTACAGTATTTACCTCAGTGGAATATAGCTCTGCTGGTCTTACTGAAGAAGAGGCAGTTGAAAAGTATGGCCAAAAAGATATTGAAATTTTCGTTCAAAACTTTACTCCACTTGAATGGACTTTGCCTCATCGTCCTGAAAATAAATGTTATGCCAAGTTAATTTGTGCTGTCAAAGAAAATGTAAGTTGATTTTTATATATCTAAACATTTTAACGTAAGTTCTGATTTATTTCTTTTATTCTTAAAATTGTAGATGCGAGTATTAGGAATCCATTATGTTGGCCCTAATGCTGGTGAAGTTATGCAAATGGCTGCGCTATGTTTGAAGAAAAGCTGCAATAAAGATGAATTCGATGCTTTAATCGGTATTCATCCAACTTGCGCTGAGGTAAATCTCATTTCAGCATTAGACTTCTATTCATCTGATTAACACAAACTAATTGATTTCTATTTTTTATTTCAGATTTTCACTACTTTAGCGGTCACAAAGCGAAGTGGAGTCTCAGCTGATGCTCAAGGTTGCTGAGGTTAAATTTCCTCTCCTTCATACATCTTTGGATAATCAAGCGTATTTTATCATGATATGATATGATCAATCATTTCTCAATTATCCAAAGATTAGGAGAGGAACTCTCATCAACTCTTTTTTGTTTCAATTCGATTTACCGTTAATTCGGTTCTTTATGATGACTGGTGTGTAAAGCCTCTATGGAAGCGCACTAGTTTGATGCTCGATTTGGAATAAAATTTTTTGTAGTTAGCCAATCCCTTAATAAATTAAAGCATGATCTAATTGTACTATTGATATAGTTCTATTGATATTTTTTAGTACAGCCGTAGCGCAATTTAAATGAAAACGACCCTTTTCACTTTTTTCATTTCGCAATTTTTGTCTTTACCTCAGTTCTTGACTTCTTTTAATAACATTTTCAAAGAAATGCCAACGTAACACAAAAACTTTCTCCATCGAATTTTGTACAGAACGTTTTTGTCGTTTTTAACATTCACTAACAGGAAAATAGATTCCAGAAATATATAGATCATAGGAACAACATCAATTTCCAGTCGAAGGCGGCATACACGCCTGGAAAGCCTCAATAAAAGTCTCGGATTAAGCACGAGTTTCGCGTTAATAAAATTTGATGTGAGCTTAGCGCTCGTCTAATTTTCTAGAAACAAAAAGTATCCCCAGTTCTGGCCTGAACCTTTGCACTCTCTTTTACAACTGTCAATCTCTAACCATTGAGCTAGAAGTTTAAATTAAAAAATAATGGCTAACTTTATGGAATCAATCGTCCAAGTAGTTGATAAATAAAATATTTTCGTTAAACGCAAAAAAAACGCATGTCTCTGGCGTTTCAAAACATACCTCAATGAGCATGAAACGCAATTCATTGTAGCAATTTTTATTCGACTGGGTTAGGACATCAACTTAGCGTTTTGTTCAGGTTATTCTTGTGCATAAATCAAAATATGAAATCGTTATAGCAAGTTTTATAAATTAATTTCGGCCAGTTTATTGTGGCGCCATTTTATTCAATTTGTACATAAAGAAAAGTCAAAAAAGGTTTCATCTCAATATGGTGAATGAAAATGGGGAAAGAGAGGGCGAAATCAGAACAGTTAAAGTAACTTAAAGCTTGAAAAAAGTTTTCCACCACAAAGAAATAAAGAAAGAGTTTACATGGATTAACATGTCTTATTATAAGTGAAATAGATAGATTTTTTTGTCATATGTAAGGTACACGCAAATATAATGAAAAAGTAAATAGAAAATGAGGTGAACATTTGCGAGGATCGTAGTTTCTACTCTTCTTATTCTGGGTACAAGATTTTGTTTGCAAAACATCCAGTTTGATCAAATGTGTCGATAAATTAAATAAATTCAATTTAAATTAAATAGGTTTGCCAAAAAAAGTCAATGTCGATATATTAAATGGCTTAATTTGCAGAAAATTACGAAAAGAGATTGGTTTCTCCATTGGTCATTAAATTGCTAAATAATGCCATCATCAAACATTTATCGGATGCTGTTGTAGAAAATTACTGACGAGTTGCCACAACTCTTTTTTGCAGTTCTTGGACCTTCGAATTGTTGCAATTACATCGCTAAATTGATTGGGGCCGGCTGCAGTCAAGTAAAAAGCTTGACGAGCTTGACGAATAAGTATAAGGAATTCCTCCGATTCTGATTCACTCTTGAAGCCTGGGCTATGAAGCTTTGCGTAGATCCCTTGAGCAAACCTATTGAAAAATTAAGATAAAAGTTGTAAGATTAAAACTTTCCCAATAGATAATTTAAATAACCAATAACTCACATTTGTTGGCATTTTTGAATTAAGGGCACACAAATCGGTGAACGGTATGCATTCATGTGATTTGTAGATGATTGCGATAAATAATTCGCCAGATCTTGAACGATATCAAGCAAAACAAAAGGGCTTGTTATGCTGTTAGCCGTACAGAAACAAAAGTCTTGGAAATACGATGTACCTAATAAAATAAAGAATTTAAAACAAATATTAGTTTTGTAACAATTTAAAAATGATAAAAATGATAAAATTTTAAAAAATTAACCAAAAATACCTAATTTTTTAACTACTTCTAAAAGCCATTTAACATCGTCCTCATAAGATGGATTGCGAGCATATCTCGTCGTCGGTCTTTCATCGTGATTCTTACGACCCAAAGCTTCCATGGCAAGAATGGCAACTCTGTATGCAGATAGTAAATAAACTAGCTGTTTCTGAGTAAGTTGTTGATGTGGTTGTAATTGAGGTTGATGAGCCAAGCTGATAACTTGTTGTTGTGACATAAAGTGACCTGCATGCTGAGTGCCATAAGGAAATACAACATTTCCACTGCCATTGCCACCGTTAACTGGGATCATTGGTACTCTTTGTGAAACTTGAGGAATAATCATGTTGGACAAAATATGTGGTTGACCTGTGATTGAACTGAGTAAAGTATGAGGCAGGGCATTCTGAAAGTGAGGTAAACTGTTAGCCGCAGCAGATACTGTATTAGATGGATTAGCGGTTGAATGTGCTGGAGTAAAATATCCAGCTGGAGGATATTGATGATGGTAATTAGAGTTTGAGCCTGGAGTTGGTTGAAGAAATGCGGGATGGAAAGGCATAGGAGCTGGACCAGGTGTAAATGCAGCGGGAAAGAATCCGTACGAGTATGGTGAAGTTGTTGCTAAAGTGTATGGTGGTGGAGGACACTGAATTGGTTGAATAACTTGAAGAGAGCCTTGAGGTAAAGATACCATTGGTCCATTAGAAACATTACTGGATCGCATGTTTAAAATATTATCAATATTATTATTACCAGCAAGCCCATGGGGATTGTTGTTATTATTGTTTGGATTACTATTATTGACGCTGATATTGTTAACCAAAGAGCAGTTGAAATTTCGATCTTGTTGATTGTTAATATGAGAGACATTATCATTGAAAGCCGAGTGATGGTGATGCAGAGGGTTGGGGGAATTTGAACTAGGTACCTGGAATTCTCCAACACTGGCTTGTACATATGGAGGTCGATTACGATGATCTCTATTTGAACGACCTTCATTATTCTCTCCAGAACAAGCTTCAAAGAGCTCATACCATTTACGTGCAACATGAAATAGAACCTCAGGGCAGACTCCACCTCCTTTAGCTGCTACTTCTACCGCTAAACACGCTTCTTGAAGCATTGCATCACTAGATTCTTTACATTGTAAGATCGCCCGATGAATTTCAGATGGATTGAGAGCTTGGGCATGAGGAAGACAGGAAAGAGCCAGTTTAGAGGCAGCTTTTTTGGTTACAGGATCATTACAGCCGGATGCACGATCAGCCAGAGTTGCTGCTTCTGCAGGGGTAAGATGTCCTTCCCAGGTATCGATCAAAAAGTTTATTGCTTGAGCACCAATCTCTACAGCTTGATTAGTAATCCAAGAAACATGATGACAATAGGTTCGAGACAACCAATTTGGTGCAACAGCATTATGTAACCCTAAAGAGTAAAGAGCAATCTTCAGGGCACACATATGCAGATTACGATGAGGTGTTTGATGATTTTGGTTGACAGTTTGTTGTGAGAATAAAACAGCAGAATTACTACTTCCACCTGCCTTTTCCAAAATGGTTTTAGCCAGTTCATGCATAAAGTACGATGATGCTTCACTAGGTTGATTAGGTATTGTTGGATACATTCGTCTTCCCTTGAAACGAGAGTGTTTTGATGGTTGACCAGAAGTTCCAATTGTGGATACTGGTGGACAGTTGAGCATGTTAGATGATGGTGATGAGGGATTTGAAGAGAGAGAAGGTCCAGCAGATTGATTATCAACATGACTTGAAGCTGGATTCATAGAAGCAGGATTAAAGTTATTGTTGTTGTTGTTGTTGCTATTACTGTTGCTAGTATGATGCATTAATAATCGAGCTGCAGAATTGATCTTGCTGTTTTCAGCGATTGAGCAAGAGTTCATTCGATTAGTAAGGGTAACTCGCGATGAGTTCTGCATATCACGGTTAGGTGTGGCGGATGACGAGGCTGAATTAATTTTAGTTTTCAATGCTTTATCGCCCGATGAACTGGACGCGAAAGAATCACTACTTTCTCCGCTACTGCCACTGTCACTACCTGACCGAACCCAAAGAGATCGGCGAACAACAGTAGGTGAATTATCACTTGATGTTGTTTCTGGCGCTGAACTGTCGATACTGGCCATACCAATAGAGTGTTTCTTGTTGGATTTTAAATTAATACATCGGAAACGAGCTTCCCATGCTTTGTAACTTTCATCCCAACTTGGACTAGTGGCACCTTCACTTCTTTCTCCATCACTATTACGATGATCTGATGGAACACTTTTAACTGAAGCTTCATTAGAGGACTTCCCAGAACTAGAAGCTGTTGCTCCAGCAACTGCTCCGATTTTGTCATTTGCATCAGATGTTTTGCTGGCTTGAGAGTTGGATTCCTCTTGACTGATGTCGGCTTGAGCAGCATCAGTTGCAACTTCAGTACTTAATTTATTATTAAAATCTCGAGTTTCTGAATCGAGCGATCCTGAGGTAGATGTTGCGACGATTGGATTTCCTGCATTATTATTATTACTAATATTATTACCTTTATTATTTACAGATGGGTCAGCAGGCGGATTTTTGTACAGCTGATGTACTTCTTGATCAAGCACTTTATCCATAATTTTATTCAGTTTGTCAATATCATCTCGATAGTGAACAAGTAGTTCTACAATAAAATCTCCTCTCTGTTTACGAGTACCTTCGCACAGCAAAGGATGTTCTGCTTCTGAAACATTAGCCTTCATACCAAGAGCTGCAATTGAAGCCTCTAAACCAAGTATCTCGTCAGTTGGTTTCCATTCGCATAGAATGACACAGGGTTGAGGTGCAGGTGAACTGAATGAATCATGAGACCAAGGGGAGGCACTATAAACCAGAGCATCGAAGATGTAGTTCGTCAAAGCAATAGGAAGAGCTGCATCACCACGGGCCCGGTAATTTCCTTGACTCAGAATCTGCGCTTTTGATCGGAGAATATTCAATTCAGGTTCCTTGAGGGGTATTTTTTTAAGTAAATTTACTAGTTCTTGTTCTTGGTGAAATAGTTTAACTTCGAGGGCTTTGGTCGAAGCTGGTGGACGAGCAAGCTCTAAACCAGAGACACCAATTTTGAATGCTAAATGATGATAGTTTTCATTTTCTGATAATACCTGACAAAGAAAAGCAGCCTTTGTCATTGTAGCAGAAGCTAGTAAACTTATCTGGTGACATGCCGGACTGAACCGACGTGATTTCTTGTTACGAGAAGGAGGATTAGGTAAATCTATTAATAAATTAGGTGGATTTGTTAACATTTCTTCAGCTAATTGGACAGCAAGATGACAAGCTTCTTTAGTGAAACCATGAGCGTGTAATGCTTCAGTCCGAGCTAATAAAATTTCTAGGGGATCAGTCATAGCTTTTATCGTTACTCTAATTTGTTCCTCTCCCAAGGATATAGTAGTTGCTGACACAGCAACAGGTTTATGGGTAGAGGGACGTTGAGAATCTGTCTCTGAATTTTTACAATTTGATGCAGAAGTTGATGAATTATTTACTGATGCTGACTCTGAAATAGATGTTGATAAAGATGAAGATGGATTTCCATTAGATGACAACTCAGGTCGATGATTTCGATTACTCAAATCTTGATCTGTACTTTTTACATTAAGAGATTCTTCTTTTTTGTGTTCTGGATTATGACAAAGTTTAGGTTTCGAAAGATTTTCTTCTTCACTTATCAGTTCTCTCCACTTGTGTATGTGTGGACATGGACAAAACCATGATCGAGCTGGGTCGTCAGAGTGTGTAACACCAGGAATAGGATAATCATCCCAGTCTAGCAAACACGCTTCCATGGCTGGTTTAAAACCTGAAAAATTTTCGAAATCCGATTTCTTATGGAAATTGTTATTTCCGTTATTACTTGTATTAGAAAGTCTAGTTTTCCATATTTTTTCTAAAGTTGCGATATGCCAATCGGTAAGTTGTTTGATCAAATTATCCCTATCACTAGGAGATAAGCCTGGATTCAAACAAGCTAATCTCCAGAGAGAAACTATCTCATCACAAATGCTTGTGCAAGCATGCTGAGATGCATGAGTATTACTTTGAATATTATTTCGGTTATTATGACCAGAGTGTCCTGAATTAAGTGAAATTTTGGTTTGGAACCACCAAGCGATTATTTGAGCACAAGCAAGAACTTCTTCAGTTAAGATCTTAAGAAGCGGAACAGCATTACGGTCCCCTCGCATGAAAAGTTCAAAAACGATACCCAAAAGATTCCACATTCCTTCAGGTTCACGGGCACGCAGAGGTCTAAGCCAGCTAGCCCACTCAACGGCCACAGAAGGTAAACTTAGTTGAAGATAGTTAGGATCACTATAAACAATTGGCATGGGAACACATAGTTTTACCAAAATTTTACGAATATTCTCATGAAGCTGAGATTCATCAAGCCACCAACTAGTTTGGTCATTAATTGAAGCTCCAGCAGTTGGATCAGGAGCTCCGCTAAATTTATTAATGTCAGTGAGCTTCTTTGATAATAGATCATCAAGTAGCCTTTGAGCAGTTGGTAAGATCTGTTGTGGTAGTTCACTAATTAAATATTGGGCAAACTTCTGTAGCTGTTCTCTACCGAGTCGAGAGAGTGATTCTGAAACTGGAGCACGAAGACGAACTTGATTAGGTTGATGAATACGAAACAAGCAAACGGCGACAATGTGTGAGCACCAGGATGCTGAGCTACTACATGTGCAATTACAAGTAGTCACTCTTCGTCGATCAAATGTTATTGCAACGTTGTAAGATCCTTTGTGTGGAGTGGGCAATTGGCCTTGAACAACAGTGGCGCTTAAATGAAATCCTATTTGAAGAAGTTCCTTGATACATCCTTGTTTTACTAAGCTTTCTCCTTTGATAAATTCAGAATCACTACTGTTTGCAAGACATGAATAGAGGCGAATATCCTCTTCACTTTCTGGGAAACTCCAGAAAGCGATTCTGAGTTGAAGTTCGGGTGGTATAGGAGGCTGGAAAAGTTCCACAATCTCGAAGGGAATATGGCAAGCAACCTCTTTTGCAGCAATTTCAACTAAAGATAAGACAGATTGGTCACCTTTTCCACGACATGATTTCACATTTGTAGGGGGCCAGATTGGAATGATAACTTTCTTCCAGCCTCTCCAATGGTTTGTCGATGCCGGATCATGGTCACTGGCAGAGCAAATGGATTCATCTTCGAATCTTTCAGAGTCTTCGAAGGAGTCATCTTCGTCCAGCATATCAAGCCTTCAGTGATAGTCGGAGATGATATGAGACTGTGAAATAGACAAAAAAATAAACAAAGGTTAGTTACGCTTCCACAGATTTCTAACCAGTGATGGTGGCTTCCGAGTTTTAATGGATTGTAAATTTATGATTAATTTTCGAGATATTTTGATTTATACTTACAAATTTTATTGTCACAGATAATGTCAAAGGTTGCTTTGATAGAGAATAGTGTTCTTTTCTCGTGATTCACCAGACTGACTGTCCATTTCGAGGATAAACCATTTTGAAGAATTGTAAAGGAAAAAAAACAATAATAGAAAGAAGAATGAGATTTGAGTTAGAGGAGAGAAATTTAAACGAAAAAATGCGAGATCAAAATTTAGATGAACCAAGAATCACAGTTTAGAAAAATTAAAGTCAGAACCAATTTAAAAATAGAATTGAATAGACTTTAAAAAATAATTCAGGCTGTCAGCAAAGCTAAGAGTAATTGAGTGTTGGTTATCCAGACAATGGAGGATGAGAAAGAGGAAACTTTCTGGCTCGTTTGAGAGGGAAATTCAAAAAGAAAGTAAGGAAAGTAAATAAGATGTAAATTGATAATTTTTCTAATACATTTAGTTTTTATCTAAAGGGAGTTAAGATTTATTTCTGACAAAATTATCTGAAGGTGCTCATGAAAATCCTGATAACATTGCGGAAAAGATGAATCGGTCACTGTATTACTTGTGTATTTTGATTAACCTTTACTTTTGTGATTTATCTTTACCTACAAATAAATGGTCAGAAATAAACCTTAACGCACTTTAACAATACAGAATAATTTAAACTAAAACCATAAAAATACGTATATCTATATATTTAATCAGATCATATAGTCAGATAAAAAAGTTGATCATGTGTTAACAATCTTTTAATCTATATTAATTATAATTTATAACGAAAACAAATATTGCTTGCATCAAAACAAACTATAATAATTTACTAATTTCAGATTAAACATTGATTACCAATGACCGAAAGAAGATTCAAAGAAATATCTCATTAAAGCACGCTAATTAACAATTAATTTGACAAAACTCTGTTTTTAGAGTTTGTTTCGTACTAATTACTTCCATTACCAACAAATGAATCATTAACTTAGCATTTAAATAAAAGCAATCGAGACTATAATCAAATTTGAAAATTTGAGACCATTTATCTAGCAATTTAAGGAAATTTGGAATAGATTTTTCGGTTTGATGAATTTTGATCGTTTTTCCGGGTTGAATTGAATAGAAGAACGATTCAATTTCGATATCATCGGATTGAACATCGTAAGGTTAATGCAACTTGAATGAAAGGAAAAGGTCGAAAAATCTAAACTGTTTGAATAAAGATTGGATGCTTTGGTTGATTCTGAAAAAAATTCCGAGTATTGGCCTGGCACCAAGTTTGATGTTTCCTCTTATTGTTATTTCGAAATGTGTCCAAGATCGCTGATGTGTCAAAATACCATTAATCGTGTAATTGTTAAGCAAATTAAGTGTATATTGTTTTTGTTGTCGTTGTTAATTCAATCAATATGAAGAAGACAAGGAAGAGTTAGTTTCAGTTGGATGGTGTTTTACATCCAAAATAGGAGGCGGCGAGTAATTTTTGTTATAAAAAAGTACCAACATGAAGATGAACACAAGAGACGGACAAAAAATGTTGACGATGTCTATTGTAAGAAAGAGTTGATTTCAAAGCTTAACCAAAGTGATCATCAGCATTTTCAGTCAGACCAACATAAACTGGCGATTGAGCAAGTTGAGAAAAGTCTGGTAACTTTCCGGTCAACATGAAATGTTTAATCAAATTGTTTGTCATCATGTCCAATTCAATTACATGGTTTGGATTGATAATGTTTTTCTTTAATCCTGTAAACTCTGTGATAAGTCAAAAGATTTTACGTTCACCATCTAAACTTTTTTCCCCTCACAGTAATGATATTTTAATAGCAACACGAAATCCTCAGTGTGATGATTCCAACCATCAAACGAAGATACTAATTTTACCAGTTTTTGTGCCCCATTCAAGAAAAGAACCAGAAGTGGAGGTAATGTCCATGGATCAGTATTCACCTTATTCGTACAAATCCAAGAAAATGAAGAAGAATCAATGGAAAGACAATTCAAACGCTGAAAAGGATAATAGTTTAACATTGGCCAAGCTATTGGAAAACCCAAAAGCAAATTACATTATTGGAAATGATTTTGATCTCAACCAAGCTGTTATGGCTGGTAAAATTGAAAATATGGATCCTAATACAGCAGGTTTAGGTATGATGGCAGGAACCAACGACGAATCCAATGTTGAGGGAAAAGTTCCGTTGTTAACAGAATTGATTGTGAAAAGTGTCTTAGCTAATCAAAAGACTTTTGATTGGGATTATGTTGCTTCAAACAATTCACCACAACATTCCAGTCCAGACAAGGAGCAACCCCGCAGTAGTGACAGTACCAAAAGCAATGGTTAACACTGAATCATTTTATCGTTAAAATTGAATATTGTCAAGTTTCTTTTTCATATCGTTTTTCCATTTTAGCATTTTTGAGAAACATATATCTTTTATAGAGCTTATTGGAAAAATTTATCCAAATGTAAATAAAAATTCTAACCTATTTCTTTGAATTTTTTGACAATCTTTGATTCCAAACTAATACAAGACGCTAAAATAGTAATAAAATGTAACATTCAAATTAAGGTTGAATTTTCAAGTGATAGTACAAAGAAATTTGGAAAGCTTAATTTCTAGTTCCCTTCAACTGAAATGCTTTCAATTTTTATCAATAAAATTGACTGTTAGCATATAAAAATATGCATAAAGTGTTATAAAAACACAATTATTGGATTTGAAGTTTGAATAGGAAACTTCAGGCTAGAGAATCAGGCAGAAGTGGCTGATATTTTAAATTTTGATTGATCTATCAGAACATAAATCCTTTAAACTTGCTTATGTTTAAAGGCCCAGAGCCTTTTAAACAAGTATTTTTGACAATATTTTCAAGACTAACATTGAGAACTCAATTCGGAGGTAACAATTAATTTGTGAAAAACATAAATATCAACGATATTTAAGAATAAGAACTAAAATAATGTCATAATACATAAGAAAGTATTGGTTTCTGATATTAGAGTTTATGCAATAAAGATTTGGGTAGTAAATTATATCGGATATTAATTAACAGATTTGCTAATATATTGTTAGTTATGATATTAAAGATGCTAAGAAAAGTAAATTTATATTTTTAAATCATATTTACCTGTTTACCGAGATCATATCGAGAGTGGACCATAATGATGAATATTAAGAAAAGATGAAGAGTTTATAGTAAAATGTATAAACACAGTATATAAACAATAAATGATAAGTGAGATCAGAATGAAAAGTAATCAATTTTGATGATTAGTTGATGGTTATTGAAAAATTTGAACATCATATTGATAATAAATACAAAATGTTGGTTAGCCAAGTTGATATATATTATATTAAATGAATGTTTTTCAAAATTGATAACAAAATTTAATTCAAGATGGAGGACAGATCTATTTCGGCTTAAAAGGTAAGTTAAGCTAAAAAGCAAGCTGAATACAGCTGAGTGGCTCAAAGCCCACCCTCAAGTGCTTTAAATTGCTTGGTTAGCTCAATCATTTATTGCATAAAAATTTTGTAATATGAAATCATTTCAATAATTGAACAAATTTTTCTTGGTTTACTTTAAGAGCAGAAAATAATCGGAATGAGTATTCCCATTGCTTCGATAATGCTATTGAATATCATTCTTCCCCTGTTTGCATGTTAACCCTCTTGAAATGGTTCCAATGTCAGCCGAGGCTGTTCATCATCCTTACCACCCAAAAAGATTAAAAAATTTCTTGTTTCAATGCTATCTTCTCTAAGAAGGTTCAAACGGCAACCTATGGATGACCAGAGTGCAGGCAAATATTCTTAGTCAATCGAGCCCAGTCCGCGGCATGTCTCCAAACCATTGTTGGCTATTAGAATGATAGAATAATGTACATAATAGAAGTCAGTAAGACGAATCCGTAACCCCGCAATAAAGGTCGACTCTGAAAGTTGAGCTGATCGGGCTGAGGCCAGAAGAAACGCCAAACATCGATTCTCTTTTATAGCGTTTTGACAATATTTTGTCATGTGTTTATTATACTTGTACATTTTGGGAAAAAGTTTACGCGCAATTTGTCACACCGTCAACTAACTTTACTTTTGCAATGCAAAGAACCAAAACAAGTCCATTTGAAAATAGAACATTAAATTTTTGAAAAACTAGCAATAGTTTCGCCTAAATCAGCCCTTTCAGCCAAAATTATGAATAAGTATACAAATAGGAATGACATGGAAACTAGTATTATGAAAAGGACATCTAAAGGAAAACCTGGAATGAAACAGAAATAATTGATACTTGTTGATACACAATTATATTTAATGTTTATTAATATCTAAATGTATAAAACAAAAGAACTGTATACATGTAAAGCACGATTAATCATCCTGAAATGCCTTTTAAGGGCGGACAGATAAACCGGTCAGTCATTTCGTTTGGTTTATGCAAGCAGTCGCCTTTTGCTGCGGACAATTAAGATATGAAGAGCAGATACATTTGAATGTACTGTAAGAATGGAGAATCGATTGCATATGGAACGCAATTAAATACAAAGTTGTACTAATTAAGGTAGACCATCCACTCAATTTAGATTGTTTTTCATGCTGCGCTTACAAAGCTTTTAATAATGAGTTCATATGGATTGGTGTTTGCCCATGAGAGTGACAAGAAAAGTCAAGAGGTAGCTTCTGGTTACAAGGTCCATACAGTCAGATGTACAATCAAAGTTGACGCTTCAGCAAGAGTAAGACGTCATCCTCAGTTAGTGGTTGAAACCTCAACATTTTAACCTGGATTGGTGATGAAAAATGTTGAAATTAATCTCGAGGTAAGCATTCAGGAGCAGCAGCGTGATGAAGTCTTGAAGAGTACGGTGATATCTCCAAGATACATTTTTTAGGGCTGCGAATGTGTGAAGATGATGAGAACCGAATAATTATATTCTCGGAAGTTATTCGCATTGAAAAATTCGCAGGAAAATTAATCAGCGTTAGAATAGTACTGCTTAATATTGCGATAGTGAAATGGTAAATTAACAATTTTTAGCCACTTTTCATTAATTGAGCAATCGTTTATTCAATCAGCAATTTATGCATATCTTGATCAGTTGTTTCCACTTTTTATCTGCCGACGAACTTATGGTAATCAGCTGATTTTATTTACTTTCATTATGCATACCAATTTAACCCAAAGAGGTCATTCAACAACAGTAATCAAATGTAAATCATCATACTGTGATCAAGTGATCAAGTCAGAGGATTGTTTCACTTAGTGATGCATAAGAGTGAATATTAGTCAGATTGTTTAAAATCCAAGCTATGCGAAAACATATTTACAGCCGTTTCAAAAATTGTAAATACAATGTCTGGAAGAGTTACGGTATGAACAAATCAACAGATGATGATATTTTTCAAACAAAAATCCAATTTCGACAAATGGACCTTATTGCAAAGAAATACTTTAAACAATGATAAATAATAATACATAGTCATGTGGGTTTAATGCAAAAAAATTGACATAGAGAGGGAAAAGGTCAGAAAATATTAAGGATTTCCTTTGAGATGTCTCAATTTAAAATCCTAAATCGATCGAAATTATTTATCGCAGTTGTATCTTCTTTGCGCTAATATTGTTGAGTTGTGCGTATTATTATCACAATCTTTGATTTGATCATACAGTAATACACCTCCATTGGTTGGAAAGAACAATAAATAATGTAGAGGAAATAATTTTTTTGTATTTTATAGCATGAAGATCAACTTTGTCATAATTTGAAAAACCAACTGCTCTGGGTTCGACTTTAAAGGTGAATAGATTAAGAATAAATTATTTTTGGAGAATTTGTACCACAAAATATTATTATCATCTTTCATCGGGACCACGAAGATAAGGTTGTTGGAAGTTAGGCATGTGCTGATGCTGAGCGGAATTCATCATTTGATAAAATGGACTTTCTGGGTTTGCTGCTCCATTTGCTATATTAGATGCTGGACTATTGCGAGGACTTTTGTTGTTGTCATATAACGGAGACGGATTGGCTCCTGAATTGCTTGAAGGAAAACTTAAAGGCGAACTGGAAACAGAATTTGCAGATTCGTTCTGGGAAATGGCTGAACTATGAGTGGAAAGGCCACCTAATGAGCCGAGAGATCCATTGAGAGGAAGAGATAATCGTGAGTTAACAGCAATTAGATGATCTCTACGAGAAATAAGTTGGCGAACTCTCTCTTCTAGTCTTTCATTTTCAGTCCTTAACTGATGTAAGCAAGATAAAAGAGAGGCAACGTCAAAATGCTGCGTCTGTTCCATAACCATCTGGGCACCAGCAATCCATTGACGTTCCAATAGTTGTTCAAGTGATTGTGGACCGTTTTCCATAGGTCTAAAATAATTTTCAAACAAATAAGCAAATAAGTACAAGAAACACAAACAAAAATTGCTTGATGAAAAGGTGGTTGTGGAAAGATACGTTTTTTGTGAATAGGCACGAATCAACAATAGGGTAAACTGAAAGATGAAAGATCCGAAAAATGAAAAATAACAAATATTCTTACTCTTTAAGCATAGTGGTTGGTTTGGGTCTGTTTGGTGGAGCTGGTAGAGCGAAGTCTTTTAAAGCACTGGTATGAGGAGATCGTACTAGAGATGTGTTTTGAGATGTTTGATCGTTTGGTGATGAGGATGCAATGAGTTTAGTTGAAGTTTCTTCAGTAGTTAGAGTCACTTTGGTTGTAGGTGGAGTTTCTGTCGGTGTTTTGACTTTCGGAGCAGTCGCTGGCTTCTCAGTCAAAATACGGTCTCTAAATTCATAGAGTAAAAAAGTAGTTTAAAAAATCATGGTCATGAAAGTAAAGCGTTTTACTTTTGAATTGATCACTTTTAACAACTGAAAAAGTGTTTATCTTCGTCCAGATTTAAGCCTCTTCAAATTCAAGTTTTTTAATCCATTGGTTTTCAAAACAAAAAACTTGTTTCACTATTGAAAAAGTTCATAGGCTCAGTTCATTAAGATACCTGATGGGCATTTTATGTCTGAACCTTTGTTTTGAGTCAAACTGTCACAAGCATTGTTTTAGAGACAGACTTTTTCAATAGTAAAACAAAATTTTTGTTTTGAAAAGCAATGGATAAAAAAGCTTGAATTTGGAGAAGTTTAAATCTGAACGAAGATTGACACTTTTTCATTCGTTAAAAGTGATCAATTCAAAAGTAAAAGGCTGAATCATGAATTAGATGTATGCTAACAAGTTATTATCAGATGTTGCGTAGCGAGAATCTGCACACGGTTCAGTTTCAGTATTATTTTCCTTAAGAATATCTTCTTTCTTGGACTTTTTGGCGCTTCTGGATTCTTTTTGAGCTGCTTTAGAAGTTTTAATGGGTCTAAAAAAGAAAATAAAAAACATGATTATAAATTATTCTAAAAATTAAAATTTACCGCAGTAAAGTTGCATTGATTAAATTAATAATTGGCATAATGATCAATTTGACTAACTTTTGATTTAAATTAGGTTTAGGTTTCTTCTCTGTACTTGCTGAATTTTTCATTTTTCTGGCTGTTGGTAGGCTGGCTGTAGGTTTATTTTCATCTTCCTCGGCCTCCGTCGATGAATCGTCTTCAATTTCACGTTTCGGTTTCTCCTTTTTGTCACTTGAAGAGGTTGATGAATCTTTGGCGGTAAGACTTCCATACATTGCTGTGAAACTGGGAGTCGGGTTGGGTGAAGGACTTTGAGAAGGAAGACGATCAAGAGAAGATTCACGATTGTTGACCGATGCAGGTGAACTTGGATGAATGGGGGAGCTAGAAGCTGATGATATCACAAATTTCTTTTTCTTTCGTTCATTTTTGGGTTTACTTTCCGATCCATGTTCCACACTTGGACGAGACCCTGGAAAATGAGGACCAACAGCATTATCATTTAATCCAAGACATTCGCGCCTCATTTTTTGATTGTCAGGATTAATGGTAAAAGAAGATTTACCTAAACTATTGGAGGATCCAGGATTATTGCTAGGTATATTGCTAACTATTGTAGAACCGGTACACGCAGAGGTAGATAAGGTTGCATTATGAGTTTTTGCTACTTTCTTTTTAGGTGGTTTGGATATTTCGAGTGGCAAACTCGGTTTATTAATCGAAGATAACCCCGAAGGACCTTGAGTCTTCTTATCAGGACTAGATTCTGGAGTGGAATCCGCTACTGGAATCGGTTTAAATGCGGGAATGGGTTTGATATTTGAACCATCCTTTTTCTGTAAGATAAATAAATAAAATTAACAAGCTAGGAAACAAACAAGTGTCAAACTTGAGCAGTTGAAGATGGAAATACTAATATCAGTACATACCAATTTATGATAATGGTGAGTACAGTATCCACAGTATTTTACATTATCGTTAAAATTTCCAGCCTCTTCACATAATAGACCAGCAGCTTGAGCACTGTATTTCATTGAAAAAGAAAAGGATTGACAGTTTTCTATTCAATAAGAAACAAATGAAAAAAACTGACCATGTCACATGAAAATGATGTTTACATCCAGGTTTATTGCACTGCATACATGCTCCCACTGAAGCTTTGCTTTCCTTGCCTTGCTCCTCACAAATGTAACATGTCTTATGGAACCTATCCGGAGGCACTAAGGCCAGAATTATTGGTTCCATAGTAGTAACATTTCCGAATCTGACTTCTGGTATATAAAGTGAGCACACAACATGAGCCCAGCCACCATTATCAGTCCTTTTCAGTGCCCCATCTTTAGAAGGGCAAAGTTCACATCTCTTTAGTGAGAAGATTGGTATAAAAGAAATAGAATATATAGTATGAATAATGTGAACAAACGATAATAAAATATCAAGAAATCTTAAAAACAATTGATTTTCTTAAGAGGACCACAGTTACGTACCACTCTAGCTTGTCTTTCTTGACTTTCACATTTACGGCAAAACCAGGGACCAGTAGGAACCTGAACAATGCCATAACAAGCTTGGTGAACAGCAACACTACACTGATTGCCATCACAATATACTAAGGGATTCTCAGTCCATCCTCGTTCATCACTACAAACACAGCATCCACCCACCATCTCCTTCATGGTTTGATAAGGTTTATAATCGCCAAAAAGATGGACTCACAAATTGAGTGGCTGCAGAGTCAACTTAGCTCGATGGCTGAAAATGTAGGGTTTAAATATAACGGCCAACAATTAAAGATAGTTTTTGATAGATATAAATAATAGGAATAATTGAAATACAGAATACGCTCTCACAACAAGAGCTGACACTCATTGAACAATAATTGAACAATTCCAATGTTTTTTTAATACGGAGCCATCTATCGGTTGTCTCAAGTCTAAATCTGTAACTCAAAATCTACTGTTGTAACTGTCAACTTGCAACTGTTATTTTGTTTCGGTATGGATATTGAGATTGGTTTATGAGTTGATTTAAAACTTTCTGAAAATCGCAATTAACACGGTATATATTAAAATATAATTCCACTGATATGTAATGCTCATTGTCCATCACAACACAGATGCATAAAAAAGGTTTGGGTTTTAGCTTAAAATTTCGGGTAATTGATAACACCAGTTCAGAATTGATGATGTTAGGATCGATGCAATGATTATAATGAGGATAGAGGCAGAAAGTATTGCCAAGTATTTAAATAAAAGCAATTGTCACACTATTTATAATGTTAAGATGAATAGCATTGTAATCCGAATCTTTAACTTGATTACCTATTCCCGATAAATTTCGAGGATGGCATAAATAGAAGAGAAAATGAAGTTTTTAAGAAAATATAAATGTAAACAAATAGCAAGAGATACCAAAAAAATCAGATATTGATGATCATGATGTTGAAATCTCGGGAAACAAGATCATGATCAAAAGGTTGACTACAGCTTGGTTCCTATGAATACTGTCAAAAAACTCCAGAATTTAAAGATAATGATGTTAAAGATGCCTGATTACAATTTAAATCAGCTGAATTACTATCAGAATCAATTGGTTAATGAAAAGAACTATTTTTGTTCATGGGTTTTGATACAATCAATTCAATTCTAAATGATGAGATGCTATTTTCACTGATATTTAGTGGATAATCACCAAAGAGAAGGCAATGGATTCTTGCTAGATACAAATAAATTATATTTGAAAAAACGACAATGCCGCCACTCAACCTTTAAGGCTCAATTCCTAGGAGCAACTGAATGTAATTAACTTAAATTTACGAAAAATTATTGCTCTTACTACGATAAAAGTAATTCAGTTTGAAAATTGGAATAATCCTCATTAGTGTAATTTCATTTGATCAAAATGAACTTAAAGATTTCCAGAACGTAGTGCAATTATAAATAACCATTTTCTCTCATTCAAAGCCATTGTCTTCTTTTATTGGAGGTAATCAAATTAACATGATGTATGAAAAACGTATTCTGAAGAGTTGAAGTATTATTCAATATTTGCCTCTTTTTAAAAACTGGTTTGGTTAAAATGGATTGAGCTTACAATTGTTGCCCGTGGTGAATGGTTTTGTATTAAAATCATAAGTATTTGAAACAATATATTCAAGACCAACATTGAGACTTTAATCCTAAGGTAACAATTAACATTATCAACAATACTTAAGAATAGTGGAAGCGATTGAATTCAAATAATGTCATAATACATAAGAAAGTATTGGTTTCTGATATTGGAATTTATGCAATAAAGATTTGGATAGTAAATTATATCGGATATTAATTAACAGATTTGCTAATATATTGTTATTGATGATATTAAAAATGATAAGAAAAGTAAATTTATATTTTTAAATCATATTTACCTGTTTACCGAGATCATATCGAGAGTCGACCATAATGATGAATATTAAGAAAAGATGAAGAGTTTATAGTAAAATGTATAAACACAGTATATAAACAATAATTGATAAGTGAGATCAGAATGAAAAGTAATCAATTTTGATGATTAGTTGATGATTATTGAAAAAATTGAACATCATATTGATAATAAATACAAAATGTTGGTTAGCCAAGTTGATATATATTATATTAAATGAATGTTTTTGAAAATTGATAACAAAATTTAATTCAAGATGGAGGACAGATCTATTTCGGCTTAAAAGGTAAGTTAAGCTAAAAAGCAAGCTGAATACAGCTGAAATACTCAGCTGCTCTTGAGTTCAAAGACCGCCCTCAAGTCCCTCGCCCTCTTTAAATCTCTTGGTATGCTTCATTATATTTGTGTAAGTATTTGAAATCCGAAACTGATCTTTTTTCATCGCTTTGTTTCCACTTAAAACCAGTAGATATAGATGAATTTTTCACTTTTCCCCTCGACTCTTAATAATCGAAATTTTCTACTGACCATATTCGAAAAGTGTTCGACAATTTGAATGATTCGGTGAATAGTATGAAAAAGTCGGCACTTGAAGGGCAGCAAATCCAAGGGAACTTACACAGTTTAGCAATTACTTTGGATCAAAGTCTGAACCTGTCACAAAGTTCGCTATCACACTCGAAAAGATTCGAAATTTATCAAAATTTAATTTTTAAGATACTGCTTTCTGGATCAACTCATCCAAACTGTGAATGATAGTTCTAATTACTGAAAATAATAACTGTTTAAATTGTAGTAAGAAACATAAAACTTTTATTAGTTCATGTTCAGATGATACACACATGTTTCTATTGATATTGATTTGAATAGATTCGACATTTGACTAGTTGTTTCCCCTTTTAATGTTGAGTAGCAATCATTGTATTTATACAATAAATAGATTTCGTTAAAGATTATACAATTAAACCATAAAATTTAAGATAAAATATTAGCTACATAAGCAAAAATTGATTAGCGTTCAGATTCTATTTCCCGATAATTGTGCTCACGAACGTACTTTCCTTTCTAGAAAATTTGATTACTTTCCATGGGGATTTTGAGTGCATTTTTAATTTTTGAAACAGAATCATATACTTTTTATTGTACAATATACGTTAACAATATGAAATTTCAATAAAAATCTTTTGCAACATGAAATCGAAAAAATTGAAGGAAAAATGAAGTAAATTGCTCTGAATAAAATATTATTTAAAAAGGTGGAAAGGAATGAATCCAAGTTTTATCTTCAATTGAAGAATCTTGGTGACTATTACAATTTAGAAAAATACAATCAATGGGAATTCAATGAATTATCATTGATCGAAAAATGACTTGATTAGCTTTGGCTTGACTTTTGCTGGAAGTAGGACTCGAGTTTTTTATGCTTAATGATGAAGTTTAACAGGAAAAAATAGCATGAAATATTCTTTGTTCGTTACAAAATAGTTTTGGTAATTTCCTAAAACCATTAGCAAAGTATATCTATTATGCAGCATCTAAATTGGTATCTATTATGAATAAACTTTCGTCTACTATGCTTTCGTTGTGATCGTTGATGAGGTGTCAGTGATTATATTGAATTCATTCAGTGAAAAATTTGTCCAATGACTGGAAATAAAAAAATAAATTAGACAATGGTACATGAACATAGTCATTACACTTGGACTGAACCAGTTCCATAACAATGACAATGATTTCCAATGAGCAAGAAATGTTACTTTCTAAAGTTTATCCTATCAGCACCGAGATGTTAAAAATAACATTTCTTGCTGATTGAAAATTATTGTCACAATTAGAAACTGGTTCAGCCCAAGTGGAATGATTGTATAGATTAGTTTCTTTCTAAATTAAATTGTTTACTAACTTTTGCCACGCTTAAACCGGTCAGTGCTTGAATTGTCGGCGGGATTTCACTGGCTAATTGTGAAATCGAACTAGTTATTCCATTATTCCCACCTAATAAAATTATTTGTTCAGTTTTAGCTAAAGGAGCAGCAACTTCGGCAGCAAACTGTAATCATCACCAATAAAGAATCATTAGAGTCGTTAAAATACATTTGCAATTGATTGTGACCATTACCTTAGGAAGAGCTTCGAGAGTAAGCGAAAGGATAGCTGCTTCGCTATACTCTTTGTAAGCAGCCGCTTTCATCCTCATCCTTTCAGCTTCTGCTTTTCCGATAGCTTCGATGGCTGATGCTTCGGCCGATCCAATAAGCTTTGTTTTCGCAGCTTCCCCTCTAGCAGCCTCCAATGTTTCTGTTTTGTATGCTATAATAAGAAAATAGAAGAAGTTCAATCATCAGCGAATTGTATTGAGTTGTTCTTGAGGTTATAAAAATTTTAAAGAGAAGCAAATCGAAGAGTTTAAACGACTGTTGAGATGTGAAACATGAAATTAACTACGCTGTGACGATTGAATTGTTACAGATGCAGATAAAGATTCAGGATCTTCATCAATTTCAGCAAATATGTGTAATGATTTAATGTTAAACATGTTAAACAAGTCTGATCAAATTATTGTAAGTTGATTTAGGTTTCAACACAAAAAGTGACAATTGTCTACAACTCATTCAATGCAGCTATAAAATTTAATATATTGTAATCAATTAAAGTCAATATTTCAATTAATTAATTATTTGCGATTGAAGCTACTATCTAAGCATGAAATCAGGTAAAAAATAAATGTTAAAGTATCTCAAAAATATTGGCGGTTGATCATTATCCAAGCAGAGACAAAACAGGAAGAGTAACGTTAACCCAAATTAAACAAAAGATAAAAAATGATCTTTTCAGTTATCATCATTAATTCTGTAGAAAACAGAAAGCATAAATCAAATACATGTAAATAAAAGAAGGATCGAGCAAATTCACATGAAACACAGAGTTATGGGAAGCAGTTTAAATTCTGATTCCACAGATCTAATTAAATAGATTAGAAAATCGATAACTGAGTAATAAATCTTCAATCTAAATCAACATAAACATGCTTAGCAAAACACAAGCTTGTCAAACATTTTTTGTATATAATGAAGAGCGATTATGTGAAAACAGTGAAAATATGTAAATTGATACTAATTCAATAAAGATACTTACCAGATGCGAGAGTTTCTAGTTTAAATGCTTCAGCGTCCGAAGGTAATCTGATCGTCGATTGAAGTTCTTTTTCTTTTCTAATGACTTCTTTTTCTTCAATAGCAATCTGTTTTCGCTTTTCGGTAACACTTATTTCCATTTCTTCTTTTTTAATAAGCTGTTGCATTTTGGCCGCTTGTAGTTCATAAGCTAGTTGAGCTTCAGCTTTTTTGGTGTTGACTTCTTGGTCAAATTGAGCTTTCTGTATTTGGTAAATTCGACTACAATCCTCAACTTTAGTATCGGCTCCATACTTTACATCAAGGGCAGCTTTTTTATATTCAGCTTCTCTGATTCCGGCATCTCTTTCAGCTTGAGCAACACCTATGCTAGCATCCCTTTTGACTGCAGCTATTCTAGCTTTACCCAGAGAAGCTAAATAATCAACTTCATCGAAAACATCTTTGATTGTGAAGCTGAGAACTTCAATTCCCATACGACCAACATCGGGTGTAGCAACTTCTCGTACTAAAGATGCGAATTGATCCCTATCCCGGTAAACTTCTTCAACGGTTAGAGTTCCTGTTAAAAAATAGAACATTTAAATTGAAACAGTTCGACTAAAGCAAAGTTATTCCAACATCTATCAGGTTAATTAAGTAAATAATTTACCTAATATAGCTCTCAAGTGCCCTTCTAAAGTCTGGAGTATAACTGATTTTATGTGATTGACATCTTTTCCAAGAAATTGTTCTGCTGCTATGGTAAGAAACTCTCCTTCTGTCATTACTTTACATTGAGCAACACCAGTAACAGTTAACGGCACTCCTTGAGAGGTTTCAACATTTTCACATTTTGGAGTTAATGTCATAACTTCCAAAGATAATCTGTTGAAAAAGCAAATGAATTATCAGAAAATAGAATAAACAATCATGAACTAAAATACACACACCTTTGAACGTCAGTAAGCAGGCACCAAGACCAGGCCCAACCACCGACAACCATAGTTTTTTTAGCTGATCCGAAGCAGCCACCTTTGTAAATTGTAAGTCAGCATAAGATTGATAAAAGGGAAAATCAGTAATGAATAAAAATAACAAAAATATTACATTACCTGAAACAACAAGAGCCTCATTTGGACCAACTGTGTTAATGTTTCCCATTTTAATGAAAACTATTATCTTAAAGCTTGATCAAACATATTTAGTCACAAAACTTATGAATAATAAAAAGTCTGGTGAAGAAAAAACGGGATTTGCTGAGTTAAATTGATCTCCTTTACAAATTGACTATCGTTAAAAAATACTGTTCAAATAAAATTAAAAGAAACACAGATGACGAAAAATAAAGTTGATTACTAACTAGTTTATGAAAACATTTCAAATAAACCAGAGCAAATATGAAAATAATCCAACGATAGTTCTCGTCATCTAACGGGATAAATTTGAACTAATACAAAATTCATCTAGTTCATGAAAATATCCTCGTATTACTTAATATTAATGAAATCAATTGAATCGCTGGAACATATTTATTAAGTGATTAGGAACTGATCCTTGATGTCCATTCAGACCTAGCGGCTCAGACTTGATGCGCAGCAATAACAATAAAATATTTTATGCATGTCTAAGATCTGGACCTTTTAATTTTTATTTGACCAATATTTTGACAAGCTTTGAGCATAGATCAGAAATGACCATTTGTGTCTGCTTTTAATGATAGAGTTAAGTGGAATTAAGGATTTTAAAAATAAATGTGAACATTATTTTTGAAGAAATCACAACATACGAGATTTTATTTTATTAAACGTCAAAAGGGAAGAGCCCAGCTAGAAATGAAAGGTTGTGAATTAAAAAAGAGAGGAATAATACAGAAATTTATGAAATTACATCAAGATGAGAAAAAATGAGATCAAAAGAGGTATGAGTGGCCATTATAAAGGTGGACAGTCATTGAAAAGTGTATCAAGCGTAGGGATCAGGAGTTGTATGTAAGCTCACGATTAATATGACCAAGAGTTTATGGCAATTCAAACTGCTATATTTATAATATAATTAGTTGATATACATTTAGACTCAACTCTTTTCTGGCATTTAAGTTTATCAGATTGATTATGGTATTAATTTACAATATGATTTGATAAATCAAAAGAATTTTGCTCATCAGATATCAGAAATTAATATGACTAGAAAGCCAGAATTAAGAAGATGATAAGCATGAAAAATTGGAATCAAAGGATAATCATTTAAAATGAAACAAATCATTCCCTATCCTTGTAATTGTATATGCAAAAGCATAGAAAAGGTGAAAAAAAGTGATGAGTTGAGATGACGAAGAAAGAGATTGTGAAAATAATTTTCATCACAAGCTTTTAAAACAAATCAGCAATGATGATGATGAGATGGTGAGGTGAAAAAAGAAAAGGTCCCATTGGTTTGATGTGAAAATAAATAACAAAAATAATAAAAATGATAATGGAAGAAAATTATCAAAAATGAAATTAAAAATGATTTGGCTTGATCACTTCCAATCGGGTGAACAAATGTAGTTTGATGAATGATGTTTGGTGTTGGGGATGATAGAAAAGAAACAAATTTAAATCCATAATCTGAGGGATAAATGCAGGTCACTTGAAATTTCAAGTAAAAAGAAAGTTGTCAGTTAAGCTTGCCAAATGATGACAAACTAGTCAAAGCTGATGACATTAAGTTAATGTTGTTTCTGTGTTATACACATAATTACAATTTGCCTTTTTGATCCATCTAAGGAAAGTACTGTGACCATTTAAATTTCCATCCTATAATCAATGGAATGATAAAGGTTTGATGATTTGATACACGTAGAAAATTATATAGCCGTAGTGAGTTCTCTACAAGAATACATAAACTTTTAACGAGTTTTGTTACGTTGCATAGTCAAAAGTGCTTATGTATTCCAAGGCAGCACGATAACAAAATTGATACTGATCTTCGGTTTGCACCATTCCGGGTCTTTGAGTTCGGAGAGTTCGCACTGTTTGAAACAAATCAATCACTCCTTCATTTTGTATTCTATCTAATACAATACTTAAACTGACAAATACACCCGTTCTGCCAACACCAGCACTAAAAATTGGAAAGAAAATACGATATATAATTAAATAAATTGAGAAATGAGACAATTGTTAATTTAAATTAAAAAATACATTACCTGCAATGCACTGTAATTGGTCCTTCTTGACCAAACTGCTCTTTAGTTTTATGCACTTGAGTTATAAAATCAATAAAACCTTCACCAGATTTAGGAACACCTTGTTCAGGCCATTCAACGAAGTGGAATTGGCGTATAGTTCGTGACTGACCATCCTACAATAGATAAATAAATAATAAAAATGGTAAATTAATGAAAATTAAATACATTTTGACATTTACATGCAACAAAAAAAAACTTACTCTAGCATCAGTAACTTTAAATTCACGAAGTATATATTGAGGCATATTATACTCGGTGATAGGATCGACTACAAAGTAAAGATATCTTTGTGAGCGCTCAGAAGGCCAATAATGATGACACTTATCTCTGCCCATTTCTTTTACTTTTGTGAGCATAACAATTATATTGGAATTGTGTTCCCACAACATTCGCCAGAAATCTTCAGCTGTCTCAGGGATGGGGCCTTGAGTAGCAATATAAGCTGACCTGTAACGGTAGCCATCTATAAAACTTGCATTTATATAATCCGAGCCTTCGACTGCTCTTAAAGGTTGAAGAAATACTCTATTGTTTTCATAAGGTAAAATATTCATTAAGCGGTTTTTAAATTTGTTGCAAGGCAGATTTGCACTGGTAAATTTGCTCGCAGGAGTTTTCATTGAAGCAATCTTTTTGAACTCCAATTCCATACCAGTAATAGTATCACCAGGTACAACCTGTAACAACATTTGCACATGGTTGTAAAGGTTTCGAATGGAAACTTCAGTATTACCAGCAATAACAGCTTCCAAGACTGCATCATTGATGAAAATGTACTGATCTTCCGTTTGAACCATATAGTTTCGTTGAGCACGTAAAACTGTTACATGACCATAAATGTCAACAGTATTTTCATACCTAAGACGTTCCAACATTGAATCAATTACAATGAAACATCCACTTCTACCAACTCCGGCACTACAATGAACAATCATTGGACCAGCATCGGGTGGGTTTAATATTTTGATTCGTCTCAAGAACATCAAGAAGGGTGTTGGATGATCAGGAACACCATGGTCAGGCCAAGCAGTAAACTGAAATTGTTTAACCTCGCGAGACTCCATGTAACCATAACGTTGTAGAGTAAAAGTTCTTATACAATAATATGCTAACTCTTCCACATTTGTCAGTGTCACTTGCATTACGCCGTAATTTTCCGTGCCTCTGTTAGGCCAATATTGATCACATTTTACACGTGTGCGTTCTTCTAGTTTAGTCATCATTACAACTGCATAACTCCTCTGTTCCCAAACCATACGCCAAAAGTCTCCAATGGTATCAGGTAAAGGTCCTTGAGTAGCTATGTAAGCATTTTGCTTGCGATATCCATCACAATAATTTGCATTGATATAGTCTGATCCAGGAATACCATCAAGAGTCTGGAGAACAACTCGACTATGGTCATATGCGATGACATTTGCATAACGATTTTTTGGTTTATTGATTTCCATGTTCGAGTTTTCCCAAGTAAATTGTTGCCCTGGCTCAATCGATTCGTATTCTTGAGAAAACAATAAATTTTCATCAGCTTTAAGCCGTTCTATGTGATTTGCAAGTTCTGTAACAGGAATAGGAGGATGGTTTATCATTCCTGCTGTTTGATAAGTGATTCGACGCATTTCAACAGGATCAGAGGGATGAGAGATGATATCACGAGGATCGGCAGTGTTCATTAAAAGTTTTAAAGTGGTATCCACATTAGAGGCTTTGAGCAGTTGACGTCGTCTAATGTAAAATAAATGAAATTAAGTTAGTAATTTATAATGTACAATAAAAAGGAAAATATTGAAAAAGATTAATATCTTACCTATTGATATAAACCAAGACAACAACTATAATTATTACAATCAATGTTATCATGACAATGGCAACGATGCCAAGTAGTCTAGAGCCATCCATGGTTGGTGAAATTTGCGAGATATTAGGTCCGGCATTCAATATCTTTGAAGGTGGTTTATAAGTTGAATCGGGTGGGACATTAGGATTCAATGCTAAGGAGAACGGGCTGCTAGTGAATAGATTCTGAATGATAAAAGATAATTCAAAGCGAGAAGAAAAAATTTCATTAGTCAAAGCAACAAAAGTTTAATGAACTGTCTTTGATGGAACCAAATTGTAAATATTTTGCTTAATAGTTTCTTATATAAAATTGATTGTAATAAACGATTTATAATCATCTAATGTAAATTATTGATTGAGTAAATATGCAGAGGTTGTGAATTTTATTTTCAAGGGTCTATGGAGCATGCAATAGCTTGAAAGAGCCTCAATTTGGTTGATGTTAATTGAGTCATGAAATTTAGTAAATAAGTTAAGGGTTCAACAATAAATCATTTGTCCATAGCTGAATAATCTCAAAGATTTAGTAACAATCAAAAACTTACAGAGAAAACAAAGTATTAATAGGTTTATAGAATGAAAGTTAGAATGAATTAGTTACAGTAATTGACTAAAGCTAAAATAAACAAAGTAAAAATGGGCAAAAATATTGCAATATCATTTTTTAAACATATGGATTTACTTGGTGAAAATGCATCATCAGCTTATACTAGTTAACTGAAAATCCCGAAAATCAGATAATCATTAAGATGATTTGGCTATGTTTAGAAAAGGCTATTTTCAATAATTTTGTTGTATATATTGGAATCAGCTTTCCTCTGTTCAAAATCATCCACAGCAACATCTTGAATTACTTGACATGTAATGAACATTAATCTATCTGAGAATAATAATGATAAAGAATCTGAGTACAATAGAAATACCTTTATTAAACAATGGAAGTCTATGTTAATAAAATGTGAACGACTAAAGGAAATTAAAATCCTGTGTTTCAGCATTTCCTCCAGCCCTGAAAAAATCATCAACTTCTCCGGTTGTAATTTTCCAGTCGTCTGATAGATCTTCTTAACTATCTGACTACGATCCGGAGTTCAATGATTCAATAGTTTACGATTCTCGAAAAAAATTATTAGACAAAGAATGTGTTGAATAATTTTTTGACTGGTCAAGCTGATTTAATAATAAGATTTTCATTATGAGTTTATGTTGGGAATTTTATAAAAGCAAATAAAGAGGGTTATTGTTAAATGAATAATAATCATTATCAAGTTGTATTCATTGTTAATGAGGCTTCGAGTCATTCTGCTTTTAATGCTATAAAAAAGTTACTTGTTGGATTTTATTGCATTTACATGTAAAATGAAAATATAAAAAAAGTGACTGAGTTAGAGCTGAATAATCTGGACTTATGCTCTTCCATGATTTAGAATCATATTAAAAAATAGAAGAAAAAATCATGAACCACAAAATTCCTAGCAATTTCTGTCTTAATTCTCTTTATCGAACACTGAACAAATAAAACATTTCAAGGATTCTTTCATTCACATGATGAAATATTAAACTATAAAGCCTAGAAAGCAAAGCAAAGTAAATTCTATTTCAAGATAAGAATAGAGTGTTCAGAATGGAAGGCAGTTATCATTAGTCAAGTACAAGAGAAGTATGGAAATTCATTATTCACATTCCAATAAGAGTAAAAGACTCGAGAAGACACACAGCTTTAAGGAGTGAAAGAGGTATTATGTATTGATTCAGTAAATCTGTTATCTCTGGGTTATGCATTATGCATTAATAATGAATCAATCACTCAAGTAAAAAAATAATATTACACTATACATATATTCATTAACATTACTTATAAACAAATTCCCTGGTTTTAGCTTTTTTTAAGAGTCAAATATCGCAAGATGAATTAAAATGAGATAAATAAATCATTCCAAGTAGTGTTCCAAAGATAGTTCAACTGATTTCAAATGATTAAACTTACCTTATGAGGTGCATCAACAATAGCTCGGACAAATATTTTATAATAAACATTTGGTTTGAGTTTACGGTTACGGAATCCATTGTATTTTTTACCATCACCAAGTGGAAATTGACTTGGCACTGAACGTCTAGGAAATTTAGCCGCAATATAGGGACCCAATTTTTCCATTGGCGTTTCTGTTAACTCCTCGATAGTGTATAAATCTGTTTCTTTGGTGGCAAATTGAGATGGAACAACAACGAGATAATAATGACTGATTGGGCCATACTCTTCAGATGCTTGAGGCAATATGACATTTATCTCTCCATTTTTGACAGAAAGGAAATCTGGTTTTACCATAGGCTTTGGAGCAGCCATAGCTGTGGTCACAGTTTTACGAGCTGGAGGTCGGTATGTCTTGTCAGCAGGCAATGCAGTTACATTAACTTGATAACTGGTGAAAGGCATTAAATTGTCAATAGTGATCTGTGTTGTGCTAGCATTGACCTCAATTTTTGAAGGAGGAATTGGCAGAGTTTTGAGCATACTAAGGCTATCATAAAATTCTTTGTGAGCTTCATAAGTTATCAGGTATCCAATAGGATTTAGTTTGGTAGGTTGTCTCCATGATAGACTCATGGTGTGAGTTGTGACAGTGTAAGCGCGAAGGCTGAGTGGGACATCAAACGGTGTGGTTCGAACAGTAATTAATTCTGAAAGACGACCCAAACCTTGATTAGTATAAGCTGCAACTCGAATAGCATACATAGTACTTGGCTTGAGTCCAGTCAATTCAACAGACCAAGTTAAAACAACTGTCTTGTTGAGCCAAGAATCAAGATCTTCAACTGCATTTGTTTGTGCGTAAAGAACAGTGTAACCTAAAATATCAGCAAAGAAAGGCATCTGGTCCCACCAAACTTCAACGGACTTCTCGGTAGTTGCCATTGCTTGTACATTTGTTGGTGCAGGTGGTACATCAGCAGGAGTTTGGATTTGAATTCGATTACTCCACGGTCCAGGTCCCTTGGATGTAAAGGCTCGAATTTTACAAGTATATTCAGCATTTTCAGTTAAAGAGCTGAAAACGATGCGAGTATCGTTAGTGAAACGCTCTTCAACTGCAGTGTCAACAGGTTTCTGAAAATGTATCCCATAATTGGTGATCCTTCCATTTCTATACTCAGGTAAGGGCGGGTCCCAAGTTATTACAACAGTTGTTGGTGTTTGTAATCGGTAAGTAATATTTTGAGGTGGAGCTCCAGGAGGACCTTCGGGGGTTTCAATGTAAGCCACAGCTTCTTGGCCCCAACCCATGCTACTTTTACCCGCTAAACGAAAAACATATTTGACACCTCGATCCAAATCTTTTATAATTTTACTCTGCTCTTGGGGATTAATTTCCAGCTCTTCCAGATTAGTGTCAGTAGCTCGACCATATTTGAGTCGATAACCTAACAAAGCACCATAGGTATGCTTAGGCCGAGTCCATTGAACTTCAATAGTCATTTGAGGTTCATCACTCATTAGTCTAATTAAAATATCTGGTTTAGTTGGAACACCTCCCAATGTGCGAACCTTAAATGATTTACTGCGGGTTCCATCACCTTTACGAGTTATTGCTGCAACCTGAATATTGTACAATGTATCAGGTTGCAAAGATGTCACATTAAACTCTTTTGCGTTAGGGTCAAGCACATCAAATTTAATTGGATCGTTTAAAAATTCCTCTCGATTTCCTGAACTCATTTCATGAACATAAATTTGATATCCACGTCTGACACCATGCTGATCAATATTGGACGGTGGATTCCATTCCACACGGATCGATGTACTGTTGATTGGAACAGCTTTGACATCTCTTGGTTCTCCTGGAACTATATTTGCACAAGAACACAATACAAAAAAGAAAATTTTGATTTTAAAATACATGTTGAGTGGAACTGAAAAAAAGAAAATAAATCGTCAAGGTATCACATCACTTTTCAATTTTCGTGAGTGCTTGCTGAAAATAATTAAATTATTATATATCTTAACATTTATGATGTGTAGAATATTTTATTACTTAATGGTCATTGAGAAGATTAAGTGACAAGAATCAGGTGTTATGCTGTTAGCTAAATAATGATTATAAGAAAAACGTTAGCCTTGACAATTTACTTTCTTAAATAAGTTGTATAAATGTTGTCTTTATGTGTATATGTGGACCATAGACGGGTAATTTAGACAATGGACAAAGATGTTGTTAGTTTGAAGATTATATTGATTAGTGGAACAGAAAATATTTTTACAGCGTGAGCATAAAAAATACGTTAATGTGCATAAAAGTAAATAAACAAGCAGAGACAAGGACAGGGGAAAACAAAAAATGTGTTAAATTGATTAAGGAATAAGTTTGGAGGATAGCAAATAAAGAAAGTGAGGTTAATCAGGGAAAATTCAGAATTGATTTGGCATCTTGACATTTATGAAGAAAATGATTTGATACAATCTATCAATTAATCTGTAGCTGATGCGATTTTACGGTTAATTTTACTGTAAGAGCAAAAGAAAGTTATTAATTCATTGATTCTGAGTGGTTATCTCATTTTTTTACTGTTCAGGTTGATTAAGCACGATTATCGATAGTTGATTGATAGATCATAAACCATAAAGGTTATGTAAGTTAGCAAGCTATCTGGTCACTGACGGAACCGATTCTTAAAATTTTTAAGTTCAAATTGTCCGACTAAATGATAAGAATAAGAAAAATATACGGTATGTAGAATTTCTCATGAAAACAAATGCGAAGATCACCATATCGCTGATCAAATTGGTTTTGTTAATCGGTTAGTTTGAAGAGATTAAGAAGAGAGAAGAAGTTAGTCAGAGTGTAAACAAGAGACAATGAGATGAGACAAAAGACAAAAGATGTTAACCAGATGGGGACGCTTCAAAACGTCTTGAACAGAAGGGTGACTGAAATAGTATTAAAGTTAGTTTTTCTCGTTTCTCGATTATAGTTTTGGTTATTTAATGTATTGAACAATTTGTTCTGTCAACATACCAGTCTCTTCTGATGTGGTAGGCCTAGAAGCAGCCTCTTCACCAATAGGAGTGCTTGCTAAAACCTTACTTGAATTTGATGTCCACTCTAGATTGGATGAAACATTAGAAACCTTACCAAATATTTCCGTTTTAACAGCTATTGGTGGGGTTGCTGCTCCTTCGCCAATATTTGATTTAGCCGCAATCCATATGTAGTAAAGAGTATCAGGATATAAGTTTTCGATGATATAAGTATCCGTTGGTGCTATAAATTGTTTTCCTTGGTTATTTTCAAAGGTATCATTCCAATACAATTCATAACCAATTATGTTTTCACCAGCATTAGGTGGCATCTTCCATGTTAGTTTGATAGAGTGGGGACCCTGAGCAACAGCTTGTAAACCTAAAGGCTGATTTGGGACACCTTGTTTTGTTTTCACTTGCACTGGTGGTGAAAGCGGACCTTCACCGCGAGATTGAATTATTGCAGAGACACGAATGGTATAAATAGTTTCACGTTGAAGTTCACTAATTGTTATCAATTGACTATCATCGACATCAAGATAGTCCCAAAATGATATTGGTTGGGACGGATTTGAAGTATAATAAACACGGTATCCTGATATCTGGCCTAAAGGTTGTTCCGGTCTCTCCCAATCAACCACTACTGTGGTATAACTTAATGCTCGTGCTTGCACATCCCGAGGTGGGGTACCAGATTGTGCTACTAAAAAATAATAAAGTGAAAAAGTCAGTAAAATATTGGGAATAAAGAGTATAATCAAGCAATACAAGCACTGCAGTATGTGTGCTTTGAAGAGAATAAACAAAGCATTTTTCAGAGCAACTGAATAGCCAACTCACCTTCATTGTTAATGTTTAAACCTAAACTAGGATTTAAGCTTAAGTAATAAACCAAGATAAGCAGTCGAAGCATAATTAACTCAGAAAAATTGATATGATATTTATGATTACATGGAACTAATTTATTATTAAAAATATCACAACTGTATTAAAATTACTGACCAAAAGAAATTTTCTGCTTTATTTTTAGGCTTGGTTGGTTACAATTCTAGTGAGCTTAGATGGCGCTCACTATACAATGATTATTTTAGTATTATAAGAGATTCAGAATGCAAGGGATTTTTGGTTTGATGTGTTACCTGAAAAGGTAAAAAAGAATTGAAAGGAGGATAGGAGTAGGGATGTGTTGATTTGATAGGAGTAGTTGAATTAGGGGAAGATTTTGTTTTTGAGTTATCGTTCATCGTCTATTATGAAGCTTATTGTCCCATAAATTTCTTGTAAAAATTTTTTACAGAGATTTGGGTATAAGATTATCAATTTTCGTAGACTGATTTTTCGATAGTTAGCCATTCTCAGTGGGAAGGCTCTTTGTCTTTCCAAATATTTACAATTGAATATGAAGTGTACATTGTCTGGTTCATTATGATCGCATACACATTTTTTGTTGACAGTTAAAAAATTGTAGTACCCTGTGATGATTCTGGCTTGGTTCGTGAGTTTATCATATCCAGTATTGCTGATGTCATGGAGTATTTCATAGGAGTTTAGTTGTTTATATTTGGGTTCTTGCAACTTTTCTTTTATCCTTTGTTTTATTTTCAGTGTTATCCATTTCTTGTTGTTGAGGTCATCCATGGATGGCATAAGTTGTGGCTTGTACATTTTAATCCATTTCATTATTATTCCGTCTTGTTTGTTTATTAATTGGTAGTGGATATACAGTAGGCCAGTTCTCAGCAGCTTTGAATCCAGAGGTTTGTTGCTGGTGATGATGTATGCTGGAAGTCGTCTTTCGTGTTTCCTTAGTCCAATGTAGGAATCAATGAGAGTTTGAAGTTTTTTGTTGATATTACCTGAAAAGCTATAATTTTGTATTAGTGCCATAAGCATTGGAGCATAAGTCATTGCTTTGGACTCAAATATGGCTGAGTTAATCATTCTAACTACTTTTACTGGGAGAGTTCTCATTATTTTTATGGGTGGTTTTAGTTGATTAATCTTGTTGCTGAACTGTTTCAGGACCTCTTCAGAGTCAATGAATAAATCTTCTCCTCTGGAGAGGTTGACACAGATGCCTAGTACTGTTGATTTGTCTACTAGAGATATTGATTCATTCCACTCTTGGAGGATGAACTTATCACTAGTAATGATTTTTGTTTTTTCCGGAGCTATGATTAGTTTTGTTGATTTCAGATTGAGATTGATTGTATTAAGGATATTATCTACTATGTATTTCAGAGTTTTTCCATCAATGGATGCTTTGAAACCTATCAGAATGTCATCAGCGTATACACTGATGCTAAAGTCTATCTCAAAGTTTATGATTTTAAGATTTTTGTTACTGTCTATTATCATTAGTGGAGGAATTTTTAGATCAGCTATACTGTTTATACTCTCATTGATTCCTATTATGAACAGGAAAGGACCCAAGATTGATCCTTGGGGAACTCCAAGTATTTGCCTTTTTAGTTTCCATCCATTGTTGTCCATCAGCATACTATAACGTCCAGATAAATAGCTGATTATCGTTTTGATCAGGCCAATGTTTGCTCCATATCTTGAGCAGTTTCTCAGGATTGGTTCATGGTGGATTTCGTCAAATGCCTTTTGAATATCAGTTTGGATGACGAAGTTTGATATTTCCTGACATGATATACACGTTTCAGGTTCAAATATGTTCAGAAGTTGATCCAGTGCTGTAATTATGCCTTTGTTTGTTAGATACGCATGTTGATGTTTGAATCTTTCCATTGGTATTGTTTCAATTATTCTTCTACATATTATCTTTTCAAGTGCTTTGATTAGGAAAGATTGCATTTGAATCATCCTGGTTCTGATTCCATCACTTTTGGGGATGATCACAACTTTTGTAATCTTCCAGGCAGCTGGGAAGAAATTAAGTTTGGTGCATGCTGTGATGATGTTTGTTATTACTTCGGAATTGTCTTGGAATATCTTGATTGTTTCAAGCTTCGTTAGGGAATCTGGACCAGGACTGCTTGTATTTAAACTTTTTAAGGTTTTCAAAAGGATTTCTTTTTCCGTTGCCAGTTCTTCCTCAGATAATAGGAAACAGTGATTTGTTGTGTCTGTTGATAGTTTTATATCCTCCAGATTCAAGTTGTATTGTTTTTTACAGATGCTTGAATTTAGGTTGAATTCTTCGGTCGTTTCAGATGGAAGATTTAAAAGCGTGAAGCTCTTTATTTCTCTCCAAAGTCTTTTACTGTCTTTGATTGTGAATTTTTTTAGCAGTTTTTCATCTATAGCTTTCTTTAGTTTCTTTTTGATTTTATAGATTTTTTGCTGGTTTCTGTCAGTTTTTGCTTTCTTGTATTTCTTGACTGCTTTGACCAATTTACGTTTAATTCTTGGCTGTCTCCATATCTTACTTGGATCATACTTTTTGATTTCTTCAGTTAGCTTGATTTGAGCTGTTGTCATTTTGTTGAATAGATTAAAGGTGATTTTGTCAATGATCATCGGATTTAGTGTTGATGGTAATTTAATGTCATTTAAGAGATTTTTGATGATGTCAAAGTATTTGATTCTGTTTAATACTTTTTTCTTTTCCAATGGACAGTTTGTGTTTGGTAAGTTTCTGTTGATTTCATTGATGTTAATGTAAAATGTTGAGTGATCTGTTTCATTTGGTTTGATGATTACTTCAGCTGTTATTTCACTTGAGATCAGAACAGCGTCAATGTGTGTGGTGATTGCGCCACTAATGTAGGTGTATAGATGACTTTTTGGTGTGTAAGGTAGTTTCAGATTTAGGTCTCTGATTAGTTGAGATATTTGCTCAGCTTTGGGAGTGTGTTTGATAGTTGTAGGAGTCCATATATCAACTTGACAATTGAAATCTCCCTGGAAGATGCATGGAATGTTGAGATATCTCTTCCTTATCAGTGTGATTTGCTTGATGATGCTGGAGATTCTATCTTTTTTCAGTGTGGGATGAATATATACATTGAAGATTAGTGTATTTTTACCATCTATCTTTTGAAGAGTAGCTATTATTGATTCATCAATTTTATGAATCGCTTTAATCGAATGTCTCCAGGTTATTGTTGCTGTCTCTCCATTTGTGATACATATTATATTGTTTTCATTTATGGCTGCGATTGCTTGAGAATTTGCCTCTTGAATGCATATTGTCATTTGTGGTTTAATTTGACTAATTAGTTCAGTAGTTTTCCAGATCGATTTGTGGCAATTCCGAGCAATAATCTTCAGCTTCATCATATTCAAAGTCTATTATTTCTTTGAGCTTTGAGATCGCGTGATTAAAGGATGAGCAGTTATTGGATCTGGGTCTATGTTTGATGTCTTTTTGACCAGTGTTCTTGCAGAGGAGACATTCGTTTATTGAAGGCTTTCCAGGATCACATTCTTTTGTAATATGCTTTTCATGGCATTTTCCACATTGTGATTCATTTGAGCAATATTTCGATGTGTGTCCAAAGCGATGACATTTACCACAAATTCTAACATTAAAATTGTCTTTAAATGGAACGGATTCGAGACCAATGTACACTTTTCCTCTTTGTCCTATGGTTTCTCTCGCCTCTCTTGTCATCCGGAAAACAATGAACTTTTTCTTGTAATTGGACCTAGTATTAATAACTTGGCTTATTACCACTTTGACTTCTTGGTCTTCAATTCTATTCCTTGTTTTGAATTCTTGTATGTTTTCCTCAATAATTTCTGCTTGTTCAGCATCCACCACACATGAGATTTGAGGAGATAGAGGAACCAGTGAATTGATCTTTATTTTGCTGCCAATGTTACTTGCTCGTAGCTTGTCTTTGACTTGTCTTAGTGTTTCATCGTCTTTTACCACAATCCTTGTACCTTTATTACTGATGGTGAAACTTTCGCAGTTCACTTTTGATTCAAGAACAGCTTGCTTGATTTCAGATCCAACATCAATTGGGTTGGCTTCCTTATCAACAGGATTGATTATTATGGCTTTGTTGGTTCTTTTATCCTTTCTCCTTCGACTCTGCTTGCTTGGTTGATTTATCTTTTTCTCGATGTTGTCAATCTTTTCAGCCAGTATTGCAGAATTGTCTACTTTCTCCTCAATCGAGATCAGCTTTTCCAATATGGCGTCAGATGTACCAGCACTTTCTTTAATTGATTGAATCTCTTTAATCAGTCTGTTGTCAAGTTTGGCTTGATTTATAATTGTCGCAATGACAGTCACTTCAGTTAGAATGTGTTGTATTGCACCTTTGGTTGCTTTAACCAGAAGATTGTTAACAAGGCTATGTAAGTTGGCAACACGTTTTGACAGGTCAGTAACATGCTTGTCCGACATGTCAAGATCAGCTGATAACACGTTGGATTCACCCATTGACATGTTTGAATTTTCATTTTCACTATTTGGAGACATTTTATTGAAGGGATTTTCACTTGTGATATATCGTTGGATAACTGACAGTTTAATTAACAAGATTTAATGTTGGTTTGGTTTTAATTTGGGAAAATTAATTAGTTAATTAGGAATAAATTAAGAGATAATTTTTGGGGTTCTGCTTTTCTGCGACTCCTCCCTACCATCATTTCTTACGGTTATCGCGTAAAATCAGAGCCATCTAGCATGCAAGAAAACTAACTTCCTTGCAATGAATCTTTTACACATTCGATGTGTATCGAAGGGAATGTGATAATTATGCCTCGAGAATCTCGAGTCGAGATTTTAATATTACCCTGCCTAGGTCTTCCTTTACTGACAAACTGTCCACTCTCGAGCTGAGCATGGCTCAAATGCTGAAAACTGAACAATTCAAATAAATTAACATCTGATCTAGTATTTTATCTTTTCGAGAACTGATCACTCACAACAGGAATTATTCAATTATTTCAGTTGGTTAATAATCCGAGCCATATCAACACTATCAATCATTTATCGATTTAATAGGTAAACTGATATTTCTAATTATTGCTGTTAATTTATAATTAGAGTCGAAATCTTAGGAACTGAAATTTAAAGACAATTTCTTATCATAGAAAATCAATTCAAGTTTAAGCTTAAAAATTAAATTAGCATTGCAAAAATCAAAACAATCTAGTTATGCTATATTAATTAATAATTTCAAATCAAGATCAACCATCCAAGTATGCGAACTTTGCTCAACAAAGTTTGTTGATTATTGAATATTTAAACCTTAAACTCGATCAGCAAGTCAGGCTGTTGAAGATGATTAGCCATCATTAGTTTTGATTACTTGAATTTCAACAATCAAATAATTTTACTCATTTAACAAGTTATTTGCAAAATGATTATAACCATAAACTGTTGCACAAAGCAATGGAGAAAACCAGTTTACCAAATCTTCTTCGAGTTTTTAAGTTAAAATTTCTTCAAATCAGGAATCTAATTGAATTATTTTACAACATTAGACTGAATATTATTGATTGAGATGTTGATTGTTGAAAATTTAATTCGAATCTCTAGAATATCATGAATTAGATTGGTTATATTTCTCAGCGCTAGATGGGGTATGTCGACTGTTTGGGTTGGGGGAAATATTTCATTTTGCCAGGTCGCCATTCCGGCTGATTAATTGATCGTGTATTATGTTTTTGTTTTATTAATTACTGATAAATGGTTACAATTTTATTTATGGGAAATCATCATTATATTGAATGGTGATCAGAATGTTATTAAGGGTAAGTGTACTAGTTTCTGTCTTTGCATTATCTTTTATAATTCCACCTCATGTTTCTTAGAGTCTTATGTTTATGTTTTTTTCAAAATTTTGACAAACGTTTCAGGTGAGAAATATTGTTAAAAGTTAATCCGTTGTGATCTTGACAAGCGATAAATGATGGTTAAGAAATGGGGAACAGTTGGCTTGTGTTCCATTGGAAACTTGATCAACTCCGCAGATCGGATTATCATGCCTATTGCCATAATTCAGATGACTGATCAATACAAATGGAGCCTTTATTGGCAAGGTTGGATTCTTAGTTCATTTGCATTTGGTTACATAACTAGTCAGGTATGCTCATATTTGCATCAAAATAAAAGCCCTATCACTTTCATCTTTCTACAAGATTTGAATCATTCAAGAACTAAAATTCTATCTTTTGCCTCTAGTTAATTGGTGCCCGAGCAGCTACCCGATATGGAAGTAAAAAAGTTTTAGCTTGGGCTGTCTGTCTTTGGTCAATTTCCACACTTTTAACACCACTAGTTACGCCACATTTGTACCTTTTAATTACCTGTAGAATACTTTTGGGACTTGGGGAAGGATTAGGTTAGTAATTCCTTTATTTGAGAAATACATTCCTTCAATCATGCCAACCAAACAATTTCATATATTTTATGTATTGCTCACATTTATAAGATTCTAATTCAATTCATATTCATTTCAGGACTCCCAACAATATTTACAATTTTTGCTCAAACTGTGCCGGTACACGAGCGATCTACAGCTTTTGGTTACCTTATTGGAGCAGGTCATGTTGGCCAAACATTAGCTGCTCTTTTATGTCCTCATCTAAATTGGGAACTTTCTTTTTATCTATTTGGAAGTCTTGGCATCGTTTGGTTGTTTGTTTGGATGGTTGTATATAAAGAAGAAAAGTTGAGTCAAGAAGATGAATTACCTTTAGTTTATTCAAAGACGGGAGCCAAACAAGTTCATTGGGTTCGTTTTCTTTGCCATTGGTCTTTATGGGCTATTTATATAGCCCATTTTGCAATGAACTGGTCCAATTACATTATAATGCAATGGTTACCTACATATCTTTCACGATATCTCGGTGCTAATAAAGAATCAGTCAGTCTAACAGCTGTACCATATATAGTTAATTCCTTATTTGGAGTTGGTAAGTGTCAACTCGTTTCATATCATATGAAAGAAACTAATTTTTGATTTCCTCTTTTCACTTTCTTTACAGTTTCAGGTCATCTAGCTGATTGGTTAATCGCGAGAAATTGGTCTATACTTTCTGTTAGACGAATTATGACCTTTGTTGGTCTTTTTGGGCCAGGAATTTTCTTAATATGTTTTTGTACAGTTAATAGTTTATTATACGCCGTGATATTTGTATCCATATCAATGGGTCTATGTGCCTGTAATTCTGCAGGTCATCTCTCTAACCATACTGAAGTTGCTCCAAATCATGCAGGATTAACATTTGCAATCTCAAACACCTTAGCCACGATTCCAGGTATCCTGTGTGGACCTTTAACAGCTGAGCTCGTTGTACAATCTCATGGTCGTTGGTTCCCAGTTTTTATTCTTGCTGCTGCCATTAATTTTGTAGGTGGAATCATCTATGTGAGTCAAAGTACAGCGAATCCACTCTACCAGTGAATAGTGATAAAGAGAACCAAATTACGATTGGAAAAAAGCATCCAATAAGAGTTATAATTTTGAGAAAAAACGAGTCTCAACTGGCACGGATATTCACAAGAATTAATAGCATTCTTTTGCTATTTTATTGAGTTCAAACACTCTGAATAGTAAATATGACTTGAAACTCGAGTTATCATCTAATTTATGTAGAACAAAAAATTAATTTTATTCTCATTTTTACTCATCTGCCCACCAAATATAAATTTTCAGTCTCCATTTCATTAAATACAAAATAAGGAGGAAAAACCTAAAATGAAACTTCAAAAAAGCAATTTTGCCTATTGACTATTTTGGAACTCATCTACCGTCTTTACCCAAAGAGTTTAAAAGATATACAATAAATATAAAATCTTATTTTTGCTAAATCTAAGACGAAAATATCGATAGTCTGTCAAATATTAATTATTTTATTATAAAATTTTTATACCCTTTACTAAATAGGTTATTTGAATGACATTTTTGAGATCTTTAAGATACTAATATGAAACTAGTCAAGATAATAATTGATCATTTTTATTTTCAAGAGTCTAAAATGATTAAATGGGAACTATTCTTAAGAAGAAGACAATTATAAAACAATTAAATGAAAATTGTTGGTAGAATAGGTTTATTATTTGTTATTTTACACATCAGACAGAAAAGTCAGACTAGTTTCGTGTTTTTAAATTGTTATCAAATAAAATTTGCAAAAGAGATTCAAAAAAATCGAGATGATGAGGAAAATCTCACTATTATCTTGACCCTAGAAGGGAAGTAATGAGCGAGGTAAGATTGGTCTGAAATTACCAGAATTTTTGAATACTAAAGATGATGATCGATGAGATGATATTTATCAAACTATCTCTCCTAGTCTTTTATCAATGTTACCTTGCCTCGATGAATTTTTTTGTGACACAAGCTTCAGGGAATCATAATACAGTGAAGACAATGCTTATCAAAATCCTGAATAAGTTATTCAACAAAGATTTAATTGAAACATTGAAACATTGCTCACCATACAATCATGATTAATATCTCCGCATTTAAATGTAAAGCTTTATTTGATGGACACTTTGAAAAATAAAATTACGAATTTTTTTCGTTAACAATAAAAATAATCGTCAATAAACAGGATTAGCTTGATTAAATAGAATAGTTAATTTGTAAGGAAATTTATATTTAAATAGAGTCGCTAATTGGGTTTTTTTCATTTAACACATTTGTCACAATAAGATTAGAAAGGTTAAATTTCATTCCAGATTTCATGAAGTACACTGTTTTTGCAGGATTTTTTCAAATATTTCAGTTGAGAGTTATTCAGTTGATTTTTAAAGTCAATTTTACAATATAATTGCGGAAATAAATGTATTCATTAAGAAATGTGATTTTACTTATTGGAGATGATTTTCTTAAAAGACAAAAAGATTTTTCCTTTGCTGTAAATTCTGATGAGAAGTGAAATCATCAAATGTGTAACTTGGTTTTCTGATGTTTTCTTGCTCATTTCCAGGTACATATTCAGGAGTATAGATGCAAACGGTATAAACACCACCACCAGGTCCACGATCACGAGCTTGGCCACATCCATATTGCCGTGTTGTTTTGGAAACAATCCGTACAAAATCAAGATTATCCTTTGTTACAATTGGATCATCATAATTGTATTTCTTCTCTTCAGCTCGATACCAAGACTCCATTACATCTGATGGGGTTACTCGCTCCTCAGGATCGGCGTGGTAATGATAATTTTGGCCAAAGTGGACATCATTTTCATCTTGATGAATTGGTGGATTACCTTCATACCAGCCATAAACTACAGCAGTTTGTCTCGCAAGATTCACAAGCTACAATTAAATAAAGAGAAGGTCAATTAATATGGAAAAAGGTTTCATGATAAGCAAAAAATGCGTCTCTTACCGTAACATTGATGGACAATTCGGGTGATCCATGTCGCATCCTTACAAAATGATGAAGTTCATCAAAATCTTCGATTAAATCCCATCCTTGGTACTCTTCAATGGTATGTACGCGTCCAGTCAATTTACCATCACCTTTAACCAAAGGAATTGAAATAATTTTGGCTTCAGTTAAAAACAAACTGGATAAGGATAAAACAATTGTTATTACAATATAATTCATTGTGATCTAGTTTTGGGTTGCTTGTTATTTAGAAATCAGAGTAATCTTGTTCACTTATTTATATCATTTGTATTTCAAAAGCTTGAATCAAATGTTTTACTAGGTATTAATGACTTTTTAGTCCCACAAGTGTGAGACAAAATGATAAAAATGATTATCATAACATTTGGCTGTGCCCATCTGATATTGAACAATGAATAAATCTCGAATGCATGATAATTACTGAAATTTGATCTCTTTATCCTTCTTGAAGAAAAGCTGTTCCTCAATCATTTGTAAATCAAATGGCGAAAAGGCATTGATGGCGTTGAGTATTAATGACTCAAATGCTTCAATTCAAGTTCAATTAAGCAATTAAATGGTTTTTCTCAGATTTTGACTGATTCATAAATTAAATGATAATTTTATTGGTGCCTGCATGTGAAAATTTATCAATCTAAACCTTTGGAATGGATACAAATACATCAAAACATCATTTGACCCTAATTGATTACATTTAATTGTTGTTTTAATAATTTTTATAAACTGATCAGAATAATCTTGCCTAGAATTAAGATGATCTCAATTTCATGTATTGCTGCAGCGGATATTTATTTTGATAATAAATAACGAATAAACAGATGATAGATGCCGAAGCCTAAAAATCTGGTTTTTTTAAAATTCTTAATTAATGATAATAATTTTAATTTTGGCGATTAAAATGATTCTAGATGAGTCAATTGTACTTAATTTAAAGAAACTACCAATGCGGCTACATTATGTAATAAGTAATTGGTCCCTAGGATACCAATTTATTTTTTCTCCATTCACTCATCTTTGCCTTTTCATTGTGTATTAGGTACTTCCACCTCATTTAATTTAACCAAAATGTTAAATAAATATTTTAGGTTAATTTTCTCAATTTTCCTCTTAATCACAGTGCGTTCTAGCCTGTGTGATGAAAATACCGATTCTAGTGAGACAGACAGTGTCGACAGTCCATCATTACCACCATTACCATCGCCATCCTCGAGTGAAGAAGAGCTGATTGATTATCAAACTCCTGATATACCCTTGGATAATGTCTACCTTTATGAGCCTTTTGATGATAAAGATAGTTTTCACAAAAATTGGGTCACCTCAAAGGCTACAAAGTCAGATTCCGAGGATGGTAAATACGACGGAGAATGGGAAATTGTGCCCACAGTCGAAAGAATACCAGGTAAAATTGCGATTTTCTAGTGTCTGATGCTTTAGGAAAGGCCTTTTTTTTCTAAAATACTATTTCGATGTATGCGGTTTGAATCAATTTAATCCATTTTCCTTTATGCGTCTATGCAATTGTTTTAAATTATACCTCCTGTCATGCTGTTTCTCTCTTACAATGCTTTATGGAAAATTTAAATTTCTTGTGTTCTCTATAGCTTTCTACACTCTTATTGCAACGTGTATTAAGTTGATTCGACCGTAACCAATGTCGTGTAGATTCTTTTCTTTCAAGTATCCTAACTTCACGTACTGCTGTGTTTGTTTATTACTCTTCTGATCTGATGAATTCTAATCAGATTGTCTGTTCTAGAATCGATGGGTATTTCTTGATCCTACCCATTGATAGCTTATAATAATTGTAAGGTTTTAAACTGCCAAGGCAAATTTTTTAACTCGAGCATAAATTATTGGATAATTTATTTGTTATTGCTGATTTATTGAGGAAACTTCATTAACGATTATTTTATTTGAATAATCATCATTTAATTGGATTGCTTGTTTAGCTTTCTGCTGACGATTTTCTTGATAACATTTTCTTTTCCTATTAGCTAATTCAAATTCTTTTCTCGATCTGTTCACTTGTAAATTTACTTTATTGTATTATCGTATCCCAACCTTTCAGTAAAAAAATTGGAACGTGTCTTATGATACAATACAATGTTCCTTTAGTTAGATTTGAAGATATCCAAATATATAAATATACTTTCATGCTAGTATTGCTCTAAGTGCAATACTCGTGCGTCATGAAACTAAGAATGGCACAAAATTGGCATGTTTCAAGAAATGTGGGAGAATGAAAAGAAAACTTTGATATCATGTGATTAACCATTTCGAACTTGAAATAACTGTATAATTGTAGTTTGTAACTGATTCATCTTTTTCATATCCATTTCGCAGGTGATCTCGGACTTATGATGAATAGTCGCGCACGACATCATGCAATAGGAGCTAAATTCACAAAACCATTTGATTTCAAAGGAGGTAATTTGGTGGTCCAATATGATGTACAATTCAGAAATGGACAAGAATGCGGTGGAGCTTATCTCAAACTTTTACAAGCCCCTAGTGGAGATCTGAGTAAAATTCATGATAAGACTCCTTATTCTATTATGTTTGGTCCTGATAAATGTGGAAATGAACATAAACTTCATTTTATTTTCAACCACCGAAACAAGAAAAATAATTCTCTTCGTGAGATCCATTGGAAAAAAGCTTCAACTGTTACTGGTCTTAATGAAGCTATCACTGATAACAAATGGCATCTTTTCAGACTTGTAGTTCGACCAGACAATAGCTATGAAATTTCTGTCGATAAAAAAATTGTAGGAAAAGGTAGTCTTCTAGAAGATTTCAATCCACCAGTTAATCCACCTAAAGAAATTGATGATCCAGATGATACAAAACCAGAGGATTGGGATGAAAGAGAAAAAATTCCGGATCCTGATGCCAAAAAACCAGATGATTGGGATGAAAATGAACCTAGAAAAATCGTAGATTCAAATGCGCAAAAGCCATCAGATTGGCTTGAAGATGAACCAGAAATGATACCAGATCCTGAAGCCAAAAAACCCGAAGATTGGTCTGAAGGTAATTTTCTTAATAAGCTCAACTCTATTAGAGTTGATTCAACTTTACTTCACTAATCTTGACTCGACAATAACTTTGCTTTAAACAAACATAATATTTTAAAATTGAAAAGTTTATGCACTTTATTAATTTTTATTTTTTCATATATTCTTTTATTTAGAAATGGATGGAGAATGGGAACCTCCTTTAATTAATAATCCAAAATGTGGATCTGTATCCGGTTGTGGACCATGGAAAGCTCCCCTAATTGATAATCCAAAATACAAAGGAAAATGGAAGCCACCTCTTATCTCTAATCCAAACTATCAAGGCAAATGGGCTCCTCGAAAGATTCCTAACCCAGATTATTTTGAAGATCTTAATCCTTATAAAATGATTCCTTTTGATGGTGTTGCCTTTGAACTATGGACCATCTCTGATGGCATAGCCTTTGACAATATTTTGATCACCAGTGATATCGACCTTGCCAACAATGTGGCTGACCATACGTATCAACTCAAGAAAGATATCAACGACGAAAAGACTGACAATTGGTTCCAAAGTTTTATCCGTTCTACAAATAAGAAACCCTGGCTTTGGGCCGTTTACATTCTTTCCCTTTTAGTGCCTATTTTCATGCTTATGCGTGTTTTAAGTCCTAAAAAGAAAGATTCAGAAGGAAAGAAAAAAAGTTCAGAAAATGAACAAAAATTTGATGCTAGTGGGGATGATATAAGTAATGTAGCTGGTCCATCAACTTCATCAAGTAATCGAGCTTCACCGCCAACAACTAGAGGAGCATCATCTTCATCACCAAGTTCAGCTCAAGAACAAGAATTTAAAGAAGAAATGGAAGTTTCAACGGAAGAAGAAGAAGTAGAAGAAGACGATGACGAAGAAGGCGAAGAAGGCGAAAGAGAAGAGATTATCATTGGTCAAGATAATGAGGAAGAAAATGATGATGAAGAAGAAGAGGAAGAAGAACCTGAGATAGAGGAGAAAGAAGTAGAAGAAAAGGGCAAAGCCAGATTAAGACGAGCACGTAGAGAATAGTCATCTTTTTTGATCATTTTCTTTATGAAGATCAATTATCACTTTAGTATCTAGTTTATGCAAAAAAAACAAAATTTTGATAAACCAAACAATGTAACTTTACTTTACCTTTCTCTCATTTTTGAAAATTTTACCATGCTTCCCTATCTCGTCTAAAATAATCTTTTCCTTTACTCTTTTCTCAACTCCCAATTCATCATCCTTGAATAATATTCTAAATTCCGTTTTTTTTCAAAAAATCATATTGAAAAAGACATTTAATTATTTCGTGGATTATTTTAACTACTACACACCGGGTGAAGGCAGGGAAATATCAGCTGAATCACAACCAGAACTGCGAAAGCAGAAGAAATATAAATACTGTCAGATGGACTGAACAAATTAAACAAGTCATCTAAATTTTCTTTTCATGATCGTTTATGGTTTTCTATTGTACAAGGCTTTTGCATTACATCCACCAAATTTAGGAATGGGGTCTTTACGATTGTGAGCAAACTAGGTCGAAATTTTGTACACAAGAAATAACCAATCAAGGTCGACAATTTTTGTCAATATGAAGCTGTCCGCTGTGACTGATAATTTGTAAGAGGAGTACTGAGATAGTTGACAATCGGAGATTTTTAAAAACACTGTCCAAAGAGATAAGACACTTTGAATACGTTATGAACAGTAATCGACGAACAAAACGAAAATAATCCAGTGCAGATGGAAAAATCCGGTGAATCCACTGCAGAGAAGAAAAGATAGGAATTTCAATAAAGGCCACTCATTGATCTCTTTTAATCTCATTGATGACATCTTTGGTGTTGTTTTTTGACATCATTTTACTTTTTGTTGTTGACACCAAATGTCAAATCATTTTGACGGTCAAAATCTTTCGGTAACAGCAAGATTTCCAGTGAAGGGCAACTTTATAAATTTGGGGCTCAATTCCATTTAAAGACGTAAGATTTATCAGTGACTTATTTTTTCATTTACCTATTAAAGATCAGATTTTATTCCAGATTAATCGGTAAATTTGTTGAACCAAGTCTTTCAGTAACAAGTAGACTGAATGCATGTTGATGATTGCATCGTGACGCTTAAACCAAAAAAATAGACACCGTCTTAAATAATGGTTGATAATTGGTGTTTTAACCATGACGAGGAAGTAAAGATTCTAATGATTCACACATTAAATGTGATCTTGGAATTTTACACTAGGAGTTTTTTTATTTAAGATGATGTGAAAATTCTGTAAAAAATAAAAGTTACAGATTGATTATATTTAAAAAGTTTGATATGAATTTTCACAGTGAGATGAGATCTATTTACCTGTCATTCATTCAAAGATGAAAATAAGCATTTACAATTATAGTAAGATTTATCAATAATATTTCATACAAAGGCCTGAGCATTCTTCTGTTGATATGGAAATTACTTGAGCTATGACCAGTTGCATAGCACAATCCTGAAACGAAAAAAAGATTGATCGTTAAACAAATTGATTGATAGGAAAAATATAATAGATTGAAATTTGACATACCTTTATTATACAATTCAAAATGAATAGATTCGCTATGATCCCTAGAAACACTTCCATAATTACTTCTTGGATATTCATAAATATTATTACTATAAGAATTTAATTGCTGTAATTTTCTATTGGGACGACAGTTAGTATTACTAATAGTCGCCTTAATCCTATCATTAGATTCGATTTCTTTGTAGCTTAAACAAAATTGCAAGTAATCTTCATCCGGTGAATAGATTAACAAGAAATTAGTTCCATTTTCGTGCCAAAGACCACTACATTGGAAATCTGAGAGAAATATAAAAAGATTATCATTTAAACATTATTTATATTGAAAATTTGTCTTGAAATGCCAGAGATGATTAAAGTTCAACTTACACTTAAAAGTAGGCTCATTTGACCCACAGGATAATTCAAAACGCAGCTGTTCGGAAGAAAGACATTGCGAGGCAAAAACTGTTCGTTCTGAACAGAGAGTTAACAATGGATATCCAGACGGCGATCTTAAAGATACTTCATTGTTCTGTACATTAATATTGTAAATTCCTTCGAAAGGACACGGTATGGAGAAATCTGTTCCCATTGTTTTCATTACTGTATAAAATAATGCAAATAAAATTAATTTCAAAACAAAATCAAATAAAATAGTTTCATTACTTACCAGTTAACGTGATGTAATCACTTGGATTTTGCTTGTTCAAATTTAGACAAGCATCTCCTAAAGATTTTACCATATCTCCTTGCATTATTTCAATTATATTATCAGTCCTTCTGACTATCTTCATACAGACATAACCGATATCGCTGTTTAAAAGAGAAAATTTTAAAAGCAGATTAATTATAGAAGCCATTCTCAATTTAGAAAATTTTATCACTTTAGGTTTAATTACCATTTAGTTGTGGAATAGACCACGAAGGCATCCGAAGTGGGATCATGTTGAGTACAATTAACAAATCTGAGCAACGTTCCATTTTTATGATACACATTAAAAGAGTTTTCATGTCCAAAATCATAAACATGTAATCCATCAAGAGTTTGCCAATATTGACCTTTAACTGTTAAGTCAGGAAAAGAGCATTTACTTTCTAATCTTTCGGTCGGAGTTAGTTCCATAGTAGCTGGTCCTTCCAAAGCTTGCTCCAAACCCTCGCAAGATGCATCGGCTGATTGAGCTAAATGATATGTACCACCAGATCCTTGTTCAAACAGGAAACAATGAAAACGATCATCCTCATCCTTGGCTAAAGGATGAAGAAATTTACCAACAAGAAATTTAAAAGATCCTCCTTTCCATGTAGCGTAACACTCAAGAGTAACAACTAGAAAGAAAAAAATATAAATTGAAAATCACGAACGATTTTAGCATGAAGTATCAGAACCAACCTTTACTCTCAGATCCTTCAATGTCTGCACACGCCTGAAAGCGAAACAAAAGACGATTCTCATCGGTACAAGAGTCAATCGTTGACGGGGGATCTTTACATTCACCACGTCCACGGTTGTATGTGAATTTAAAGTAGCCACTGAATGGACACGGCACTGGAGGAGTATCAACTAAACGAAAAGGATAGAAAATCAAATCAGTCAGTAAAAATCAAAATGGTTTGTCTTTGTTGTACGACATTTAACATCGTGAGTAATCCCTAAATGCAGCCTATTTCTCTTAATTAATTACTTATAATTAATTGTTACTTACGTCTGAATAATGAGAAGAGTGGTGCATCTCCATTAATTTCCTCACAGAGATCGCTTAAACGACGAGGTACAGGCGCACAATAAGCTTAAAAGAAAAAAAACTGTCAGTAACAAGTATCGATTCAATAGCTATGAAAGCTAATATCCATGTACAGACAATAAAATTACATATTAAAGAACATTTAATTATATACTCACTTTCTTTGTACTGCAAAACATTGACGTGTTTTTCATATATTGCCATACACCGGGCACAATTTTCAGCACTAATAAAGAGGGATAGAAAGAGAAAGAAAAAATGATGAAAAATGCCTGCGGGATTTTTGTTTTGATTGGATGCCAGCCTCTTTTTGGTCAAATTTTTATCTTCGACGATTACATGATTTACAGGTAATATTTTACAGAGGATGCATCATTGTGCAAGATATGTAATTAACTTAGCGAGTCATTATTAACAAAAAGTTAATGATTATGAAGCTATTGTTAATTATTGTTTCATATTGTTTTTGATTGAGCAGCAATGATGCTGGGAAAGCATAATTGAAGCAGAAAAAATTTCAACTAAAATTGTCATTAGGTAATTTTGAAGCAATAAATGGATAAATAGGATACAAACTTACCTATTATATACAAGAAACTTGTATTTATCATTACTTGTACAGTTTCCTTTGTCAGAAATACTGTTCCTGGATATTCGAATTTTATCATGGATACCTTTCTGAAACCAACTACCAGACCAATGTTCAGGGAACTGGCAGGCTTTCGTAGATGCAAACATGAACAGTAAATATGGCTGAGACCATACTATAAGAGCAAGAAGATAACTGCAGCGGTAAAGGATGGAGCCAACAATATCCATGTGCATCTAATCAGTTGTCGGTGATGATAATATGTGTAACATTAAAAAAATTGCAATAAAAGCTTGAAATATTGGGAAGATCCAAACGACTAGCCAGTTAATACCGATAATGGACAGAGTGAAGATAAAGTGAGAGTAGACAGGAATAAGATAGCAATTATAGACTTTTGTTTTGTTTAAAAAGTCCACCACACAGGCTTGGGTTGAGAATTTAATTCCAAAGATTACTGGAAACCTTTAACTGTTGAATTAAATTGAATTGAACACATTCCATTGGGGTTGACAATAACTACATTGAATGAGAAATGGTAAAAATTAGTAAGGATTCAAAAATCAATTGAAAGATAACACGAGTTAATATTTTTTAGTCGTAACTCAGAAATAAAATTACCTTGAGTTTTGATGAATCCAATTTGATTGAATAATATTTGTGATTTAAATTGAAACGTTTTGATAATAAATTAATATTTACTTATGCAAAACTAGCCAGAAAATTCACATGTGATAACAGTTGAGAGAGCTTTCATAGATAGCCACTTTTATATTGTGAGTCACAGCCAAAATCAAGTGTCGATTCTTTTTAACAATATTGATTGACAGTTGACTGGACTATTAATTTTTCTTGGTTAATTATTTGATGTAATATCACCGGTTAATTTGTTGATAAAGTTGACGATAGAGAGAAATGTTAATATTTCAATAGACGGAAAGGATTTAAAAGTATGCATATAAGCTTTCTATCACACTGTTGTTGAAGATGGTTTATATTGAGAGTTGTGTTGAAAAGTCCAATTTACATGATCGTTTATTTACCAAAACCAATTGACAGTTAGAAAATTATAAAACACAAGTAAAAAAGTGAAGGTAGAAAATATTAACAGATTACAGATTTTTTGTCACACTGTTGATGATGATATTAAAGATGGTATGTTGGGCTTTCCAATTCATAGTTACCTGGTTGTCTTTTGATCATTCTCATGATCTACCATTGTGAAAAGGAAAAGTTTCAAGAGATAAAATAAATATAATTATAGACTATGAGGTGAGATCAGAATGTAGATAACTCTAGTATCGATGATTAGATGATGGAGATAAAAGATTGAACAACATTATGTTTAATAAATCAACAAAAAAAGGTTTGGATCTTGGTCAACTGATGTCTAGAGCTCTGTATACACAGAACAACAAAATGGAGGATAAACAAGGGAGATAGTGAGAAGGGAGGAAGATAAAAAAGAGGGGGAAAAGAAGACTTGTTTTTTAGGTAAAGAGAAAGAGAGAGATGAAACTAAGCGAGGGAAGAGCTGAACAAGCAGGAGAAATTCAAAGAAGGGACTGAAGAAGGGCATTTTTATCAAACTTAATCATTTAATCAATCAATTAAATGTAAAATTGGACGCAAAATAATCATTTAATTTCATCTATCTTTCATGTTATTGCAAGACTGAGAATATCGGAATACGGAAAATACACAATAAAAGAGCAAATCTAAACAGATATTGAACTCAAGTGAAAACGGCAAAATCTGTTCGATACATAATGATAAGCAGGAATTTGGAATATAACTTTATGTGACAATTGAAAGTAACCTTTGTCAATGTCCAATAATCATTGTTACGATTCATAGATGTGGTGATCAGTGATCAGGGTATGTTTTATTCGGTTTCTTTTCAGGGATTTAATCAGACAAAAAAATATCATAACTAATTTTTTTCGTAATTTGATTAAGTTTTGGAAGCACTATTTAACAAACAATCTTATGTGTTGACAAAATCCTAGCTATAGTTATTGTATTTACCTTTAAATAAGCTAAAATTAAAAGTTGCTACATTTCTGTAAACGTTGCGAAGCCAATAATTTATCCAAAAGACTCAATTTACCAGGAATACCAGATTCTGGTAAAGAAACCCAATATTCCAATACGATAGTTGATGGAAACAAAGACAACATCATTCATTAACAATGCAAGTCTAATGCAGTTCCGTATTAAAATGCGTTATTAGCTGAAATCCACCTGCATGAATCAAGACCATTACAGGTTGAAGCTTTTAGGAATAATATTTGTATTCAGTAAATGTAAATTATGTTCGTAAACGAGATAGATAACAGTTATTAAAATCAGGTAAATCGATTGCAATGGATAATTACTAGAAAATTTAGTTGTTTATTATCTTGATTTCATTTGCAGTTATAAAAATTAGGGAAATATTTTTTGTCAAACAACAGTTGATGTGAGTTAAACTCGTAATTTATAGCTTAATAGCTTGACTATTAACAGGAATGAAGGAAATTTAAAATTCCATAATCATTTAAATTCATCTAACTTGTAAGTTATACATTTTTTTAATTAGATTGGCTAATTAATCAATCAAGCTCATTATATCAGATTTGTTATGAGAGTAAGTTTGAAAAGAGCGGTGAACAAAATGCAAGAATCAGACAAGAAGCAAACTTCAGAGTCATCTACTGTTTACTTCGTAAAAGAAGGTTCGAACATTTAGGATTGAACGTATTTGAACATTCAAATTGGTTTATTTGGTGTTGTTAGCTCCAAACTGTTAAACCAAGTGTTTCGGTTATTAGCATTGTGTAACAAACAATCATTTTAGTAAATGATTTAATTCATTAATATGCATCTTTACCTGAATGCTGTTCCATGGGAAAAGTATCGACTCAACAAATTATCCTTTTAAGGTAAGCTTCATTGACCAATTTATATGTTTTTGCCTTTCATGAATCAACGTTTCTTTACACTTTTAAAAATGAAAAAAGCTCTTGTTTGAATCCGTTTTGATAATAAATTTATAAATCGATAACTTCTTTGATCTTGTTATTCAGAAATTTCATTTGCATTATTCGAATCGATATTTTTCAAATCAATAGATTTCAATCCTTTCCTGGTGAAATTTTCGCCTCAGATATGACAAGAGATAATCAAATACAATTGTAATGGTTGGGTCAAGTAATGGTTAGATTCACGCATTGAGGTAACAGATTAAGGGTTGAAGATTGAATGATTGAAAGTAACTCCATGCAAAATTTGTTTACACTTAACCAAAAAAGTCAAATAAAGATCGAAAACAGTTGATGTTAAAAGTGAAGCTAAAATGGCTTTTGTTTACAAAAATTGATTTGTTTTTCTTGGAAAAATTCCAGTTCTTCAAAATCAAAACTCCATTTATCCCTTTGATAGTTTCCTTAATAATAAAATAATCACAGTTGGTGTAATAAAATCATAGAATCATGATACCTATTCATGGTGTAAAAGAGATCAACCAATCAATAAAATCCAAGACCAAACCAATCCTTGTTTCCAGTGAAGTGTTGGTCAATTGTGAGCATTTTGTTTTAAATTATTAGCTATTGATAACAGACTAGGAATATCAAACTGTCTCGATAGTTATGCTACTGGATGGCCGACCAAAGCACTTAAAACCTCAGCATTGAAAAAAGAAAAGTCGAAGCCTCATAAACAATGCATAACATACAACTTGATAATGAATATTATTGTTGACTTAAGAAAAAGATGAAATCAAAATTTAAAAATTAATGATTAAAAAGTGTGAGAAAAAATGACGCTTCTGTTGGAAGCAAGCTTAAGATTGATTGAAATGATTGAAACATAAGACTGAATGTAATTTAATAATTGTTGGTGAAAACTTACTTCAGTGTCAGCCCACTTCACTGATCCTTTGTATTTGTTTACAATTGATTTGAGATGGTTTGTTGCTCTGTCCTTTTCCCGATTTAAAGCCAACAATGTCTTGGCAATCATAATTTGATTTTTTGAATAAAATCCTGGTTCAATTTTTTCTGCTCTTTCAAACAACTCAAGAGCTAATTCGGATTGCCTCTAGTAAGGAACCGAGAATTACATAATTTAATAGTTAATTAATAGTTAAACGAGTAGATGAAAGCTTACAACGAAGTTGTGACCAGTTTGTTCGTTTGTAGTCTTTTTAGCAACAAACCAACGAAGGTATAACTTTTGCTTCATGAAAATTACGACAATGAAAGTGTTTTGCTACTTATAAAATACTCGGACAAAAGGATAAAGTCGTAAACAATGGCTACCAAAGCAGCTACCTGTAATTATAATCTTATAACATTTTCTTGATTTATTAAGATTTCAATGATTAATCAATGCTTATGCTTTCTGTGAACAGTTACTGCCAAAATCAAGAATCTCCAGGAATCTTGTAATCGAATTATTAACGGAGCCTTTCCGCAACCTTCTGCTACTGATATAACCTCTACTCTCAAATTTTTCTCACAAATCCTTCTCAGGTAATTTCCATTGTCCATTACATCTTATTAATTTACTCTGAAAGATTTGTCAAATTAAACTTATATCTTACATTTATACCGTTAATTAGTGTACTCAAAGATGCACCAAGTATGCCTATTGACGTGATATGCTCACCTGAAAAAGACCACAGTCGAACTACAATGTTTCCAAGTTTAGATTACAGAAGCCTTTACGCAACTTTGATCCAGCTTTTGGAGCTTCTTCCTCACCTTCAGTCAGGGATTCAAAGTAAGTTCAATTAATGTTAATTCATTCAATGATTTCAATTGATTTTTCCTTTGCTTTACCAGCGGTTGGCCAAACGTTATTACACACTTTAAGCTGTTTGGTTCCCTTTTTGGAGCACGAATATATGGATACGTTGCCTTACATAGTAGCCTCTTCGATGGCTATTTTACCCAGTGCCCTTCATAAAGATTTACTAGATATGTTATGCTACAATCTTCTGCCTTTCACTATAAGTAAGAAATTGAAACTTTCATTGAATCCTAATTTCTGATCATTTGCTTTGCTTTATTACAGTGAATCGAGATGGATTTGATAATCAGAACTTTACCAATCTTTCAGTCTCGGCTATCATGATGAATGTCTTTTTCTACACTGATTCACCATCTTTTTACACTCAGTTGATTGAAACCCTAATGAAATTAAAGAAAGATGTAGTCAAAGATTTATTCTGTGTAATTGCCCATGGAACTGTGAAAGCTCGTTGTCCCGCAGTCGAATTACTCTTCCAATATTGGCCAGAATTGAATCCATCACCACTGGATCGTAAAGTTCTTTCAGAGAAACATGTAATCTGGTCTCCCTTATCATGTCAGCATGAAAATTGTGCATCTAGTCTATCCAATGAGGCAGTTAAAATGTGCATTGACCATACAATAGCCATAGGGTCAGGAGATCGAGCACCTCCAATGTTGATTTGCATCGAATGTGCAGATCAAATATACAAAGGTCGCTCACGGTCGACTCTAGTTGACATCTTGCTTCCCATGGAGGAAATATCGTACACTTGTGTCAACAAAGCCTGTAAATCCTCCATAGCTCAAAAAATTGCAGTTGCAACTTGTTTTTCACCCGAATGTGTTAACTATAATTGTAATAAACCTGTTCGCTACTGTTCTCTCTGTGATTCATCCAAACATTCATCTCCAGAATCAAGTGATCATGTTGTCCATCGAACAATTCCCTCTCCATGGAAAATGGACTCGGAAACTCAAAGTTATTTTATCGAAGCCATTGTCAATCTTTTACGTGAAGCTCAACCAGTAACCGAGAAACTAGGAAAGGAAACAAGCACAACCATCCAGTCTGGCAATAAAGTATCGACTGGAGGCGGAGGTGGGTTAGGTTTGGGTAGCAATCTTGGTGGAATCCCTACTGAAGAATCCAATGGTAACATGGCGTTAGAAGAGCGACAATTGCTGAGTCGTTATGGTGTTTGGTTAATCACTAGTCTTTGTATGCCAATTGAAGATACTCCTGATGATGTTTTGGGTCGACTGTTGAGCATTTTATTTCAATGGTTTCATTATACTGCTTGTCTTCCTGATGATCAGGCGGGCTCAGCACTGGAACGGTTGAAAGGTGAATGTATCCATGGATGGCTGATGAAAGTTGTTAAAACTCATTTCCATGTATTTTCTAACTGTTTACTTCCCCATCCTGCTGATTATGCCAAAGTTGGTGGCCATTGGGATTGTTGGCCTTCCCAAACCAATCAAATAAAGGAAGGTTTCAAGAGACTTTTGTGTTTAGTACCTTATGATGTTATTACACCCGAAATTTGGAGTTATATAATGCCTTATTGGATGGAATGTTTTCGCCATGAAGTGCCCGATGATGAGCTTGCTGAGTTGAAAATATTGTTAAGTAAAGTTTTAGACCCTGATCTTAGTCCACTGGGTCTTAGTCCAAACCAAATGTACCAATTCATTAGTGTCAAATTTAATAACACTGTTGCTCAGGTCCAAGAGCAAGCTCTTTATTGGATTCAGGTAAAAATTTTGCTCAATTAACTCGTACCAAAAACTCTGAATTTGACACTAGAAAAAGTATCTAAAATTTTAATCATTCAATGGTTTTATTTTCCAGAAACTGACCATGTTGGAAGTTCCAGTTCCACTGAAATTACTTCTCTCAATGTTCGATTCAGGAGTCAAGTCTTTATCTAATCCTGATCGAGCCAAAGTGCCTTTCTCATCCATTTACAAAGTCTCAACTCATCCAATGCCAAATCCAAGTGAACGATTGAAAGATGCTCGACTAGGAGTGAGTGGTCAACAACCAGGTTCTGCTCAAACACCTACCAGTACTGCTCCGGATGAATCTGGTGAATCGAGTGAATTACATCCCGTAAACGATGATAAACTTAATTTAACGTGTTTTATTTTAATGTTGGATATTCTTATCAAGCAAATGGAGCTTCAAGATACACCTTCACATAAAGGTCTTGAGAATCGCGATGCTGAACCAGTTTTAATATTGCTGTTGGATATTTTATTGGCTCCTTGGCCAGGAGTTCATAGTTGTGACCAGGAAGATGATTATCGTCACACAACTGATAAAGAAGACGCACAATCAGTTCAATGCGAATACTGTGAAATGATTGCAATCTGGTATCAACTCGGGTTACTTTTAATGGAATACTTTTGTCCCGTTATGGAGGCAACAATGATTGACATACCTTTCGAACCTACTAGACCAGTTGAAATTTTAACCGAAACTAAAACTGATGCAAAGGAAAACGAATCAAATTTGATTAACTCAGACTTGAAAACAACATCAACCGAAGCCCCATTAGCACCATCTAAGACAGCAACTATCGAAGTATTTTCAGACTCTAGTGGCCAAAAATTACAAGAGATTGAATCTGGATCGGTTATAACCTCAAGAGTTATACCAACTGCAACCGGTGATGACTCCAGCTTCATATCAGGCCAGTATCAAATGACTTCTGCAAATGTAATGAACGAAACGAACACATCTGAACCAGAAAAATCAACAATAATTGATCAACGCAGTGGAGGCTGTTTTTGGTTTACAACTCAAGGAAAATTCAAGTTTAAACTGGAAGAACTGCCGATCCAATTGCGACTCCTTCATATATTACTCAACAAGTTGTCCACATCATCTGATGCCGATGTTTTATATCACATTATTTACATTCTTAAATTAATGGCTTTACATTCGGAAATACTCAACAAGGCAGCCAAAAATCACAGAGGATTCCTCATTTGGTGTCAAGAAAATCTTCTTATTCCAAATCTTTGGTCTCTTCTCCAAGCAGAGTTCAGTCAAATTTCCCAACTATCAGTCCCTTTATTGCTCCACTGTATAACCTTGCCTGCTGGTCGAGATACATTTTTAAGATTAGTCGAAGAAGATTTTCACGACAGAGATTGGCGAAAGCGTTTCACTGCTGTTGAACGAGTAACAACGATTGCTCATTTTCTTGAAAGCTCACTAGTCAAAAATTCACCGGCTTTACAGGCTTCCCTGACCAATGCAATTTGTTATCTTGTCCATTGTTTGGATGATATTGAATCGACCGTTGCTCAACGAGCTCTTCTCAATTTAGAGTCAATCAAGACGACTTCGCTTAAACTTCTTGTTTGGTGTCTTGAAGCTCAATTTGATTTGGTTCTAATAGATCGTCCCATCATCCTTCAGACAATCTTCCAACTGTACAACCATCTTTCAGATCGACGTTTTCTTACCTGGGATTTTTTTCTAAATCGATTTGATACTCTTTTCTTGGAGGCACAAGTAAACCTTGAACGACTCGGTGAAATAAGTTACACTCGAGATTTGAAAAACACCAATGTTAACTCTGAAATGTACCAAAAGAAGTTGACTCGAGCTCATGAAGCTCTATCTCAAACTCATCTTGCTCGTTCCCTTTCCATTTCTTTCGGCAATAAACTTGGCAATCCTAAACGTACTACACCAATTGTCGATTTTTTGGCCAAACAGGTTGATAAAAATGTTCCTCGACAACCTGCAGCACCAGCTATTCGTAGAAAATCTTCAAGGTTCACTGGAAACTCTGCTATTCCCGATAAATTTCGCCATCTTCCCAACAATTTTTTCACCGATAACCAGTTGAAGGAAATAGCTCAAGAAGAGAATCATATTATGCATGTTGTTCATAAAATTGTTGAACTCGAAGAGCAAGATAGAGATACCATGCACTCGCTGATATTTCTTTTGATGCAATTTCTTTCTCGTCCTGACCATTCGCATCCTCAAGAGGAAAAAACGATGGCTCGTAATCAACAGATCGTTCTTCGTCATTTAAATATCCTCCTTGGCTTTTCACCCAGTGAGAAACAGTTTCTGGTTACTGCAGCAAATTTGCGAACCTTTCCCGTGTTCAATGCTGTTATTGCTTCCATGCCAAAAGTGTTAGATTTTAATTTTAAAATGGGAAATATGCTTTTAAGTACTTTTCTGCCGCTGCTTATTTTTTGTCCTTCTTCTCAAAAATACGTTGCTGATTTAATGGTTAAACCGGCATACTCGTTATGGCTACTTCAACCTCATGTTCGACAATCTTGGCTAATGTCAGTTTTAATCGTTCTTTACAAGGTATGAATATTCATCAATTTCAATTAGACTTATTGAGTTTACTCATTTTTCATGTCGTTTATCTTTACAGTATACTTATAATACATTGCCAGTTTCAAAGCATATTCAGGCACTGATAAATATTGTTATGAACACACTTGAAGCTCAGTTTCATCGATGTCGTACTAACAGAGATCATTTCAGTCCCGTTCCATCTCGATCAAGAGGTAAGTTTGATTTGTCTAGACATTTAAATGGTTGTTTAAAGTTGGTTTATCATTCATTTTTGTGCATTTGTTTCATTAAGATATGAGTGCTACTTCAATGGAGATGGAAGACCAAGTAGAGCCAGAAATGGAACCACTTTTTCGATCCGAAGAGAGTGCAGTTCCTATTTTCACTACAGGATCGAGTGAAGAGTCCATTGAAGGAGATGGAGAGGGAGAACCAGAACTTGAAGTTATACTTGAAAGTCCTAAATCGGAAGAATTCGACGATTCTGAAGCTGCAAGTTTATCTGCAGATGGGACTCTCGAGAATAGTAAAGGGATTGAAAATAATTCATTCACAGTTGTTCAGAAAGACGATTCTATAGCTATTTCGATCGTACCTAAAGATGATGATCAGCTTAACGAAGTGTCAACGAATCTACCAGATCTTGTTAATCCTTCAGATAATGCTGTTAACGAATCAGAACAACAACAAACTCATGAAACAGAGATGGTTGTTTTGCCTGTTGAAAAGCAAGAAATGGAGGACGAAGACAGTGTCTCTACAAACCAATCCAGATCACGACCTCTTTCACCCAAGACTGATAAACTAAGCAGAGGTTACTCAGCTGAAGGGTCCAGCAGACTGAAGCGAACTGACTCAACTTATGATAGTGAGACCAGTGAATCGAAAGAGCTTGAAATCACAATTGACGCAGATCCTCGTCATCCATTTTCAATTACAGAGAAGGTTACGAGTGAAGAAAAGCGTCGAACTAAGCAGGGTATCGGTAAAATTTTAAAAACTTTTACCGAAGAATCTAAACCGTCCGATCAAGCTCAAGCAAATTCAGAGCAAAAAGCCAATAAAAAATCTCCCGAAGCATGGAAACTGTTGGATGAACCTCCCGGAGCCCCAATACTTCCCTTGAAACCAGCTCCAGAGCGTTTATTACCAATTGGACCGACTGTGCGTTTACCAAAGAAGCCGGGATCACCATTTTTTAATCAATCCAATCAATCTTCCTTCTCTTATGCACCTTCGCAATTCGCTCATTCACATCAGCTTCCACAATCTGTTCAACCATCTCAATCCAGTTTACCAGCTCAAAGTTCATCACTCTCTCATGTCTCAGCCTCATCGACGAAATATAATCAAATGTCTGAACTGCCTCAACTACCAATACCTCCAACTGAACGGCTACTTCCAATCGGTCCAAATCCTCCCTTTAAAAGTCCACATTCTGGTGGAAGAAGATTTTTTTCTCCTCCAAGATCTACTCAAGTTGAAGAGAAACCAACTAGTAATCAATCAAATATTGTACCAGTTACCGAACTCAAATCAATAGATGTAGTTACGATATCAGATTCAAGTCAGAAACATTTACGGGAATCTTCACCTTCTCCTTCACACACTAAAACAGTTAAGGTCGATAGCCTTCCAGAAACGCATCGCGATTCAAATATGGAATCAGATGAAAAATCAACAAATGTGCGAAAAGCCAGTTCTAAATTAGCCAAAGATTTATCCATTGAAATCAACGACGAACCATCAGCTGTAAAAATACCTCGGGAAACTGAAAATAGTGAGACCAAAGGTACTAAAATTGATTCATCAAATAAGCCACGTCGAAGCTTATCAACTTCAGAAAAGCCTAAATCTTTGCCAATTGAGTCAAGTAACGAAAATAAAACGACAGAAATAAATGTTAATGGGAAAAGTGAAAAGTTTGTGAGAGCACCTCATATCCAATCAATAGCGAAAAGCTCACTCGATCAAAGTATTTCTATCGATATCCCTGAAAATGATTTCATTGATAATAAGAATATTTCAATGCCATCAGATCAACAAGACAAGACAATACTACCACAAGTATATCGACTGTAACAATGACGAGTCCTACGGCCACAATTACTACCGTCACCCCCAACTACAACAGTTACGACCACTGCTGGCGAAGAACAGAAAACACCTCGACCTTTATTCAAGCCTAAGCGTAAACGTCGACCTACTGGTGGACAGAATGAGACACGAACAGCAGATCTGAGGAGCAATGTTCCGATCGGAGTGGCGGCAGGAGTCCAGAGACGAGCTCGTAAAATTGATGTTTCATCTAATAGTAATACTGGGCTACCATCTAAGAGATCAAGTACATCTCAATCATCTTTAGCCATACCTGAAGACACGGTCAATGAAAGGTGTTCCTCTTGTGGCGCAGTGTTGGAAGAGTTTTCTGAAGATGAAATTGGAATGTGTATCGTCATCTTGGGCAGCTATATTCATCGTGAACCTGCTATGTCTGCACCATTGCTTCCTGAAATGCTTAAATTGATATCAAAATTTGCTCTTCATGTACCTTATCCTTGGCAACATGAAAGGTAAGACTTAAATTGTGCTATCAAATTCCGTTATTGGCATTACTTTAATGTTTTTATTATATTTTCAGTCAAAATGTTCATTTACCTGGATGTGCTCGAACAATCGCTCAACAATTTTTCAGATGTACCCTCCAACAATTAGCTTCCAATGGCATTTTCCAACAAATATTCAACTCTCATTTTCCCGGTAAATATTTTCTTGTTATTGAAATTTGATCCGTTAAATAGTGTATTAGTTCAAGTACTTAATTATTCATCTGGTTTAACACATTTTTCTTGTAACTTTTTCAATTTTATGACATTTAGATTCAGAGTTTTTTAAGGCTATGGCAACATCGCTTACTGATTTTATGGATACGAATCAGATCACACCTTTGACCAAACTCTTAGAGGTAAAGTTTAATTCAATAGTTTCACAGTTGAAACAAATTATTAATCAATTGATTTGCTAATATCGTATATTTACAGGGATTCAATGAAAAGAAATCCCTTCCAGCCAAAACACAGTTATTTCATGTTTTATCCAATGCTGCTCATTACATGGAATGTGTTCCTCTGGAAATGGTTTCTCAACAAGCTTGGAACACCTTTTTACCGATTTTCGATACTTTCCTTCGTAAAATGGAGTCAATTTTCCCGTCAGTTGCTGGTGAAGTTTGTGACTTGACTCCAGTCATTAGGATGATGCTAATAACTTTAAAACTTCCCGTATTGAATAATCATCGATCCATCTTAGAACCTTATTCCAAGTTTGTCAGTCAAGCTATTCAACGAAGTCCTTTAAGTTATCAACAGCTTCTAGAGTTATGTCATTATTCAGGTCGCATTTTCTCAAAAGATAGAGATCGTTATTTTATCACTCGCACAATCGTCAGTGAATTGATTAGCGCAATTCGCTTCAAAACATTTGTTCCAGATGAAAATTTAATGATGTTGGTTCAATTCGTTCTTCAAGATCTAGATGGAACTTTAGTTTATTCAGTAGTCACCGAACATCTCAAACCAAATTCTGACCCTTCTATTGAACAACACAATACCAATGCTTGTGAATTCATAAAACCATACGTTAATGACATCTCTGAATTCATAACTGATGTCCACACTCTCAGTCGAGTCAAGGTAATTGAAACATTCATTTAATATTGAAAACCATATTCAATCTTCAATCACTTATCGCTTCTTTTTCAGAGTACATTTCTTGGAACTTGTATCCATCTGAATGAAGAGACAATCGGAGGTCATTTAAAAGCTGGCTTATCTCAAATATTAGCGCTTGAGATCACTAAAAGTAACGGTCGAGATCATCGCGCTGTAACACGCTATTTACCTTGGTTATACAGTTTACCTTCTGTCCAACAAGGGTAACTTTATTTTAACCCAAAGACTATTATATTCAATAATATCTAATCATTGTTCTCTCAATGTTTTAGACCCAAAGAATTCCTCGATTGTGTCGCTCATATTCGAATATTATCTTGGATTTTGCTTGGATCATTACAGCATTCAGCTTTAATGCAACATCATCCCAGTTACAGTTTATCTCAACCCATTCCTTTAGAAGCTAATGGTCACATTGCTGAGCATATCCAGGTTATTCTAGCTGGCTTTGCTGAACAGTCCAAAGCTTCTGTAATTCACATGTCCAGTTTATTTCATGCCTTCATTTTATGCCAATTATGGACCATGTACTGTGAAAATATATCTGCACAAAATCCTCCCGGTAGTGAACAATACCAACAATGTACACTTACATTATCCGATTTTTGGGCAAAAATAACTCCAGGAATTTTACAATTAGTTTGCCATTCAAAAGTGGTAAGTTTAACTGAATGTAAATTATTTCATCAGGCCAGATCACTATATGTTGCCAAATGTAAATCATGCACAAAGTTAACTAACCAAACTATTGATTTCAAGCACGCACCAAATCTATGTGTTTTCATGTTTTTAATCGCTTCATTTGACTTTGAAAAGAACTCAATTTTTCATGTAAATTCATTGATATTTGTAAATTGTTAATGCTTTATCTCTTGCTTCTGCTCTTCTCCTTTCACTCGTACCCAATGCTTAATCGTTATATGTTACTCAAAGGATGAACCACCTCAGGTACATTAACAATCCCTATTTGTGTCAATCACTTCACACTGGAAACCATTCTTTCATGATATTTTCATTCTATTTCCATCATACTTTTATCAACTTTTTATTAATACTTGAATGATCTTTTGTTTTCTCGACAGTTGGCTGAAATGGTATCTTTACATTTCCTCAGCTTGATCGAAGCTCTCATGGAGTGTAATTCAAATATACTTGCTAGAGTAAGTTTAATGTCGATTAATGTTCTGCCTATTTTTCATTCTAATTTTTATCTCTTAATTCAGTTGCTTCCAATGTGGGTTCCTGTTTTTAGAAGCTACGAAGGTCAACTCTCTGGACATTTAAAAGTTCGTCTTCAAACTTGTATCAATTGGCAGCCACCACCACAAATGAGACAAGACTCTGTAACCAATAAATCATATCCAAGTCCGATGCTTCGTTGGTTACAAAAGTTGCAATTTAAAATGGGACAAATTGAAAATCAATCATCAACAGCAATCCAATTTTATTGCATGTAAAATTGACTCTGAAATGAATTATTCCTTCTAGTCAATAAAACGATCCAAACAACGCACAATTTAAATGAATGAACAGTGATCTTTTAGATATTAAACAACACACAGTTGTACATGTAACATTTAACTTAAATTGTATAACTTTCGATGAGATTGCAAGAGCAATTAAAACAGTAAATAAAGCTGACTTCATTTTCAACTATTGATTTGAAATATTATATTTTAAAGATTTAAATGTGATTTTAAAACTTCTGTTTCAAACCAAATTGTTTCATTTATTAATTACTTCACTACTTTCATTCAGATTTCAAGCAGATTTTTAATCGTCATTTCAGTTGTTTATCAAAGTGAAAGTAAATATTAAATTATTGATCGCTGGTAATGATCGAAATGTATCTTTTGTTTATAACTTCATTTTTACTCAGCCGAATAAACGTCAACTTTTATGGTGTAATATGAAAGCGGAAATCTTAATGAATGTTTTGTCTTTCGAAACTCTGTAACAGAAAAGGTCTCGAAGTTAATATTCTGATCACGCCATTAGGATAGAACAGCTCATAGATTTTTTCAATGATGTAATACAGTATAATTTTACACAATAATTTTATAATCTCATGTTCATAATGGCGAAAAGTAATTTAACTGTTGGTGCGTTTTCGGTAAGTTTTTAAATTCGTCTGTGAATTCTGTGCTTGACGGATATTCTTATATTGTAGGTGTTTGGGCAAGGATTTATTGAAGAGGATGGCCAGACTGTTCCTGAATTGAAGTCACTTAAACGACTTGCAGCATTTGTGACTGATTATGGTCCATTTAAGTACGCTATTTATCACTTAAACCATCCAAGTCAAGTTAATTGCCTTTTAGTCTTAAATTACATTTACCAGAATCTGGTCAACTAGGTGTGCTCACAGAAACTGGTTATCATGATGGAGTTTTGGGTTTGATGCAAGAAGGGGTAAGTTTAGTATAATTTATATCTTTCTGGTATACTCTTGTCATTGTTAAGTTGATAGTAAGGTATGAATGGTAAAGGATGGAAATGAAAACCTTAAACTCAGCACCATTTTTAAAAGATTACGAATCAAAACTATCCTAAAAATTATATTAAATTGAAGCCCAAAACATTTCGGTTAAAATTGGTGACAACAAGTCTAATTTAGTGACAATATGGCTAGACTGTGAGTCGACATTAAAATTCAAAGATTTCAATGTATTTTCATTCTTTACCAGTCATACCTTATATGTTATGTAACCTAATTAAGTTTTGAAAAACATTTTCGTTGATAGAAAGTGGAATTATGTTTCTTACCAATGACACTGGACACTCAGAAAGCACCAGGTCAATTTACATCCGCTATGTCAGAAGAAAGTTATTACATCCATTCGCTACGAGTTTTGGGTGGTGGTAATACATCAGCTTTAACCAATAGTTTTGTGTCAGTCAACACAATCCCCATACTATTAGCTATTTTCATAGTTCTACTATTGGAATTGGTTGTAATCAAACGCTTCAACATTGAATCGATTGTCAATGCTATCTATCAATCCTTTGGTACTTCATTTTATCAGAATTTATCTCGACATTCAACATGGTTCTATCTGATTCTAATGATTATCATAATGTTTCCTGTTTACATTTTCAATGCTTCATTCAGCACTGAAACTATTGTCGGTAATAATGACGTTAAAATTGAAACATTGCGAGATGTCATCAATTATGACAAGACACCGTTCTTTTACGAGGGTATTTCTATGTACGACTGGTTCAAAGCGAAAGTGACTAAGGATTATGGTGATATTTACGAGCGTTCAAAATCCAAAGGATATGATGAACCATACAAACTTGGACCTATTCCTGTTTTCAGACCTGCAGAAAAAATGGTAACTTTCATCTCTACTCTAGGTGTGAAGGTAGCTCCTCTAGGCGTTTCTGGAATACTTGAGCCTAATCATGTTCAATATATTTCAGAAAGACCCTTTCACAGGTCTGTACAAGCTTTACTGCTGGGTTTTAAAATTCCCGAGGCAACAAAGAAAAGGATTAACATACTGTAAGCATACAATTTCATTTAATATTAGAATCGCATGACAATTTCATAATGTAATCGTCAAAAGCTAACTCATTGTTTTATTTGCTTCAGAACTCAAAGGGTAGCACAAGCCGGAATCTCCGAAAAGGTAGAAGCTGATATCTACGTTAAATTTATCTTAGGCTTTTATCCAGCAAGTTTATTCGACTTTTACAAGTTGCAAATTTCACGAAATTCACTGGAAGTTAACTGGAAATCTCTAAATTACAATACATTTTGTGAGATATTTTATGGATACATTTTACTGTTAGTCTTGGTAACAATTGTTCAGTTTATTGAGCTACTAAGTGTACTGTTGTCAAAGCGTCAAAAAATAAAAAATAAACCTAATGCTTAAACCTAATCAATGTATACAATGTCAACAAGCAGACAATTAAACACAGTCTTATTTTCATTCAATCTTTTTATTCAATTTTCAATTCATTTTGATTGTTGGTTGAGCGATTCTAAATTGTCGTATAGTTGTATCAAATTAGCTTAATATTATGTGTATTATTAATAGATACATAAAATGCACATTAGTCATAAGCGTGGATAAACGCTCGCTCAGACTAAGCTACCCATATTAATATAATGAACACACTTGAAGCTCAGTTTCATCGATGTCGTACTAACAGAGATGTCAGTCCTGTTCCATCTCGATCAAGAGGTAAGTTCGTCGAGACATCGGAATAATTGTTTAAAGTTTTTTTATCATTAATTTTTGTACATTTGTTTTATCAAGATATGAGAGCGGAATAGAAAGCGGAATTGTGTTTCTTACCATTGGCAATGGATACTCAGAAAGTACCAGGTCAATTTACACCCGTTATATCAGAAGAAAGCTATTACATCAGTTCGATACGGAATTTGGATGATGGTACTTCAGCTGTTGTTTCTAGTTTAGCGTCAGTCAACACGATTCCCATACTATTAGCTATTTTATTGCTGCTGGAATTGGTTGTTATTAAACACTTCAACATTGAATCCATTATCAATGCTATCTATCAATCCTTTGGTACTTCATTTTATCAGAATTTATCTCGACATTCAGCATGGTTTTGCCTCATTCTAATGATTATCCTGATGTTTCCTGTTTACATTTTCAATGCTTCATTCAACACTCAAACTATTGTCGGAAATAATGACGTTAAAGTGGATACATTGCGGGATGTCATTGCTTATGGAAAAATACCGTTCTTTATAGAGGGCATTTCTATGTACGATTGGTTCAAGGCTAAAGTCAATAAAGAATACGCTGCCATTTACGAACGTGCAAAATCTAATGGATTAGATAAACCATACGAACTTGGACCTATTCCTATTTTCAGACCTGCAGACAGAATGGTACTTTTCGTCTCTACTTTAGGTGTAAAGATAGCCCCATTAGTTGCTCCTGAAATACTTGGGCCTAACCAGGTTCAGTATTTTTCAGAAAGACCTTTTCACAGGTCTGTACAAGCTTTACTGTTGGGCTTCAAAACTCCTAAATCAATAAAGAGAAGGGTTAACATTATGTAAGTACATATTCATTTTTATAATTGCATTTGCTTTAATAAGTAGCTAATTTATTGTTTTATTTGCTTCAGAACTCAACGGGTCGCTCAGGCCGGCCTCGCCACAAAATTAGAGTCAGATATCTACATCGAATCTATACTTAGCTTTCATCCAGTGAGTTTATTCGATTTTCACAAATCGGAAATTCCACGAAACTCACTCGAAGTTAACTGCAAAGCTCTCAATTACAATACATTTTGTGAGATATTTTATGGATACATTGCATTGTTAGTCTTGGTATTAATTGTTCAAATTATTGAACTTGTAAGTGTCTTTTTGTATAAGCGTCAAAGGATAATAAATGCAAACTGAAGTGCTTGAAAGCTGAAAATCTAAACATTCCATTTCGATGATTTGGTTGAGCGTTTTACAAATTCTCGTTTAGTTGTTCTGTATCATTATCAATGGAAAACCAATACATGAAAATTATATATTTCTGTGAATTTTATACTTAAATGAACTTACTTGCAATCGCATATCAAATTAATATAATAGTATGCTTGATAATTACATGTTTCATACTCAAAATTCGCATTTTTCATACTTAATGGGTAAACACTCGAGATCAGAGATCACTTAGTACCGTTTCATCTCGATCAAGAAGTAAGCAGAGGTTACTCAGCTGAAGGGTCTAGCAGACTGAAGCGAACTGACTCAACTTATAATAGTGAGACTAGCATCGAATAGTATAAAAAAATTGGGTAGTTAATCATTCGAGTTTCTTAGATCTTCGCAACCACTTGATTTTAATTGATGCTGCATATTTGTGTAACTATCTAAAAAATGACCCCTCGATGAGATCTGCTTGAAACGATAAATACAATTAGAGTTGGCATTACTTTTAACTTCTCGCTACTTTCAGTCATGCCAGATTTTAACCGTCATTTTCGTATCAAAGTAAAAGTGTATACCAAATTATTGATCGTTGGTAATTATATCATTGAAATGTATCTTTTGTTTATAACTTCATTTTACTCAGCAGAATAAACGTCAACTTAGTATTAAGAAAAAGGGTAAAAAATGAAAGCGGAAATCTTAATGAATGTTTTGTCTTTCGAAACTCTGTAACAGAAAAGGTCTCGAAGTTAATATTCTGATCACGCCATTAGGATAGTACAGCTTATAGATTTTTTCAATGATGTAATTCAGTATCATTTTACACAATAATATCATCATGTCATGTTCATAATGGCGAAAAGCAATTTAACTGTTGGTGCGTTTTCGGTAAGTTTTTAAATTCGTCTGTGAATCCTGTGCTTGACAGATATTCTTATATTGTAGGTGTTTGGTCAAGGATTTATTGAAGTGGATGGCCAGACTGTTCCTGAATTGAAGTCACTTAAGCGACTTGCAGCAATTATGGCTGATTATGGACCTTTTAAGTATGATACTTTACCTTAAACAAGCCAAGCCAATCTAAGATATCTAATTGCTTTTTAGTTTGAAATTTCATTTACCAGAATCTGGTCAATTAGGTGTGCTTACAGAGACTGGTTATCGTGATGGTGTCTTGGGTTTGATGCAAGAAGGGGTAAGTTTAGTATAATTTATATATTTCTGGCATACTCATTGTTAAGTTGATATGTTATAAAACCTTTTGATGGCATCAAACAAAGTGAAATAAACTATTTACGTTTTGGAAAATGTTTTTGTTGATAGAAAGTGGAATTATGTATACTTCCAATGGCTCTGGACACTCAGAAAGTACCAGGTCAATTTACACCCGTTATATCAGAAGAAAGCTATTACATTCATTCAATACGCACTTTGGGTGGTGGTACTGCAGCTTTCATTGATAGTTTTATTTCAGTCAACACGATTCCAATACTATTAGCTATTTTAATAGTTTTCCTATTGGAATTAGCTGTCGTCAAATGCTTCAACATTGAATCGATTTTCAATGCTATCTATCAATCCTTTGGTACTTCATTTTATCAGAATTTATCTCGACATTCAACATGGTTCTGTCTCATTCTTATGATTATCCTAATGTTTCCCGTTTACATTTTCAATGCTTCATTCAGCACTCAAACTATTGTCGGTAATAATGAAGTTAAAATTGAAACATTACGAGATGTCATCACTTATGACAAGACACCGTTCTATTTCGAGGGTATATCTATGTACGATTGGTTCAAGGCTAAAGTCACTAAGGATTATGGTGATATTTACGAACGTTCAAAATCCAAGGGATTTGAAAAACCTTACCCACTTGGACTTTTTCGTAAGTTCAGACCTGCAGACAGAATGGTCACTTTCGTCTCTGCACTAGGCATAAAGATAGCTCCTCTAGGTGCTGCTGTAGTACATGAGCCTAACCAGTATCAGCATATCTCAGAGCGACCCTTTCACAGATCTGTACAAGCTCTGCTGTTGAGTTTTGAAACTCCTGAGTCAACAAAGAAAAGGGTTCACTTTATGTAAGCATATAATTTCGTTTAATAGCACGACAATGTCAAATTATTATCTTCGGAAGCTAACTAATAAATGTTTTATTTCCTTCAGAACTCAAAGGATAGCTCAAGCCGGAATCTCCGAAAAATTAGAAGCTGATGTCTACGTTGAATTTATCTTAAGGTTTTATCCAGCAAGTTTATTCGACTTTTACAAGTTTCAAATTCCACGAAATTCACTGGAAGTTAACTGGAAATCTCTAAATTTCAGAACATTTTGTGAGATATTTTATGGTTACATTGCATTGTTAGTCTTGGTATTAATTGTTCAACTCATTGAGCTACTAAGTGTCCTGCTATTCAAGCGTCAAAGGATAAGAAATGAAACTGAAGAGCTTGGAAGCTATAAACCTAATTGTTAAACTTGTTCAGCTACTAGGTGTCTTGTATACGCGTTAAAGGATGAAAAATAGAAACTGAAGTGCACAAACCTAATCAATGTATACAATGTCAACCTAACAAGCAGACAATTAAAACACAATCTTATTCAATCTTTTTTATTCAATCTTCAATTCATTTTGGCTGTGGTTGAGTGATTTGAAACTTTCGTATAGTTTTGCAGTATAATTTTTTATAAAAACCTAAATACAATCTCAAATTAGCTTGTTCCTACAGTTTGTACAGTTCCTATCTTCACTACAGAATCGAGTGAAGAGTCCATTGAAGGAGATAGCGAGGGAGAACCAGAACTTGAAGTTATACTTGAAAGTCCTAAATCGGAAGAATACGATGGTTCTGAGGTGAATCTCGAATCTGGATTCTCGAGAATAGTAAAGGGAATGAAAATAATTCATTCACAGTTGTTCAGAAAGATGATATAGCTATTTCGATTGTACCTAAAGATGATGATCAGCTTAACGAAGTGTCAACGAATCTACCAGATCTTGTTAATCCTTCAGATAATGCTGTTAACGAATCAGAACAACAAAAAACACAGTAAGTGTTGAAAAGTAAGAAATGACAGCAGACTGAAGCGAACTGACTCAACTTATGATAATGAGACTAGTGAATCGAATAGCATAACAAAATAAAATAGTTAATCATTTAAGTTTCTTAGATCTTCGCAACCACTTGATTTTAATTGGTGCTGCATATTTGTATAACTATTATATGGACGGTTAAAACAATGACAGTTCGATGGGATCTGATTTAACCAATGCATTCAACTAAAGTTGGCATTTATTTTAATGTGTTCATTATATTTTCATTCGAAATGTTCATTTACCTGGATGTGCTCGAACAATCGCTCAACAATTTTTCGGATGTACCCTCCAACAATTAGCTTCCAATGGCATTTTCCAAAAAATATTTAACTCACATTTTTTTGGTAAATATTTTCTTTTCATTGCGAACGATTCGTTAAATAGTCCAAGAGCTTAATTATTCACCTGGTTTTAACACTTTTTCACAATGATCAACTTGTTTGTTTTTTTACACTTAGATTCAGAGTTTTTAAGGCTAAGGCAACATCGCTTACTGATTTTGATATTGTATCCATCTGAATAAAGAGACATGAATGCAACATCATCCCAGTTACAGTTTATCTCAACCCATTCCTTTAGAAGCTAATGGTCACATTGCTGAGCATATCCAGGTTATTCTAGCTGGCTTTGCTGAACAGTCCAAAGCCTCTGTAATTCACATGTCCAGTCTATTTCATGCGTTCATTTTATGCCAATTATGAGAGTTCCTGTTTTTAGAAGCTACGAAGGTCAACTCTCTGGACATTTAAAAGTTCGTCTTCAAAATTGTATCAATTGGCAGCCACCACCGCAAATAAGACAAGACTCTGTAACCAATAAATCATATCCAAGTCCGATGCTTCGTTGGTTATAAAAGTTGCAATTTAAAACTTGTGTTACAAATCAAATTGTTTCATTTATTAATTACTTCACTACTTTCATTTATGAGAAGCAGATTTTTAATCGTCATTTCAGTTGTTCATCAAAGTGAAAGTAAATATTAAATTATTGATCGTTGGTAATTATATTATTGAAATGTATCTTTTGTTTATAACTTCATTTCAACTCAACAGAATAAGCGTCAACTTATATGGTGACAAATGAAAGCGGAAATCTTAATGAATGTTATGTCTTTAACAGAAAACTCTGTAACAGAATAGGTCTCGAAGTTAATATTCTGATCACGCCATTAGGATAGTACAGCTTATAGATTTTTTCGATTCAGTATCATTTTACTTGATAATGTCATAATCTCATGTTCATAATGGTGAAAAGCAATTTAACTGTTGGTGCGTTTTCGGTAAGTTTTTAAATTCGTCTGTGATTTCTGTGCTTGACGGATATTTTATATTATAGGTGTTTGGTCAGGGATATATTGAAGAGGATGGCCAGACTGTTCCTGAATTGAAGTCACTTAAACGACTTGCAGCAATCATGACTGATTATGGTCCTTTCAAGTATGTTATTTTTACCTTAAATAATCTAAGCCTAATAATCTAAAGTACGGTTTTTATAATATCACTTAAACAATCCAAGGAAAATTATTAAGTGATATTTTTACTTTGAATAATCAAACCACATTAATTGCCTTTTAGTCTGAAATTACATTTACCAGAATCTGGTCAACTAGGTGTGCTTACAGAGACTGGTTATCGTGATGGTGTCTTGGGTTTGATGCAAGAAGGGGTAAGTTTAGTATAATTTATATCTTTCTAGTATACTCTTGTCGTTGTTAAGTTGATAGTATAATATTATATATGCTATATTATATATGCTATCAAACCTTTTGATAGGCATTAAACATCGAAAAATAAACTATTTACGTTTTGAAAAATGTTTTTGTTGATAGAAAGTGGAATTGTGTACACTTCCAATGGCTCTGGACACTCAGAAAGTACCAGGTCAGTTTACACCCGTTATATCAGAAGAAAGCTATTACATTCATTCAATACGCGTTTTGGGTGGTGGTAATACATCAGCTTTAACCAATAGTTTTGTGTCAGTCAACACGATTCCCATACTATTAGCTATTTTAATAGTTTTCCTATTGGAATTAGCTGTCGTCAAACGCTTCAACATTGAATCCATTATCAATGCTATCTAGCAATCCTGTGGTACTTCATTTTATCAGAATTTATCTCGACATTCAACATGGTTCTGTCTCATTCTTATGATTATCCTAATGTTTCCTGTTTACATTTTCAATGCTTCATTCAGCACTCAAACTATTGTCGGGAATAATGACGTTAAAATTGAAACATTGCGAGATGTCATCACTTATGACAAGACACCGTTCTTTTACGAGGGTATTTCTATGTACGACTGGTTCAAAGCTAAAGTCAGTAAGGATTATGGTGATATTTACGAACGTTCAAAATCCAAGGGATTTGAAAAACCATACCCACTTGGACTTTTTCGTAAGTTCACACCTGCAGACAAAATGGTCACTTTCTTCTCCACTCTAGGTGTAAAGATAGGGGCTTCTCTAGGGGCTTCTGTAATACATGAGCCAAATCAGGTTCAATATATTTCAGAAAGGCCCTTTCACAGGTCTTTACAAGCTTTACTGTTGGGTTTTACCACTCCTGAGTCAACAAAGAAAAGGATTAACATTATGTAAGCATACAATTTCATTTAGTAGCACGACAATGTCAAAATGTAATCTTCAAAAGCTAACTCATTGTTTTATTTCCTTCAGAACTCAACGTTTAGCTCAATCCGGAATCTCCGAAAAATTAGAAGCTGATGTCTACATTGAATTTATATTAAGCTTTTATCCAGCAAGTTTATTCGACTTTCACAAAGCGGAAATTCCACAAAAATCAATCGAAGTTAACTGGAAAGCTCTAAACTTCAATACATTTTGTGAGATATTTTATGGATACATTTTACTGTTAGTCTTGGTATTAATTGTTCAGTTTATTGAGCTACTAAGTGTACCGTTATCCAAGCGTCAAAGGATAAGAAATGCAAACTGTAAACCTAATCCAAAGAGTAAAGAAGAAGAGATAGCTCTCCATAGGATTCAATGAGAAGTTTAGTTAGCGGTCCTCAACGAGAGGCGCTCAAATCAGTCACTTTTTCAATCTCTTTCAATTTAATTTTAATCTAATTTTTTTATCTAATCTATTAAAAATACCTTTAAAGCGCCCTCGCCAGAGCCACTTTGTAAGCTTCACAAAATTGTATTGAGAGAAACCTCTTCTCCTTTACTCTTTGACCTAATCGATGTATACAATGTCAACCTTATCATTAAAAGCAGTCTTTCAATCTTCCCATTCAAATCGGTGAGAGATTTGCGAACTCTCGTGTAGTTGTTCGCCATGATTTTCAATAAAAAATCAATATCTGGAAATTATAAATTTCTATGAATTTCACAACTGTAGATTTCAGTAATTGCATCTTAAATCATGCATCATGCTTGATATTGTAGTTTAATAGTACTCTTACTAATAATAGATCATCCGTACTTAAAATTTGCACTGCTCATATAAAAGGGTAAACGCTCGCTCGCACCAATTACCTCGGAATTATCAGCTGTAAAAATAATGCCCCAGTTACGACCACTGCTTCTGCTGGCAAAGAACAGAAAACACCTCGACCTTTATTCAAACCTAAGCGTACACGTCGTAAAGAATTGATTTTAATTGAATGTAAAAAACATTATGAAGATATTTTTTGATATTTTGCATATTTGCTGGACTCTTGTGAATAAATAAGTATAAAATTCAGAATTAGTTTAAACAGCTTGATTTTAAATTGTATCAAAATTTAGACGTTATGTTCAAACTTTTGTTATAAACTAAATTGTTACATTCATTAATTTCTTCTTCACTTTTAGTCATGGAAAGTCAAAGTGAAAGTAAAGGGTGTT